TTAACACATCCCAGAGATCGGATACTTTAATGCGGAATATTGTTAATCTTGAAACCTTTATCTCCATATCTAGTGTGGAGACTTTCATATTTTAGGATCAATTCTTGATCCCTAAAAAACAGTTATCCATGCAGGGTATAAACACCACGGGATATCTCAGAGGTATCAAATTTATCCGTAATTCTACATCACTCCTGTATGCCGAGTCCATTACCGCTTGATCAATCAGGGTTCAGTCATATGTTTGTTGTCTATTCTGAACCAATAGAAATAGTATGGCGGTAACTGCTATCTTTCTATCTATCTCATTAACTAATTAGAGATATGAATACTTCAATCGGCGCTATCAGTAAATGGAAATATTTACTTCTACTAAAACTACAGTGAAGATGGAGTTCAATGCTTGATCCCGATATTTAGATCACAAAAGTTCTTTTTGTAGCTTTAATAAAATACTACTGTAGGACAAATGAATTCTGGTTTATTTGAGGGACAAACAGTTTTTGTTTCATCGCCATGGTTTTTTTGCTTGATTTTTTGTTACCAGAAAATATTTGATGTTTAGTTTCCAATATTTTGTGTTGTATGTATGAGCAAACTTTAGATGATACAAGCTTTTTAAGTTGAAAAAGTTAATCCAACTTTTTCAATTTCTTTCTCAACTTTCACAAAAATAATTAATTATCCGTCATCTTTCAAGAATGAAAATTTAAACCATATGTTTCCAAAAATCAAGAATTATTCATGTTTATTTTGAAAATAAAACTTTGGAATTGGCTGGATTTGCATTATTCTCTCTGCTTGCTAGAAAATTGATGGTTTTTTTAAAACGTATTTTGGTATGCTATAGTCCAGGAACGGAATTTTATGTATTGGAGAGAGGTCGCTGAACTATCTACCGCCCTGGTTTAAATCTTAAATCGCCTATTCAAGGTAGGAGATTCGTGAGGATTTTCTGAACCGGCGTTACATAGTTTGAGCAACCTCTCTCAAATTTATTAAATTTGGTCCAAAGGGATTTGAAAAGTTTCTATTCTATAAAGAAACTAAACCTTTGATATTTCAATCTTTTATTATTAGATCTATTCTAAAGTTATAGTTTGTCGCCACTCGCCAGTGCTCACTTCTTTTCTACGCTTCTGCAGTTTTATAGTTTTAATTGACTATTCGTTTACAGAGGGGTATGTCCGATTCACAACGGTACCCTTAAATCTGGTCAAAAATGTGGAAAAGATTTAGTTTTTCTAGCTAAAAAAGTATTCAATTCTGATAATTTCTACATTGTTTTCCTGCAGCATAATACATACTTAATTAATCAAAGTTTTAAGGGCACCGTTGAAAATCAAACATGCTTCTCTGTAAATGGAGGGCCATTGTAAATTACGCTGACAGTTCCTTAAAAAAATGTCGTCTTGACAATTTTTCAATGAGTTTTATGCTATATTTCGTAAATTTCAGTATTCGCGAAAATAAATAAATAGCCATGAATATGCAGGAACAGTTTTAAAGAGTTCCATATAATCATTTAATTAAAATCTAAAGATCTGCAACATTCCATTATCAGAAAGTGAAGAAGACGACATTTGATGAATTCTTTCGATGTATTCGTTATTAAGGGTTTGACTATATATATATATACTGGTGATTCAATATAATTAATTTGCTGTAATTAGATGTATATTTTTTGTAAAATTCTATTTGTCAATAGTTTTATTTTTAAAAATTTCCGAAAAGATTTTAAAAAATCCTCAAACGATTTTAAGAATTCACCAAATTTATAGTATCCTGAAGAATGCATTGCAATGAAACATAATGTGATACAATAAAACTTCAAATCATGCTTTGAATACTTATTTTCTTTCTTATGTATATAAGAACCTGTATTATGTTTACTCTATTGGGAATATATTTACTCAACCAATTTATTCTATTCACCTCTATGTTTCTTATTCTATGAGACCTGAGTTGAAAACTTTAGAATGGGGATCCTTTATCCCGATAGGTAAATTAATCTGGAGATTGATAACAAGAGGATAACAATCATGATTTAATCTGGAGATTAAGAAAAAGAGGAGATCAAGCATTAATATCGATATCCACCATTCTAAAGTTTTCAGCTCAGAGCTGGGAACTTCTGAATGGTGGATATGGGATTAATGCTTAATCCACTCTTTTTCTTAATCTCCAGATTAAATATTGCTTGTTTTACTCTTGTTTTTAATCTCCAGATTAATTAACCGATCGGGATTAAGGATATCCCAATCTAAAGTTTTCAGCTCTGGACATTAATAACAAGAGGAGAACAAGCATTATTTAGTCTCGAGATTAAGAAAAGAGTGGATCAAGCATTAATCCGATATTCACCATTCAAAAGTTCCCAGCTCCTAAAACTTTTTATTACATGAATCCTTCAACTTCTACTTTAAATTACACAATAACCTTGATGGTCCAAAATGCATGATCCATTTATAAACAACATTCATGCGGATTGTGACTTTCGATCCCAATGTGATCCACCTGTAAAACATATTTTTTTAGCCTTTTCTCTTCTATTTTTTTCGGAACAGAATAAAACTATAACTATCTAAAGAAAAAGCGTATTTCTTTAAAATGTTTTGGAAATTTTTTTCTTTGGTAATTACATTTTGATAACCTTCCAATAAAAAAGGCTGTGAATAACTACGCTAATGCCGTTTTTTACTCCCTCTTTATATATGATATATTTTATAATATACTAAATATATATAAAATATCTAAAATGAAATGAAATGAAAACAATGATGAAAAACATTTTTAGTAAACTGTGCTGGTTTTCTGTAATCTATCCGTGTGAAAACTGAAAACTCTGTAAGCAGAAAAGTTTAAATTAGAAAATCAGTTTTGGAAAAAGAATTGCACCAGACCGCAATCTTTGGTTTTTGTTTAAAACCTAGGAAACAATTTGTCAAAGATTTTCTTGAGCAAAATTCATAAACAATAAGATTGTGTTCAACCATTTTATCATTAAAATCAATATTTAAAGTAACATTTCATTTAAAGATTTCACACAGAGTCTATATAAATTCTTATCTAAACACCAAAGTGATGATAAAGATTTCCTTATTTTCCTTCTAAAAATTGATGTTTATTATCTTGGGGTTCTGTGCAAATTTGAAAACTTTACGTATTTTGTCAACCCTGCTCTGATTGACGACGTTTTGTCTTCCCATTTGTACAATTTGACCAAAAAAGGATATTTTTTTGTTTATTTCTGTTATGAATGCGCTTTTAATAAAAAAGTAGATATATAGTGCAACTATGTGAGTTTAAACATCGTTCCACTACTAATAAACTTTGGTTTAGTTTAATATTTTCCCTTTCATTTAGCATTTTTCTTGGCAACGTTTAAACATAATACCTGACTGGTTGAAAGAGCCTGTAAAGTGTAAACTCTGTCTTTACTGTTTATTGTTCAGACCCTTCGTGTCAATCCAGGCAGTCAGGATTCTTTTATACTTTATTCTTATATAAATATAAAGGACTCTGCACTCTTTTATACTTTATTCTTAAAGAAATATAAAGGACTCTGCACTCTTTCATACTTCTATATATAATACTTTCCTTTTCTTGGTGGGTATTTGTTCGTTTGTATCCAATAAACGTCAAAACTTTAGAACCGATTGGGCCGAAATTTTGTGTGGGGCCTCACATGACACCAGGGAAGCTTTATGGATGATCAAATTTTCAAAAATTTGCCTCTAACAAAATTCGATTTTTGAAATTTTTTTAAAGGGAGTGTTCGCGAAAAATGAAAGGGGGTATAGGCTTAATGCGATAAAAAAGCGCTTTTGATCGCTACTAATCTTACTTCTATCTGTTGCGTCTATAAGGAGAAAATTGTTAAAAACGACTCACACCGAAGAACGAAGAGTTCATACAAATTCAGAAAGATGCAACATTCAACTCGGATCGTAAAGAAATCTATTTAATTCCCAACAAATTATCCAGATATTACAAACAATAGTCATCGATTATTTTTCGACGCATTCGTAAATAGTTGATATTTCATAATATTTTGTATTTTTCATGATTTGAGAGTTACATTTTTTCCTGTTTCGAGGATTTTTGATAATGAAGACGACATTTTCATATTTTCCAGGAATGTTCGAAAATCCAGCGCCAGCGAAAATTAATCTAAAAAACAAAATCAAAAATATTATGAAATATTAACTATATATGAATGCGTCGAAAAATAACCGATTACTATTGTTTGTAATATCTGAATGATTTGTTTGGAATTAAATTGATTTGTTTACGATCCGAGTTGAATGTTGCATCTTTCCGAATTTGTATGGGCGCTGCGTTCTTCCGTGTGAGTCGTTTCTAACAATTTTCTCCTCATAGAAGCAACAGATAGAAGTAAGATTAGTAGCGATCAAAAGCGCTTTTTTATCGCATAAAGCCTATACCCCCTTTCATTTTTCGCGAACACTCCCTTTAAAATCCGCAAAATCTTTTACAATGTATACAAAGGACTCTGCACTGAGTCTGCTACATTATACATTGCCATTTATACTGTCCAGTATTATATAGGTTATTATAGTTTTATTATTTACTATACAAAAAAGGATCTGAAAATTTTGACAAAAATTCTAATTTTCTGATCCCTAGATATATTTGCAACCGGATCACTCCTGTATGCCGAGTCCATTAGCGCCTGACCCAATCAGGGTTCAGTCATGTGGTTGTTGTCTATTCTGAACCAATAGAAATATTATGGCGGTAACATCTATCTATCTATCTATCTATCTGTTTCGTGAGTACCCTCACGATATGTTGTGCCCCTTAGAGATGATGGAGAGTACGTTGGAAAGAACTTGTTCGCGTACAGATCCTGCCAGCCCTGTTTAAACTTTTGACCCAGTACGCCTTAGTCTAGTGTTAGAATTCGTGTCGTAAACATATTCACCGGTTTTCTTGTTTTTATGACTGAAATATTTGGAAAAGTGAATACTAAAATGTGTTCTTTTTCAGAATAAAATTGTTTTAGTCTGATTCAACTGATAATAACGATAATCGGCCTTGTAAGACACGTAGAGGTACGTACNTTAAAATCTACTTTCGTAGTCGACCCTAGAAATAATCTTAATCATTGTTTAGGGTGATTTTATGTATGAATGAGAATGGGATGAATGTTGCATTTATTATTTTTTATTACTAGAACAGGGGTTTTCATAAGTCATGAGATTGGTCTTATTTGGGTTATGTTATTTGAATTAATTGGTCTTTCTTTTATAAGATTGAACGTGTATATAGCTGGAACCTGTTCTTGAAAGAATGGCAGGATCTTCGCGTAGTTACAATCCATCTCGCAAGCCGGATATTAGGTAGCCTCTTATTTTTTGGGAGTTACTGTAAGTTTATGATTTGTTAAGTGCTCTGGGGGCACGAAACAGACTAGATACCTTTTAAAGTTAATAAAAAGCGTAATTTTAATTGATCTTCTCTATAAAAGTTGGCTATGTCTAATTCACAATGGTACCATTGTAAATATGGAAGATATTGTCGCTTTTTTAGGTTTAAAAGTGTTTAATTTTGATTACTTTTTTATGGTTTCCTGCAGTAGAAATGCGCAAATCACGATTGTGGATGAACCACCTTTAAAAATAGTCTTATTTTCAAATGATAAAAAATGACATTTAATTCATACTTGATCAGGCAAAGCTTTCAAAGTTACCATTATGAATCGGGCATTGCCATATTTGTATATATATGAAATATAAAAAATGTAATTCTTTTTTCATTTAATTAGTTTTTTTTAATCAGAATAAAGATATTTACTGATCAATAAATATAAAGTGTAATGTAATTGACAACTAATTAATTTTTCTCCATCTATATACCGGATCTACCATCTATGTACCGGATCTGCCATCTATATACCGGATCTAGCATCTATATACCATCTATTTACCGGATCTACCATCTATATACCGGATCTACCATCTATGTACCGGATCTACCATCTATATACCGGATCTACCATCTATATACCGGATTTTCCATCTATTTGCCGGATCTACCATCTATATACCGGATCTACCATCTATTTACCGGATCTACCATCTATATACCGGATCTACCATCTATATACCGGATCACCATCTATACCGGATCTACCATCTATATACCGGATCTACCATCTATATACCAAATCTACCATCTATATACCGGATCTGCCATCTATTTACCGGATCTACCATCTATATACCGGATCTACCATCTATATACCGGATCACCATCTATATACCGGATCTACCATCTATATACCGGATCTACCATCTATATACCGGATCTACCATCTATATACCGGATCTACCATCTAGAAACTCTGATTGGGTTTCTGGATTACAGGATAATCTTAATCGAAACTTTACAACTGATTAAAGGGATTGAAGACGGAATCTCGGTGAAACATTAATTTCAACTTTTTTTCTTCATTTTTAACTGTCTTTTATAATCATTCATTAACCATAAATTAAAATAGGTTTAAATTTAGAATTTTTAGTTAAAAAGGAAGTACCTGTACAAGTCTTTGCCACAAACCTCTTTTTTTTCTCTCCATCGTTTCACACTGATGGTGTAAACCCATTATTTTTCAAACTTCAATTATTTGATGTAACAGAATAAAAATTTTAAAATATCCATTCTAATGTCTACGACATCGGGTTGCAAAGATTTATGGATTAGAAAATTTGAGTGTGTGGGAAAGATCAAATTCCTTTCTCATTAATTTCTCATTAAACACCCTTCTTTATACTTCATCCTTATCTTTTTTTATTCATCTATTCTCAATTGAATTAAAATCTACTTTCGTAGTCGACCCTAGAAATAATTTTCATCATCGGTCTGTAGACGGGTGAATACTATACATATACATCCTAGCTCTAATTTGAATTAAGAAACTAGTAAGTTTATAGGAGCCAAAGACTTAGGCAGAGAAACTTCTTCTCAAAGTGTTGATAACACCTTGAGTTTAAAAGTACATTAAATGATCATCCTAGGCTGATGCAGTGTTAGCAAGAGAAATAGGATTATTTAATGTTTATACCACTGCCAACAAAATTAAAAGAAAATGAAGATAAAAATTAAAAACCAAGAAAGAAAAATCGAATCAGAGCTTTTTCAAAAATATAGATATGTATGTATCCTGCAAGACTGCCACCGCCAGAGTCAATCATTTGCTTTGCATTTTGAGACCGGATAAATTTAAGAAATTTTAAGATTACTTTCATCAAATAACCCTCAAAACCTTCATCTATTCTAACATTTTTCATTCGTCCGATCTTATTCTTCTTCATTCATTCTTTCTCATCATCTTGATTGATTGTCATGTTTTCTCTCATACAATACAAACAACAACAGATAAACCTGGCGTGGCCACTGTAAAAAAATGATCATTTTTATTCCATTAAAAAACTCCCCGTTAACGATCACATTGTTAAAAAACGCTCCCGATTGACCCTTAAAAAAGGATGGGAGAGTGGGAGGGTTTGAATTAAATGTGCCGGGTGCCCAGCCCCACTCTGGGGAAGTCAGGTCCTTCACAGAGTGAAGAGGCAAGGTCCAATTTCATGTCAAGGAAGGTTTGTTACCAAGTAGGTTTACTCTGTCTGCCATTCCCCCCCTTCCCCTCCCTACAAAAAAAACTTCCGGTTATATACCTGAAGGGAGTAGTGGGTTGCGCGACAGTCACTGAAACCATTCATCCCAAGCAATATCCGGTTTTACCTTACACTGTATTTATATAATTTATTATTGTGGATAATTCATAAGACTTAATATGTGGTAACCATAATACTCTTACTAAACTCAATTTATTACTTTAATAAAGTCCAATGAAAATGAAAAAACATCAATTGTGCATGGGAATGTGAAGTGAAGTTGAACAGACACTCAAAAATTTTATAAATAAGTTAATAGTAAAACTATTTACTTTGCAACAATATCAAATACACTTAATTATTGCTTTAATATAGTTTTCATATTCCACGATTTTCTGGTTTTCCAAATAAGTTTCAGAGAACAGAACAATTGATTTTTCAATTTCCACAAAACTAAAAATTATATATTTTAAAATTAATTCTTCAAAACATTTGTTTTCATTTTTTGATGCCATGCCTGGGAAAATATTTGCAAAAAAAACTATCAATTTTTATTGGTTTGCTTCATCCTTCTATTTCTCTAATGTTATAAATGTTGCATAAATTATTTTAAACTTTTACAAAGTACAGTTTTGAAATGATGGAAATTTGACAGTATTTTGCGGTAAGGTAAAAGTGCAAAAGTCTGAATAGTTTTAGTATTAGCTATTGCAAATCACTATGGCATCATTTATGGGTAGCTCAGGGTCGTATGCAGGAATTTATCTGGGGTTTGGGCCGGGGCTTAGTACCCGTTAGGACCTGAAACCCCCTTGAAATCAATAGATTTTACTGGTCCAGGGGGGACTTAGTCCCCATAGTCCCCCCTGAATACGCCTCTGAGGTATTTCAAATGTACCCGCGGAGGTTATCACTATAAACTAAAGACAGAAGCAGGTTCGGTCAAATTTATGCGACCCCAACTTTGTGACCGCGTTGCTTGTCAAGTTTTGATTTTATGCTCGAGTACGAAAATAAGAATTTATCCTTTGCAAACATTACCAGGTCGACTTTGAGACCTCGTAGTTCCTTTACTATTAACTTACGTTTGAGAAAAGATATCTATCCGGTTTCATTTTAGTAATTCAATTTTTCTTCTCATTAACTCTTTAAAAGAGGAGATATCATATGGTAATGGGCGATTTTATCAATATAAAAAGGACGACTTTCGGTTTCAATTTTAATTTAAAACGGGCTTTTAAACAGCATGGATACACAAAAACATGGAAACAAAGAGAAGCTTTCAATTAAAAAGCTTCTCTTTTATTCATTGTAAACTTTAAATTTCAAAAAAAACTTTTTACAATTAAAACTAGAATAAAAATTCGTCTTTATTATATTGATATAATCACCTGCCACCGTACCGACGTCTAGAGTGAAATTAATTATCTAATTAATTAAGTGTTGATTTTCAGAGAGATGCGAGATACAGGGGGAAAGAATGGTATGGATGGTAAGGAGGACATTGAGATGAAGGACAAGGAGGACAAGATGGACAAGATGGAAGACCAGTATGAGGATCAATATCTATCTGCTGTTGGAAACATTGGAAAATGGCAACTTAGGAACATTTATATTTAACATTTTTTAGAAGCTATTTTACGTAGCTTCATTGATTATTATTTTTAATTAAAGGTGAATGTAAGATTTATTTCAAGTGACTCTGCATTTAGAGATATAGCAATGCAGGATTTAAAAGCTTTGTCTCAAGTATGAATTAAATATCAATGTTTTTGTTTCTTTAACCTGTTTATTTTCATTTTTGGTTTCTTGCTTATAAGAAACAATGGAGAAATTCACAGAAATCAACATTTTTAAAGTAAAAAAATACGGTATTTTCCACATTTTTAGCATGAAAATCATTTTAAATTACGCTCACAGTCCCTTTAACTTAATAGATGATAAAGGTTGTTAAGTGTGACAAAAATAGCTTCATTATTTAAAGAAAATAAGAAAATTTTGTTTTACACAGATTGTTTACCCGCTTGAAAACATCTCTTGACTAATAGTAATTAGCAATGTGTTTAAAGGGCAGTTTAAATTACATCCTGCGACCGACGACGGGTTTTCCGACGCTCTAGCACCCTCGTACATAAAGCGATCCCACTGGAACAGCAGAGACCCTGCCATACGCGCATTTTCACAAGGTTTTTTACACAGCAATATGTAGAACTATTAGTACTTTATACAGTGCTAATGTACTGTAGAACTATAAGTACTTTATACAGTGCTAATGTTTAATGGGAAGACGACTAAGCAGCTATTTTTTCTGTATATATATTTGAAACTTGAAAAACCACTTAATAGGTTAAATGGGTCTGTGTACACTGCACATTTGTCGTGTTTTATATTCATGTACATTACTCGCGCTTCTGTCTATGCAGTTTTTTCATATTCCACACGTTTATGGGTCTAACTGTAGGTGTGCTTATTTCTTAAAATATTTAAATTAAAATTTAAATGTGACTTCATTGTTGAAACTCGAAAACTATTTTAAATTAACCTTTTTTTAACATCACTCTTACTAGTTTGTAAGTGATTATTTTTACCTTCTTTTGACCAACTTTACATGGTTTCCTTAACAACGGGATGTTAAATTACTAAACTGTTCTCTGAGCCAACTAAGTAAAATAACAGTGGCGTGCACTGGTCACGTGATTTTCGTCTGTATCACATGACAACGATACTGCACTGCCATTGGATGAAGTTCTATTGACGTAATACGGACTATACGGACTATATGTAATTATATTATCAATTATGTCTATTAAAAATGCAAAATGCAAATTAAAAAAAAAACAATAATAGGATCAAACCTGAGATTCTCAGGTTCCTGTGGGATATCGTCGTTTTCAGATTGGTTGCGTATTTGTTGAATATGATCTGTTTAATGCTACAACTTTTTTCAAAATTGCATATATTTGAATTTTCGTATAAATTTGACACAGTTGTATATCAATTTCTCGAGATAGGAGCATCAGATAGACGTTTTATATGTAACGCTTGAGATTCTCAGGTTTCATCCTATACCCCCTTTCATTTTTCCTTTACAGTCCCTTTAAGTAAAATTTTTAATTATAACTAACCTTAATAAGTAGATCATCTTTGAGTTCCAAAATTTTGAAATTCCTTTTTCTATAGAAAGATTTTTATACGTGACAATTTAGAGAGAAAAGAAAAAAAATGAAATAAAATGTTTTAATAAAAACTAGGGTTTTATCATTCATTCTTTTACTTAAATTTCTATATATAATACTTGATAAATCTTTTAACATGATTAGGAAAAAAATGAATAAGATCATTTGTAATATTTTAAATCTTTAAAGAAGAAAACGAATTTAATAATATTTTTCAATAATAAATTCAATTCAATGTTCAGAGGTTCATTCAGCTTTAAAACTAAATAATTTTTTTAATTTTACATTTTCTTTTACAGGGATGGGTTTTTAAATTACTCTCCTGTTACAGATAAAAAAATTGTTAAATTGTCTTATTTTATTAGAAACCTACAGTGAGAACCAGAAAACTGTGGAATAGGGAGACATGATGGCAAAGATGGCACTTTTGTAGAGAACCCCGATTGAAAATAAACAGTTTTCAAAATTATAAACATTCATACCTAATTATAATAATTGATCGGACGAAGCTTATAAGGGTATCATTGTGAATCGGGCATTGCCATCTTTGCTTGGAGGGTCATTTGAAATTACACTTACAGTCCTTTTAAGTTCAATTGATATCAATTTATAGAGCAAATATTTTTACCAATAATCTTTTAAATCACTTGTTAAGTAAAATTGTTTATTCTTCACAATTGCTTATTAGGATTAGATACTACTTTCCTGTCATTGTGAATAGATAAAAGAATAGATATAAAAATGTAGATCTATTCTAACTCTATCTATTCTAACACTAGGAATATTCTGTATTCCTGTAAATAGATAAAAGAATAATTATAATATTGTAGATCTATTTTAACTCTATCTATTCTAACACTAGGAATATGCTGTATACCTCTAGAATTGATAAAAGAATAAATATAATATTGTAGATCTATTCTAACTCTAGGAATATTCTGTATTCCTCTAGAATAGATAAAAGAACACATATAAATATTGTAGATCTATTCTAACTCTATGAATATTCTGTATTCCTCTAGAATAGATAAAAGAATAAATATAAATATTGTAGATCTATTCTAACACTAGGAATATTCTGTATTCCTCTAGAATAGATAAAAGAATAAATATAAGTATTGTAGATCTATTCTAACATTATGAATATTCTGTATTCCTCTAGAAATACATAAAAGAATAAATATAAATATTGTAGATCTATTCTAACTCTTGGAATATTCTGTATTCCTCTAGAATAGATAAAAGAATAAATATAAATATTGTAGATCTATTCTAACACTAGGAATATTCTGTATTCCTATAGAATACATAAAAGAATAAATATAAATATTGTAGATCTATCCTAACTTTAGGAATATTCTGTATTCCTGTGGCCTTCCATGTTCTTATCATGACCTTCATGAATGCAAAGGTATGATTAAATTTTGTTTCTTACATTTTTTTGAATATATGCCTATATAGAGTTATTAACAAAAGCTTAATAATACTTTGTCATTAAATACCAAAGGGGTTAAATTTGTTCTAATTTTTGTTACAACAGGTTTGAAATTAGCTGGGTTCAATGAAAATTGTTGCAAAATAAATATTTTACCAAGGAATTATTTTTTTTTGCACTCAGATGTCAGAAACTGATTTATATTCAAAATTGTAAAAAGTCAATTTATTAATAAAAAACCTCTAATTTGAAATATCAAAGATGTAAGGGAATAGAAAACTAGAATTTGAGGCAAGGGAACAGTTCCTTTCCTTTACAAATCCTGTATTCCTGATTCATAGGAACTGTAAGCGTAATTTCAAGGGACCCATTATAGAAAGATTGCAAATGCCCGATTTACGTTGGCACCTCGCATTGCCTGATCAAGTGAGATATCCATGCAAGCTTTTGTTTATTTAAACTGTTTTTTATTGTGTTTTCTCTCCAGACCCGACTTGCGCATTTGTTTCTTGTAAAATCGCGAAAGAAATGTAAAGAAATAAACTTTCCAGTCAGATTATCTACGTTATCTTTCACATTGTTGATAAGATTAAGGTTTCAAGGGTACCGTTGTAAATCGGGCATTGATATCTTTGCATGGCGCACACAGACTGTAGGTCCCTTTATCATGAACTTGCAACTGTTCATCTGTTCTTTATTAAAATTAATGTTTTGCAATATGTATGTTATTCGACTAAGTTTAAAAGCGGTTAGCATATTATGTAAACAAAATAAAATTCATCACCGGGTTAAAAATGTTCTTGTAAAAACAATTCCTATAGTTTGCAGCCCAATCATTAAACTATAAGGTCTAAAACTGTATTCTTAATTTGTTTATTGTTTTTTTTGTGTGGTTTGCGTTATATAATATCTGTATTTGTTAGTTATCTTCATTAAAAACAAATATTAAAAGCAAAGAATCTCAAAAGCAATTCTTCCAATCTTATGCACTGCATTTAAGAAGCTAAAATAGTTTTAATTAAAGTCTAGATTTTTATTAGATTAAAATCTGTAGTACACGTTACGCTTTTCAGGATCACATGAAAACTTAAATAAAAATTATATCTTTTATAGACTCAAGAGTAAAGTTCAAATGTTTTTAATCTGCACACATGTTCATCAGAACTATAAAAAACTATAAATTATTCTAAGAAAATTAGAGTATTGAACTCTGGAAATGAAATACAAATAATAAAATTATAGATTTTAATTTTGAAAGATCTTCAGCAAGCTTTTGTCGTATTTTGTTTAAAGAAAATGTTTAACATAAAAAAGGGAAAAAAATGCAATAATGATGTGACCCTTAAAGGGACAGATCGGCTTTGTAAGGTAAACTGAGTATGCTGTGTTGTGGACAATTTTTTTTTAGGATTCATTTGAGACATATAGAACTTTTCAACGATGTATAATTACTGAGTTTGAGTTCATAGTCGACGTTCAAATCATAAATTTGGGTGGGTACCTTTTCAGAATCGGTTTTTTTTAATTATCAAATAACGACGACGAAAAATAAAAGTAAAAATTACACAGTAAACTAATTTGATGGTTAGGAACATATTTCTCAAAAGAAATTTGTCAATAAATCAATGCTAGAATCAATTATTTCGCTTTCATCATGTTATCCAATTTCTTATTTTCTATGAATTTATTCGCAGATTTCTACAAATTCTTCAATTGTCGTCTTATCAATAATAATTCCAGAAAATCAGCAGAAAATCTTTGATGATAATGAGAAACTAGAATAATGAGAAAATAGAAACTAATTGAACAAGATTACTAATTTTCGATGATAAGATTAATTTTTATTTTCTCGACCTGTTCCTAAACAACTAATTAGTTTACTGTATAATTTAGTTTACATTCCTTGTCGTTGTTATTTAATAATTTTGAAAAAATCGATTCTAAAAACGTATCCACCCAAAAGAATGATTTTGAACGTCGGCTTTGCGCTCAAGCTCAGAATTTACAGATCTTAAAATGTGTTATATGTCTCAAATGAATCCTAAAGAATTTTTCCACAACACTGCATACTCAGTTTAACTACCTTACTTAGCCGGTCTGTCCCTTTAAAGACTTCAATTTTTGAAGAATTCAGCTTAGTAACTTTTTAAAAATTGCTTTTATACTTTAAATTTGAAATTAAAATAACCTATCTGAAATTTTATAAATAATTATTTAATTAACTTAGTATTAATTGTTGACTCACCCACTTGAAATAGGAATGACTACTATACCAAAAGAAACCCAAAAAAAATTCACTGGCTTCAAATTATTTAAAAGATTTGATAGAATTTATAGTTTGTATTAATCAAAGGCTTATAACACAATCAGGTTCCATTTCTTTTCTCTGAGAAAATATATATTGTAAAGAATAAGAAAAAAATTATCAAATAATTATATGTAAACCCTATTATGGTTAGGTAAAGGAGTGTATTTTTCACCTCCCTCCCTCCCTCCTGTGTTTTTCAAAATGATTTTAAACGGATTCAATTAGAACGCTAAGTTTTGAAAAAATGTGGACAAAACATTTGTTTATGCATAGGATATGGTAGAGGACAGTAAATATACGGGTCAGTGTTTCAAAAAAATCAGAAATGCTTACTAACTTTTTTGTTATTAAAACTGCAGAGCTAATAAATACTTGTCTAAACATAAAATAATTGATTTTAACATTTTTCCGACATGGTGTTTGTAACTTTTTTAAATCCTCCCTTGCACACTAACCATTAAAGTTATAGGTCCATTTTTTAATGAGCAGGCCTTGAAAAGTTGGATTAAGAATATGAATTAAAATCATTTAAAAATAAACGGGGCATTCCCGATTCACAATGAAACCATTTATTTATTTCTCTGATCGAAAATGTTTCTTACTTAAATTGTTGTTAGTTCTGACAAATCCTCCATTGTTTCTGCTTACTATACCTGAAATCCTCAATTTACCTCAATAGAGAAACCACAATTCTAAATTATCAAAGTTCCAAAATAAAAACAAGCATATATTAGAACTCTTCAGAACACCTTTGTAAAACGGTTATTCTCCTAAGCATTGATTGTAAGAAGGAAATAATTTTGTTATTTAAATCTAGGTAGAAAGTTGGTGTGCCCGGCCAGCCCATCTGTCTTCACTAAACCTTTCTACCTGGCGTACAGTTAGCGGGCAGGTCAACCAGTCCTGTCAGATTATTAACACTACCTGGACCTTATTCAGTTTGACAGGTAACCTAGATTATTAACAATACCTGGACTATATTCAGTTTACCAGGTAAACTAGATTATTAACACTACCTGGACTCTATACAATTTAACAGGTAAACTAGATTATTAACAATACCTAGACTCTATTCAGTTCACCAGGTAAACTAGATTATTAACACTACCTGGACTCTATTCAGTTTAACAGGTAAACTAGATTATTAACATTACCTGGACTCTATTCAGTTTAACAGTAAGCTAGATTATTAACACTACCTGGACTCTATTCAGTTTAACAGGTAAACTAGATTATTAACAATACCTAGACTCTATTCAGTTTAACAGTAAGCTAGATTATTAACACTACCTAGACTCTATTCAGTTTAACAGGTAAACTAGATTATTAACACTACCTGGACTATATTCAGTTTAACAGGTAAACTAGATTATTAACACTACCTGGACTCTATTCAGTTTAACAGGTATACTAGATTATTAACACTACCTGGAATCTATTCAGTTTAACAGGTAAAATAGATTATTAACACTACCTGGAATCTATTCTCTTCAATTAATTACATGACATATCATATATAACAATAATAGATCTTCAGATGTTACAATAAAACAAATTTTTAATATTCTCTATTTAGATTTAGAAAACTTGTCTGTGTTCCCCAATGAAGAAAACAGTTTAATTGATTGTACAGAATGGGAATACGATACATCACAGTTTATTTCTACAATTACAGGTTTGTAAACTTGTCTTTATTCTATGTACAGGATTGATTACTACTACAGGATGAGACTTCAGAGACGATTTTACGGAATTTATACTGTCTGTTTTCTTGTATTCACGATTCCGGGGCCTGAAAATGTAAACTTGTGTGTTTCTTTGCCAAATAATAAAATAAGCCATTAAATTATACTATGTATAAATTAATGCATAACTTAACCTTGAAATTGTCACATTGAGGTCTTCTTTACAATAGCAGCCTATGCGGGCAACCCTGTACAAAGAGTAAAGCATTAAAGGAAGTTGCGTTTTTATTTTTTGCTTTCTCTGAAAGATTTTAAACTTGCATTCTTGGAGAGTTTAATCTTGTATTCTAGGAGAGTTTAATCTTGTATTCTAGGAGAGTTTAATCTTGTATTCTAGGAGAGTTTAATCTTGTATTCTAGGAGAGTTTAATCTTGTATTCTAGGAGATTTTAATCTTGTATTCTAGGAGAGTTTAATCTTGTATTCTAGGAGAGTTTAATCGTGTATTCTAGGAGAGTTTAATTTGGTACTCTAGGAGGGTTTAATCTTGTTTTCTGGGAGAGTTAATTATTGAATTTTAGGAGAGTTTGATCTTGTATTCTAGTAGAGTTTAATCATGTATTCTAGGAAGGTTTAATCTTGGATTCTGTGAGAGTTTAATCTTGTATTCTAAGAGAGCTTGATCTTGTTTTCTAAGAGAGATCAATTTTGTATTCTAGGATGGTTTAATCTTGTTTTCTAGGAGAGTTCAATCTTGTTTTCTAGGAGGGTTTAATTTTGTATTCTAGGAGAGTCTGATCTTGTATTCTAAGAGAGTTTAAGCTTGTATTCTAGGATTGTTTGATCTTGTATTCTAGGAGGGTTTAATCTTGTATTCTAGGAGAGTTTAATCTTGTATTCTAGGAGAGTTTAATCTTGTATTCCAGGAGAGTTTAATCTGGTACTCTAGGAGTGTTTAATCTTGTATTTTGGAGAGTTTAATCTTGTATTCTAGGAGAGTTTTATCTTGTATTCCAGGAGGGTTCAATCTTGTATTCGTGGAGTGTTTAATCTTGTATTCTAGGAGAGTTTAATCTTGTATTCTAGGAGAGTTTAATTTTGTATTCCAGGAGAGTTTAATCTGGTACTCTAGGAGTGTTTAATCTTGTTTTGTAGGAGAGTTTAATTTTGTTTTTCTTGTTTTCTAGGAGAGTTTAATCTTGTATTTAAGAAAGTTTAATCTGGTATTTAAGAGAGTTTAATCTTATATTATAAGAGAGTTTAATCTTGTATTCTAGGAGAGTTTCATCTTGTATTATAGGAGAGTTTAATCTTGTATTCTAGGAGAGTTTAATCTTGTCTGTAGTCGTGAATATCTTGTATCTACTGCTCAGACTCTTTACTTTATTGGAATGATATTTGGAGTTTTCACTTTCGGAGTTCTAGGTAAATTTATTTCAGTCAAGTTAAAAATTTTCTCGCCAAAAAATTATATTTGAAATTTTGAATTTTTGATAAAAAAATCTTTATTTTTGAGCAAAACTTGTAAAATTAATTTTTCTTTTAAAATCTTTGCAAAATTACAAAAATTTAGACAATTAGAGAGAGAATTAACTATAAATGTAGGCTCATAGTAAATATTTAATCTTTATGAAAAGATTTTTTATACTATCAACTAATGTTGATTTTTTAACTTTTTAAGTTTCCATTTTTCCTCTTGGTTCAAGCAAATTAATTCTTGTGATTTTTCTGTTTACATTAATGGCTAAAAAGATGTAATTTTCACAAAACATTTTACTTTCTGAAGATATTGCTTGTTATTTTTATATGAATCTGACCTTTACTTGATTTAATATTGTATAAAACTCATTTCCTTGTGGTTAAGCTACTAATGAATAAATTTAATATAATACATTTTTTATTTGTTTACATTGGATGAACATTAAAATGGAAACTTTTTTTGGTTTAAATTGTACGGTTTGTTTGATCAAATATATATTTTGCTACAGCGAAAACCTGAAAACTATAGTACAGAACGACAACATTCCAGCGTATTGATGTCGTTACCGTGCACAACAAAAATTTTAAATAACTAGAAATTCAAGGCGCTTCGCGCCCTTCTTTCTAGCCTTAGAGGGCGCTTCGCGCCCATCTCCTAAATTAATTGTGAACATGTTCTCTTTGTGTACGTCGTACATCGTAAGACAAAACAAAAATAATTCGCGGACTTTCACAAAAAATTTCGCGGATTTTCAAAATTTTAAAAAATTTAATGACGATCGAATTTTGATGGAGACAAATATTTGAAATTCTGATGATTCATAAACCTTCCCTGGAGTCCCTAGATGTCCCACAAAAAAATTGGGCCCGACCGGTTAAGCCGTTTTGACGTTTATTGGATACAAACAGACAGACAGACAGATAAACAGACAAGCCAAATTTATATATAGATAACTTATTCAGTTAAATGGGTCTGCTTGACTTTTATGTTTACAAACTGTATCCATGCTGTTTAACAGCTTGATACAAATCAAATTAAAATTGAAATTTGTCCTTATTGTATTAATATTATCGCCTACCACTATATTTAATTTTCAGCTGACTATATTGGAAGGAAAACAGTGATGATACCTCTTCTGATGCTAGTTGGTGTGACAGGTATATATTTGTTTCTATTGAGGGTATAACGAGGGTTTAAACAAAGGTTAAAACGAGGGCAAAATTTAAAATAAAATGTTACTTAGAAAAACACATGTTTTATTAAACTTTTGTTGTACTTTAAACAATCACAAACTATATTTGTTCTTGTGTCAGCTAATTTTCTCTTTACAACTTCAATTCTTTTAACACCATTTCCTATTAAATAGAATGGACTGTTGGTGAAAAGACATTTTTTAAAGTCTATATTCTAGAACATGATATAGATTTTGCTTTTTTTAATCAGATTGGATGATTTTTGTAAAATATAAATTGGAATTTGAAATTTGATGAAAAAAAATCTATTATTTACGACTGGACACTTAAAAATGAATGACGCAAAAAAATTACAGCTCATTTTGTATCGAAGAGTTTAAAATATTACAGGGGACATTAGTTCCAAAACTAATACTTGGCCCATTTCTAACACTGAACGTTAGAAATGGGCACAAATTGAAAGACTGGGGTTTTAGGATCCCGGTCATGATTAAGAGTAAAAGTCAATAGAAAACTGTAGCCAACATTTTATCAAGCATCACAATCACAAAAATTCCGAATTTTAAACTACTAGAAATTCAAGGCGCTTCGCGCCCTTCTTTCTAGGCTTCTTCTATTTATATTGTGAACATGTTCTTTTTGTTTACATTTTAAAACAAAGAAGAAAAAATGTTGCGGATTTTAAAAAAAAAATTCGCGGATTTTCAAGAATTTAAATTTTTTTACAAAATTAAAAACCTTCAAAACATATTCTTTTTAAATTTTTATCATTCATAAACCTTCCCTGTGGTCACGAGATGTCCCACAAAAAATTTGGGTCCTATCGGTTCAGCCGTTTTGACGTTTATAGGATACAAACAGACAAACACCCAGACAAGCCAAATTTATTTATAGACTTTCTTAAATCAAAATTATAAAGGAGTTTTTTTATATTAAAACCCTTGACCGTTTTCAAGACAATGTCAGGTTTTCCATTTTCTGCATTGCAAGAACACAATAATCTTAATATTTTGATTTCTAAATGCGGTATTGTTTTTTTAATTACAAAAGAACAACATGTTACTATTTTCGATTTGTTTATATTTTACTTTATCAAAAAAATATTGTTTTATATGACCTTTATAAGTGCATAAATACTTAAAAATTGACATTGATATGACTTTGAGTAACTGTCTCAAAACCAGGATATGTTCCAAAAACGCGACAATAGCTAAAAAGCGGAAATTGTTTCAAATTAGGGATATGTTCGAACATGAGAACAAGAATCATCAAAAACTAATTTTCACACCTTATTATTAGTACTTCTTGTTTCAATAAATAGTTTTAGCCATTTCTTATAAATGTATGGTAGTTTTGTTTAACTCGACTTGGATTTGAAGATTCATAAAAACGCTTGACAAAGATAACTTTGAAGATTTTCTAACACTGAGTGTTAGAAATAGACCAAGTGTTAGTTTTGGAACTAATGTTCCCTGTATTACATTTGCAGTTGACAATGAAAATATAACTACTGAAAGGGATGTAAGCGTAATTTTAAGCTTTTCTAAGTCTAAAAGTATTTAATTCGGATAATTCCGAAATGGTTTCCTGCAGTAAAAATGTCACTTTTGTAGAGAGAAACTTCAATTGTAGATTATCAGTTTTTTCAAATTACAAAGTAAGGATTTATAAATCATAATTGATCAGACAAATCTTCTAATGGTATCATCTTGAATTGGATAATGATTGGTCATCATGGAAATTTTATCTTAAAATTATTCATTTTCAATTTTGGTTGTTGAGTTGTGGTATATATCGGATTTGCACAGCAGGGGCAAAATGAAGGCAATTGAAATAGTTTATATAATTAAATCTATAAGATCCGATCAAGGTAAAAAGATTATCATTCTGATTCGGTTAAGCATTTAAAGCTTTAAATATAGTTTCACTTGTAAAACTGTAGACAATCTCTTTAATCAATATACATGTTTGTCCCTTTAACATTTTAACTTTGAAGTTATTATGGTTTGTATGAATGTAAACAATTATCCGGTCTGAGTTTGTTAAAATTCATTGTGCGTGGGAGGGAATTGTAAACATTACAGTTGACAGTGTAAATATTTATTTTTAATGTCGTATCATTACAACAAAACTTGCTGAATTCACTAATTATTCAATATTTTCATCATTAGGTTTTTAGATAATTAATTTCAAGAGATCCCCCCCCCCCCAATGTAAAAGTTTTATCCCGATTACCAAAAATTAGAAAAAGGAAAATATCTTTATTATTTCAAGTTTCCCTTAAGTAAAAGGGCGGTCATTAATAAATATTCCCTTTACTTATAACCTCAGAAAAACTAGGACAATTCTTACAATTTCCTCCTTTGTTTCTGAAGCATAGATCCGCAATTTGAAACCATGATTAAAAATAATCAACTTCCTGGGCAGACGAAGCATGTGTATCGTTGTAAATAGAACATGCCAGTATAAACCACGAGTCCTAGATGTAAATGCATTATTCTAAAAGGAAAACCAAAAATCAAAGTCCTATAATAGTTTTTTTTAAATAAAATTGATTTTAACCCTTTCCCGTCTGGGCTATTTTTGTCCAACTTATATAGGCGCCCCCCCCCCACCCAACATGATTTTGCCCTTAAAGTTGAGATAGGGTAGTGTGATACATGTCCATAGTCTTACTTTTCAAGGCCTGCTCATAAAAAGAAAATTAGACCTCTAGCTTTAATGGTAAGGGTGCATTAAAAGGGAGGATGGCAAAAAGTTCAAAAAGTCGCCAATTTTTATAATTTTCAATTAATATACATTTCTGCAGGTTTTTGATGTAAAAATGGCTGGCTTTTTAAAACTAGCAAATTTAATTAATTCCAATTTAACCTGACCATGTACTCTTTACCATGGGGCATATAAGTTGCTTCACAAAAATTGGGCCCGATCGGTTAAGACGTTTTACGTTTATTGGATCCAAACAGACAGACAAGCACAATATTTCTATATATATATATTTTGCGGATAATCCAGGATCATAGAGAATAGAATATATATTAGAGGGGATTTAAGGAATCTCTCGGTATGAATTTTTTCAGTCCCTTTCAGCCTGAAAAAGAGTTGAAAGTGTACAAATAATGTAAATGTTTACATATTATGTGCAGTTTAAAGGGAAGGTCAATTGATATTACGCCTACAGTTTTTAAAAGCCCTGGAAAATAAGGTTTTCACAAAATCAAAAGTATAACAAAAATTTAGGCATATTTTGCTAAAACATTAATTCCCAATGAAAGGTTCAACAGAAATAAAGATATCATTAATCAAATCAAAACTTTCAAACTCAACAAAAATTTTAAAATGTGTAGTTAACGATAGAATCTTTAAAACTTCAATCCTTTTAAAAAACCTGGAACTATTTTGAAAAAAAAACAATTATTTTTTGCAATCTCTAAACAAACACTACTGTACCATCTTTTAAAAAAACTTATTTTTAAACCAATTGGGAATTTTTTTTTACATTTTTTTTAGAAATTACAAAATGTTTTTACTACAAATAGTCATATTTTTCAATTCTGGTTTCCTTAATTCCCTTTATTTATCTGTGTTGCATTATATCTGTAAAAGACTAATATGCATGAAGTTCTGAACATGGCTGATAAAAAAAAATGCTATTTCTATTGTTTAAGGAATCGGAACCGCGATGGCACCAACCTTTGAGCTGTTTATGGCATGCAGGTGAGACCTTTGGACTTTCAGAATTATTTTCAGAAAATTCATAAAATTGACATTTTGATTTTGAAAATCTAAAGAAACGTCTTGAGGACGGAAGTTTAAAAAATAATTAAAATAATTAAAAAATAATTAATCTAAGCCATATCCCGAAATACCAATAAGAGATCACACAAATTCCAGTCTGCAGGTTTTCCACGGATTAAGAACATGGTCTTTAAATCGAAAGTGTTCACTACGGATATCAATATCAGGCGCTGAAGATTAGAATTATTTTACACAAAAAGTGTTCAATCCTATGCCTCACAAATATGCATACACCCTTTCATGCACCGTATAAAGTTCTAACAAGCTGTCGTCGTTTATAACAATACAATGAAGGGACTTACGATTTCTATTCTTGATTTCCACCTTACTTTCAAACATCAAGGATAAACAGAAACATGAAAATAAAGAGAAACTATCAATTAACAGCTTCTCTTTGCTTACTTGTAAACTTCTAATTTAGAAATCAAAACTTAAGTAAATAGAAAAGCCGTCTTTATTGAATTGTTATAAACTAAATTATGCTAAATGCTAAAAACTAAATTAAGAATAAATAGTGTCTCTTACTAAAGTTTATCTAAGCTTTTTTAACAGTTCTGTTTTATTTTCACAGTAACATTGTATCTAAAAGATTTACTGTTTTCCGTACTATAAGGACTTTAACGAACAAAAATGTTGTTAATTTTACAAAAAAAAGTTGACCAGTTATGTTTTGTTATGGTCGACAAATTTTGTAATTTTTTTCTGATTTAGGATGATAAATGCATTTTTCCTAATCGGAATATGGGAAACTCAGTTTACATATAGCATAGAATTAGGTAGGATAAGTATTGATAATTTTCACGCTTTCGATTCTTTTATTTTTTCTCATCTAGCACACACACAAATCATCGTTTCGGTTTAAAAACTAAAAAAAAACTAAAAAAAAAGATTGCTTTTTTTAAAAATATCGATTTTTACAAGCGATCGTTTTCAAAAACTATCGTTTTTTTTTTAAACCGATCGTCTTCAAAAATGATCATTTTTCATTTGAAAAAAATCTTTTTTAAAAAACGATTGTTTTCAAAAACTATCGTTATTCGTTTTTCAAAAGTTGGAATTGAGTGGTTCGTTTTCAAAAAAGACTGGTTAGTAAACAACCCTACCCTACACACAAGTTCCATGCGTTTTCTTTTACAGTGAAACCCTTAATACATCGAAAGAATTTATCAAATGTCGTATTCTTTACTTTCTGATAATGGAATATTGCATATATTTAGTTTTTTAATTAAATGATTATATGGAACTCTTTAAAACTGTTCCAGCATATTCATGGCTATTTATTTATTTTCGCAAATACTGAAATTTACCTAACATAGTATAAAACTCATTGAAAAATTGTCAAGACGACATTTTATAAATTCTTCCGATGTATTCGTTATTAAGGGTTTCACTGTACCTTCTAGAGAAAAATAAATATAAAACTCAAATTTGATTCATGAAAAAATTATTAATTTAATGGACCTATGCAAAAAAAAATTAAAATAAAAAAATTGTTTTTCAATTCTGTAATACAAACTAAGCTCTTTTCACAGATTTACTTTGAGATTATTAAAACAGCTTCTGATATTAAAAGAAATAAAAAATTTATACCTAGTTAAATCAACATTCTATTTAAATCTAAAAATGTTAAACGTAAATTTTAATCTAAAATGCTTTTTAAAGGAGAAAATTGGCTAATTGTTGAGAAAAATTAAATTTAATCAACAATACAATTTTTAATGTTGATTCTCAAGTTAACATTTTTCTGAGTTTAGATCGCAAATTTTTCTGTTAAACTTGGTAAATTTTCAAAAATTCGAAATTTTAGCAATGTTTTCATCTCTATAAAACCTTCCCTAGGATAACATCAGTTTCCATACAAGATTTTACCAAAATCGGTTTAATCGTTTTGACGTTTATTGGACACAAACAAACAGACAGGCACCCAGACAAGCGAAAAATTTGGTAAGATGTGTTGACAAAACAAAGAGCCAGAAAGATAAACCAATTTTATTCAAATTAGAAGGAAAATGTTTAAATCTTTGAAACTTATTTCTGTTTTCAAATATGGCAACATCAGTTCCTTTTATCCATAGATTAATAACAATACAGATAGATGTCGTTTTTTCAAGATTTAGATGTTTTTCATTCACAATAACCCTGAGGAAGAAGCCCGAAGGAGTTAAGCGCATGCTGCGTTGAATTACAAGACAGAGAGAGAGAGAGAGCCTGTTCTAACTACTCTGGGCTTCTGCCTCAGGATAATTGTGAACGAAAATCCCCTAAATCTTGAAAAGACGACATCTAGTGTGGGTTCTATCTGAATTGTTATTAATCTATGCTTTAATCTGAATATTTTAGTTGGAGGAAGATGGAGTACAATTGTTGGTATGGGTATGGAATATTTCTGGGTCACTGGTTGGCTAATTATGGCTATACTAGGATATCTCATTAGGTAATTCATGTAACTCTCCATTCATGTCACATGTTCGATTCACAACAATACCCTCCAAAGTTGTATCTGTTCAAGGATGCCTAAACTGTTAATATTTGTTCAATGCAAAATAAAAGAGAATAATATCCAAATTACAAACTGCTCACAATTTATATTTTTATTTTTAAAAATCATAACATCAACTTATGGAGAAGGAAGATAAACAGAATCCACAGCAGAGGAATCTCTCCTACCCAGAGTTGACCCTCTAGGACGACCTCTCCCATCGTACTCTACCACGATCCCTTCTTGGGAAACCTTTAAGTCTGTCAGACTCTTCCCATCCTTTTAGGGTTACTTCCCACTCTTGACTTGACATATTTTATCTATTGGGACCTTCAGGAAGGTTGTTTCCCCTTTTTCTTCTTGGCTGGTCGCAAATTAGGTCGATACTGGTGAACGACAAGCTCAAAACTTTTTTTTCAATTTGTTTTACTAGCCAATTTCAAATTAATGCTTACAAAGCATGAAATGATTTGTTATCAATGCAGTTTTTCTTTTGATGGATGCCTCATGAAATTCTTCAACTTGATGGAGATCCAAATATTGTAGTTCGAATAATTCCAGATTTCTTTGAATCTTCAAAAGTTCAGAAGCCAATCTTACTGGACTGCAACCTGGACAGCCGCCAAGACTGCCACCAGAAACCACAAGACGGTCACCAGAAACCTCAAGCTCAAGACTGCTACCAGAAACAGTAAGGTGGCTAGCAGGAACCTCAAGACTGCTACCAGATACCTCAAGACTGCTTCAAGAACTGCTGACAGATTTTATCGTATAAAATGTGCCCTTTTTTAATATTATTATTTAAGTGCACATAGTCATTTTTATATCTGCACATAGTGACACATTCATCAATTCTCATACTTTATTTTGTTTGTCTATTTAGCAACACATAAATGTTTTAACCAAAATTTTGTTTAAGCTAATCTAGATGTGAACTTTGATTTTCGGAAGACAACCGGGTTTTTGCTTGTTTTTCTATGCCTTGAGACCTAAGATCCTGAAATGCAATTCTTAGCTTTTGAGCTAAAAACTCGGAAAATTTCGATAAGAAATCTTACCTCTTCTTTAAATGCACTTATCAGTCATATAAAGACCAAATATGAAGAAAGTTCTTTTATAAAGTTTTAGAATTATACATTATGCGCAATATTTTGCCTTTACACGTGATAACTACACTATATATTAGACTGAAAATGTTAATAACTTAGTTGGATAATTACACTATATATTAGACTGAAAATGTTAATAACTTAGTTGGATAATTACACTATATATTAGACTGAAAATGTTAATAACTTAGTTGGATAATTACACTATATATTACTGAAAATGTTAATAACTTAGTTGGATAATTACACTATATATTAGACTGAAAATGTTAATAACTTAGTTGGATAATTACAACTTAAGAAAGCTCATGATTCAGTAATTCATTTTGGATCGACATTTTAATAAACAACGGGAAACTTAGTGCACCTTAATGTTGTCAGTATCGATACCAATACTAGCATTAATTTAGGTCTTGCGCACCCTAATGTTGTAGGTATCGATACCAATACTAGCATTAATCTAGGTCTTGGCGCACCTCAATATTGTCAGTATCGAAACCAATACTAGCATTAATCTAGGTCTTGGCGCACCGTAATATTGTCAGTATCGAAACCAATTTACTAGCATTAATTTAGGTCTTGGCACACCTTAATATTGTCAGTATCGATACGAATACTAGCATTACTTGGCGCACCTTAATGTTGTCAGTATCGTGCAATACAAGCATTGATTTAGGTCTTGGCGCACCTTAATATTGTCAGTATTGACACCAATACTAGCATTAATTTAGGTCTTGGCACACCTTAATATTGTCAGTATCGATACCAATACTAGTGTTAATTTAGGTCTTGTCGCACCTTAATATTGTCAATATCGATACCAATACTAGTATTAATTTAGGTCTTGGCGCACCTTAATGTTGTCAGTATCAATACCCATACTACCCGCATTTCTTCTATTCTGGTTAGTTGATGAAAGTCCTCGCTGGTTGATTTCAAGGGATAAACTAAAAAAGGTAAATCAAAATCTGTCAGAAAAAGTTCATGAAATGTATCCAGATTCCTTACAAGGCTAAAGTGGATCATTTTCTCATAGCGATATCATTTTATGAAGCCTCTTGAGTCTTGACTTTAAATAAATATTAATTCAAAAAATAATTCCATGCTTAAATGTTTGAATGCTATTAGCGCTGCCTGAAAGCCAGTGAATGATACAAAGAAAGACAAATTATAATTGGATGCAATAACATTCAAAATTTTTTATTTTTAAATATTTTTTGCCCTTTTTAAATAAATGGTATAATTAAAAAGGAACTGAGCCATTGTCACAAACTCTGATTTCGTATCCTTCTTTCCAACCTAAGTCTTTCAAACTATGAATTCTGTAAGATCAAAGACTAATTTAAGCTTGAAATATCAAATATCCCATCAGGATGAAAAAATAGGATTAGAAATTTTAAATGTATAGCAAAGACTTGATTCCTTTACAAAGACTAAAAAGTTCGAAACTTTTGTAATTTTTCTGTGTTGACGAAAAAAAACAATGCTTTGTATACTGAAACAAAAATATCCACTAATCTGAAGTTTGCTGATGAAATTAACGTTTAAAAGTTTTGTAAATTCTTTGTACTGTCCCAACGGTTAAAAAAAAAAATTTCTGAAAATTCTCTCTTTAAAAGGCTGGTGTAGATGGTGCTTCAAAAATAATTTGATAACTGTTTTTCAATTTTACAGAAAATTGTTTAAAATTGCTTGAGCCTATTAAATTTCGAAATTTCTGTTACTAACTAAATAATAAAATAATTATGCAATTGCAGAAATTTTCCTTGCGAATATATAAAACATTTGTTTCACAGTTTATTCATTTATAAAATTTTCTTTAAAAACAATTTAAAAGTACGTCGAAAAATGTATCACAAAAATATTTTTTTTACAAGGAATTGAGCTTTTGTCAGAAACTTAGATTTTCTAGTCCCTCTATATCATGGAACCCAATGTCGCAGACCTTAGCTATTTCAATCAATAAATTCTGATAGATCAAATAATCTAAGTTTGAAATATTATAAACGTTTACACCATCAGACTGGAAAGATATGGGGATTAAAATATTTAAGTTTGAGACTTAATTCCTTTCAACACTATATGCACATGTTTTTTTCCAAGATTTCCGAGCTGTAGCTTATAAAATAAATAAAAATGAAAAAGTTTTTTTTACGATTTTGAAGTTGAATGTTTTGTAAATTTTGGTATTTCAAGGCTGAAGACATTATAAGAGGATTGTGTAAAACCAACAGAAAAGTATTGGATTCCGCCTGGACACTTAAACCAGTAAAAAAGAAGAATGAAGATGAAGAGGATAAAAGAAAAACAAATATTTTAGATCTATTCAGGTTTGAGATTTTTAGAGAATACTTTGAACATTAACTAAAAATAGACATTTGATTTGAACAGCAAAGATAATTTTTCTTGAAATCCAGGGGCGGATACAGGGGGGGGGACATTCGCCCCCCTCCTAACAGATTCAGGAAGGGCGTAGCCCCTCCCTGAATTTGGAATTTTTTGTTTTTCAGAATAACTTCTCAATAGCATTCTTAAGGGAAAGAAACCCTAGTGCAAAACTGGAAAAATATCTGTTTTAATAAACTATAATGTGTGAAAAGTTATAAATCTAGTTTTTTAGTCTTTAGTCATCAATTTTGACTCTTTTTGAGTCTTTTAAATCAAAAAAAATTTCGCATACGGCGCAATTTTTTGTTCCTAATTATGAATTTTTTTGTTCCTTAAAAAGCTTGCCCCCCTCACCTAAATCCTGTATCCGTCCCTGTTGAAATCAGATTACTTTATTGTCGTCTTTATATTCCAAGTTTTGATGTTTCTCACTGCAGGCACAACACAATCGTTCACACACAGTGTATTCCAATTAACATGGAAATAAAGGGACGGCTTTTATCGTCTTTGTTCAGCGCGGCATTATTAATATTTACGTGAACACAATTCATATTAGTTTGGTCGATTTAAAACAAAATCTGGTCTTCTATTTTCGCACCATCAACATTGATTTGAGATATTGAAAAATCTTTCAAGATCACAATCTTTACAAAAAAAAACTTAAATATCTACGTCAATACAAAGAAGGCATGAGCACGTTTAAAAATATGATACGATCTTGTTCTTATCACTTTCTGTCAGTTATCAACTATCGCTTTAAATTCGTCTCTTAATTACCATGTTTATTAGGACACCCTGTATCATGTAGGTGAACTTGCAGTTATGCTAGTGCTAAAGTGAGAACCATAACTCTGGAATAGAAAGACGACATAGATTATTTTCTTCGTAAATTTCGTTATTGGTAAGAAAGAAAATTGACTTTACTATAAAATCAAGATTTCGCGTGTTTAAATAATCAGTAATCATCTTAGATTATCCTTCAATTTTAATTCAATACTTTGTCCAGCGTCTAATTTCATTCCATATTTATGAATTTGTCCTTGAAAATGTTTAATAATCAGCTGACCAGATTTCTTTAAAATATTTATTTTTATCAATGTGTATGAATAAATTTTTAACAAAAACAATTTCAGGACTCCAAACATGCGAATAAAGACCTTCATCATATGGTACAATTTCTTCGTCAATGCATTTGTTTACTATGGACTGACATTAAACAGCGGAGACCTGGGCGGTGGTAACGTTTTCCTTAGTTTTACCATCTCAGGTAAAGAGAATGTCGTCTTTGTTTTTCCCTTTTATTGTGAATCATGATGACAGTTTTGTATTTTCCTGATTTAGAAGCAAAAGCAAACTATTAAAAGATGTTATTAATATAGTTGACTCTGAGTCCTACTAATTTATAATTATAATTACTTTTTCTTTTTATCCATTTATTTATCATATTTATACGATAACAGATTTGTATGGATTTTGCTTCACTTACTGACTAATACTTTGTTGCAAATAGATTATCAACTACAATAGATGGCAACTTAGGATTTGTACACTCACAGTACAGCTGTATTCTTACGTCACAAGAGTCAACAGTTTTATATGTGTCCGACAAAATTATTAATAATAGTGATAATAAAGTGCTTATCAGTTATCTTACACTGAACGAAGTGCAATTTTGTGTTTTTTTATTTTCTGTTTTTACACTTTTTTATTTAATCTTGGCAAACATGTCAATTAATGGGGAATATGTTGTCTTTCTTTTTATATTTGACACTTGTGACGTCATGTATAATTGGTTCATTTCTCTATTGCCAGCTATTGTATTTGATAATTTATTTGCTTTGTTTTATTCCTAGAAAATAGGCATATGTACATTCAGAAAAGTAATTTAGTAACAGAATTCAGATTGAAACGTTATTTAATCAAGTTCAAGCTTCTAGACATATGTAGTATGTACATTCAGAAAAGTAATTCAGTAACATTATTCAGATTGAAACATTATCTCAACTCGAATCAAGTTCAAGCTTCTAAAAGAAGTCTTTTCCACAAACTCTCATTTTTTAATCCTTATATCTGTGCAACCCAATGTTGTAGACCCCAGATATTTCAGTCTATCAATTCTTTTGAATTAAATTATCTAAATTTAAAATATTTAAACTATCAGACTGCAAAAATATAGGGATAGAAAATTTCAGTTTGTGACAACGACTCAATTCCTTTCACTGATAAATGCGCTTCGACTGTTATTATGAATCCAACTAGAATAAAGGTTGTTCAGGGCTTCTTGAGATTCCAGCCTATGGTTTGGCAATAATAGTTCTTCTCAAATATGGAAGACGATTCCCGTATTCTGGTTCTCTAGTACTATCCGGAATTTTCCTCCTCTGTATTTCCCTAGTGCCTAAAGGTAAACTTGGGTTTCCAAACGAGTTCCGTTGCGCGGAATTGCGCGCAATGGTTGCTTCCGCTTTCGCCATTTCATTGCGCTATAATTGCGAAGAAGGAAGCAATTAAATATTTGCGGAATTTCGCGGAATTGCATGCAACGGAATTGCTTTTCCATCTAAAAATCAATAATTTTATGTGTGACTTGCAAAGTTATGCAGCAGATACAAGAATGGAAATATCTCTAGATTTAAAAAAAAATAGAGTCCCGAGTGTCACTTGTTTCAACAGTTTTCGAATTTTAAAGTTTCTTGTGGTTAAGCTACTAATTAACAATTTAATAGTTTAATTAAAAATTTAATTAACAACATTACACTATATTTGATGGTGATACAAAGCACTTATTCACTATTCAGTTTCACGGATCTGCTTGAGTCCAAATGTTGTCTTCTTATGTCAGAGTTTTCTGGTTATCATGCTGCATATGAATATTCGAGAACAAAAGATTATATGTTTATATTTAATTTTCTTAGCATTTGAGACTGAAATGTTAGTGCAGTTCAGTTTAGTAAATGCCACTACCAAAGTTTAAATTGATTATTTTGTTGAACGAAATTGCGCAATAATTAATCGCATTTATTGTGCGCCATATGGTTTAACTTGAATATTATAAACAAATTAAGAAACGCAAGAAAGTTGGACAGAATTGCACGCTCATTGTGCGCAATTCCTTTGCGTTAAATTCACTTGCGCACAAGGGCTCGCAATTGCGCGCAAGTAAAATTCACTTGCGTTGGAAACCCTAAGGTAAACCAAAGAATCCATGTTGGAATTCGTGACATTTTTTCTAGGTCGTCATGAATAACTTATTGAGTGTGTGTAACTCTGCACTACTGTTAATTCTAGGTGTTTATCAAGAAGACTGGCCCGCCATGGCTCTTGCACAACTTGGTAAATTTTGCATCACCTTCGCATTCGGGGCTTTGTTTGTTTACAGTGCAGAACTGGTTCCTACAGTAATTAGAACCGGAACTATTGGCAGTGCTTCGTTTATAGGTAAATATATATAAACAAGGATTCAGCGTGTTCCATGATTCCACACTGAAAATTAGACAGAAGAATAAGATAAAATTTTTGTGATATTACTGGTACAACTTTGGGACCTTGTAGCTCTTTTTTATGAAAATAGAAAATTTTTCGGATTAAATATTAGAAATTTACAATATTTTTGTTTTTCTAGCTCAATATCTCTTTACAAAGTGGAGTTATGATTGAAAACATAATTTATCAATCTAACGTGTCTAATCTATGCTCTGTATTTAGGGCGCCTGGGAGGAATAATTGCTCCTTGGGTCGGTGGTTTATCAAGTGTAAATCCACATTTACCAGTCTGGATATTTGGAACAAATGCTATACTCGGTAAACTAGTTTTTGTGAAAAAATAAGTATTTCAGGGCCCTATTATGAAAAAATAAGTGTTTCATGTCCCTATTCCTAATTTGACATAAAATACTCAAAATATATTATCCAATATTTAGATTTGTCATAAAAACTAAAAATTTTAATTAATTTCTTATTTTAATAAGAATTTTGCATTTGTCGCAAGGAAAAGACCCCAGCAAACAGGCGCGCAACTAGGGGGGGGGCCATAGCCTGATTAAGGGGGGGGCATGCCCCTCCCTTAAGAAGTCTTGCCCCCCCTGTAGGGGGGGGGGAATGAAGTGACGAAGTCCACCCTGTTTTGCAATTTAGCGATTCATGAATCCTGACCCTGAGCAAATTTAATAGCTCTCATCGTAAAATTAAAAAAAAGATAATTGAACGTTAGTTTATTGAGCTTAGTTGCAATCGATATAGCACTTAATACACCATATACACACACACAGACCTCCTCCGTCTCCGAGCCTAACTACTGCCGTAGATCAGAACAGGTTGACAAGGTTAACCAAGGTACCTTAATCTTTGTTTTTTTTCATTATGCTGTTTTTTCCTATGAAAGGGAAAGGGGCCGTTTATTAAGTATTTTTTAGATATTTTCATTTTAATTGGGGGCATTTTTTTTAAATTGGGGGCAAATGTGTTAGTGCAAATTTGAAAATGTTTTGTTTTTAATTGGGGGCATTTTTTATAGTACGGGGCATTTTTTTCCCAATTTGGGGCAAATGTGTTAGTGAAATTTAAAAATGTTTTTTAAATTGGGGGCAATTAGGGGCAAATGTGTTAAGTAACTTGAAAATGTTTTTTTTTTAAATTGGGGGGCATTTTTTATAATTGGGGGCAAATGGGTGCAAATGTGTTAGTGAAATTTGAAATTTTATTTTAATTGGGGGCATTTTTTCCCAATTGGGGGAAAATGGGTGCAAATGTGTTAGTGAAATTTGAAATTTTATTTTAATTGGGGGCATTTTTTCCCAATTGGGGGAAAATGGGTGCAAATGTGTTAGTGAAATTTGAAATTTTATTTTAATTGGGGGCATTTTTTCCCAATTGGGGGAAAATGGGTGCAAATNTAAAAATGTTTATGGGGGGGCCAAAACAATTTTCGCGCTTCGCGCTAAATATTTCCCCCTAGCCCCTCCCTAACCAAATGTCTAGTTGCGCGCCTGCCAGCAAAGTCTAATAAAAAACAGCTTTTTACAACATTTTTGACAGTTTTTCTCACTTGAAAGGACTGAAAGCGTAATTTCCATAGATAAATAAATAAACATAGATAGCTTATGTACGCAAAATCACCAAGAATTGTACGGTCCGCGAACTCATACTTCTAGGGGTCAAATTGAACTTCAATGATAAGCGGGGTGGTTTGTTGTTTTAATGGATTTCATAATAGAGTGTAAAACAACTCCGGGAATGGAACTATTTGAACAACAATATTTCACTGAACAATATATCATATTGACGAGAACTGAAGAAGGACATGAGATGGACTAAACTAACTAAAAATTCTCTCTACAGAACTCATGTACACCACAAGTACTCAATGACATAAGAACAGCCAATGTTCACAACCGACCTAGTTAATCTATATAATTGGAATATCTTTAAAACATCGCTGTACACATATATCTTTCAAGATGAAGAATGTCGTCTTATGCACAATCTATCTTTATCTATGGTAATTTCAAGTTACCAGCTCTCTATGCGAAAATAACTATGCCTGATTTATGATGTTACCCATAGAACCTTTATCTGATCAAGATTGCGAAAGATATTGTCGTTTTTCTAGGTTCGATAGTGTTTAAATCTTATAACTCCCATCTATATATAAATTTGGCTTGTCTGTCTGTCTGTTTGTATCCAATAAACGTCAAAACGGCTGAACCGATCGGGCCCAAATTTTTTGTGGGACATCTAGGGACCCCAGAGAAGGTTTATGAATGATTGAAATTTTAAATATTCGTCTCCATCAAAATTCGATCGTCATTAAATTTTTTAAAATTTTGAAAATCCGCGAAATTTTTTGTGAAAATCCGCGAATTATTTTTGTTTTGTTTTACGATGTACACAATGAGAACATGTTCACAACTAATTTAGAAGACGGGGGCGAAGCGCCCTCTAAGGCTAGAAAGAAGGGCGCGAAGCGCCTTGAATTTCTAGTCTATATATAAATTTGGCTTGTCTGTCTGTCTGTCTGTTTGTATCCAATAAACGTCAACACGGCTGAACCGATCGGGCCCAATTTTTTTGTGGGACATCTAGGGACCCCAGGGAAGGTTTATGAATGATTGAAATTTTAAATATTCGTCTCCATCTAAATTCGATCGTCATTAAATTTTTTAAAATTTTGAAAATCCGCGAAATTTTTTGTGAAAATCTGCGAATTATTTTTGTTGTGTTTTATGATGTACACAAAGAGAACATGTTCACAATTAATTTAGAAGATGGGCGCGAAGCGCCCTCTAAGGCTAGAAAGAAGGGCGCGAAGCGCCTTGAATTTCTAGTTCATTAAATTCGATAACTGGGCTCTTCCTTCTCCCGACTAAATCAAAATTGTTCGCAAAAATTCTGAATAATTTTAAATGTTTTTTTTTTACAAAAAAATCAAATATTAGATTAAAGATTTTTGTAATATTGATAAAATGAGGATAAGGGACCTGAAATTCTTTCTTGAACAGATATAAACAATTAGCTAAAATATAATTTTTTAAAAGATAAATAAAAAATTTCAGCTGGATTATGTGCTTTCTGCTTACCAGAGACTGCAGGAAAACCTTTAGCTTACACAATACAGGTTGATATTTTAAAAATTTGATATTTTATTAAAAATAATTTCATTTAGCTTTTGTTTTTCACCTTATTTAGAGATTCGAGCGAAACAAATTATAAACTTGATGTCGTAAATCTCTTAAAATTAACTAAAAATCCATAAAAAAATTGTAAATTTTAATCTCTATTTATCAGAGTCAACCTTGTCTTTAACTCAAGAGCTAGAAAGCAAATTCTTGGTGGAGAGTTGAATTATAAAATATTTTCTCGTTAATCTAGTGTTTTTGTCAAGTAAAATTGGAGCTCACATTTCTATTTAAAAATCTTTTTTTCCATTATTGACAATGAATACCGCTAATCTTAAAACTTTACCATATAGTGATTTATGAAAGTTTATTTCTTGAATCCCGCCAGGTTTTCAATGGTTTAACATATCGATAAACATTAGAGTCATTATAGTCGGGTTTATCACTGAATCAGTCGGAAGTTTTTATTCCATTGGTTCTAATTTTTCTGATACATCCTGTATTGGAAAATATTAAATACTAAAACTTTAGGAGTCTGAGAAGTTAGCTGTACATTTGCCGTGCAGAAACAGAAAAATATCTTCCGAGAATATTTAGAAGAAAAATGTTTTGTGTCAAGTTACAAAAAGCGTTTCTAAACTGTTGAACTTTTCTGAACTGTTTAACATATTTAGATTGTAAAAATATTAAAATTGTTAAATATTTCTAAATTGTTAAATATATCTTTATAAATAACACATATCTTAATTGCTAAAAATATCTAAATTGTTAAACATACCTAAACTACATTTCTAAATTGCTAAAAAAATTTAAATTGTTAAACATGTCCAAATTATTAGCATTTCTAAATTGGTGAAAAATCTAAATTGTTAAACTTTTATAAATTATTGAACTTATCTAAACTGCTAAAGATTTCTTAATTGTTAATTATTTAACATTTATAAATTTATTTTAAACATTTCTAAATTATTAAACTTATCTAAATTGTTTAACAAATATAAACTCTGTAAATGAAAAATGAAAAGGGGTATATGATGAAACCTAAGAATCTAAGGCGTTGAATGATACAAACAAAACATCTATCTGATGTTCCTGTCTCGAGAAATTGATATAAAACTGTATCAAAATTATACGAAAATCTATATATATGAAATTTTGTATAAAAGTAGTAGGAATTTAAACAGATCATATTCAGCAAATACGCAAACAATCTGTAAACGATTATACTAAACACAAACCTTAGAATCACATTTTTGTTCCAATTATATTTTGTTATTATTTTGCATTATTTATAGATATAATTGATATTATTATATAAAAGTCCGTATTACGTCACAAGAACTTCCGCCAATGAGAGTGCAGTATACTGGTCACGTGATACATAAGGAAATCACGTGACCAGTATACTGCACTGCCATTGGCTAAAGTTATGGTGACGTAATGCGGACTATATGTAATATTATTAAGAGATCTAAATTGGTCGCAATTTTATTTTCAACATTTCTGTCATTTTACTATCTTATTAAAACTGCCAACTTTTTTTTAAGAATTTCTTAAAATTCAGAACGAAAAACACGATTTGGGAAAAATTATAAAATTTAAAACATATTTTGTTGCAAATTTTCTAACCGAAAAAAAAAGATTTTCAAAGAACCTGTCAAATCATTCGTTGGGATGTTTAGAAAGATGAAAATTTCCCTGCATGATAATTGAAGGACTGCAGTATGGTTTTGGTGAATTATATTGGCGTACAAAGCCTAGGGGTGTCAGAAATGATTTTTGTTGCATATTTTTAAAAACTTCTATAAAAAAAAAGTTTTATCAAAATTAAACTTTTTTAGGTTTATTGGACGTTTTCAAAAAACTGCAAAAAAAATCATTTCTGACACCCCTAGGCTTAGTACGTCAATAGAATTCACCAAAACCATACTGCAGTCCTTCAATTATCATACAGGGAAATTTTCATCTTTCTAAACATCCCAACGAATGATTTGACAGGTTCTTTATTTGTAAATATATTTTGTACAATAGAAATTGACTTAATAAACGTTTATAAAGTGGGAAACCGTTAAACCTACAAGATATTATTTACACTACTTGCACCAACTCTTCCTACATAATTTGTGATAATCTTTCTTCATTTTAATGATAAATTTACATGTTACATGTTACATATCAAACAATAAAAATTTTAAATTTTTTAACTTTTCCTATTTATTTTCATCTATATGATAAATTTTTAAAACATTCAGAATATAGAATATGTAATATAAATATATATATTCTGAAGATTGCATAATGGTGATTCAAATCATGTGTGTTAAAAACTGTTTTCTTTATATACATACTAGCTACAGTACAATACAAATTACAGTAAAAAAATGTCCTCGTAAAATGCTTATATTAAGCAATATTTAAAAAAAAGTTGGAACATATTCATGAAATTCTGAAACTTTAAGGTAATAAATCCAATCATTGTTTTCAGTCAACCGTAAAAAAACACAGTTGACCGGCTTTTTAACAAAAATAATAACACAAAAACTAAAACTGCCAGCTAAGAAAATACAATTTTGTATATCTTATCTATGTATCCGACCTTTTCATGCAATTTCAGAATAAGATATAAATAATATATTAAAACTTTTTTGCTCCTTTATATTTGACCCCGTCTCTCTCATTTTTTTGTGATAATTCAAAAAGTATTAAAGCTGGGAATCTCAACATTTCTGGCTTATCTAACTAACACATACCCTTACCTATAGCTAAAAACTTGGCTTTTATACCTACTGCCTGAATCTAGTTTTATACCTACTGCCTGAATTCAAAAAGTATTAAAGCTGGGAATCTCAACATTTCTGGCTTATCTAACTAACACATACCCTTACCTATAGCTAAAAACTCGGCTTTTATACCTACTGCCTGAATCCTCAGGCATATTGCCTGAAAGCCATATTATACCTATACCAGACTAAATCTATATTTGTACCTACTTCTAGTAAATGGATTAAAAAGTGTAATAGCTGTTTGGAAAGCTAATTACAAAAGCAATCAGAGTTTACAATTTTTGCAACAAAATTTTGCATAGATTTTTTCACAGGCTTACTTAAAGAGAATTTGCACATTCTTTGCTAAATAACTAGACTTCGCAGTTCATTCCATATTTTTATGGTTCTTCCTGTATGGTTAGAGAAGGAAGCAAAGAGAAGTAAATGGATGGTTGGAGAGAAAAATATAATCTGAAATTGATTATTTGTAAGTACTTTTAGTATGTCATAAACATATCTTAGGAGATAACAGTATAAAATGCATTATCTAAGAGAAAGAATTAGGTAATTTGTAACTAGTAAATACTGGAAAGTTTTTCGACGCCATTATTATTTTAACCCGATCACGATTTCTTTGCATCAATCAGGTAGGATGGAGATTGGTCTAACGGCTGGTCGCTGTTTCAAACAAGTTAAAAACGGTTTTATTAATTAAGCTAATTATTTATTTATTTTAAAAACCCTTGAGAATTGATGGGTAGCATGTGTCTCATTAATATTTGTCAAAATTGAAATTGGATACTTTACAAAAATTTAGCCTCCCCCCCATGCATCTATATTAGACACAAATAAACCGATCGGTGTAGGGTAAAGTAAGTTAATAAACATTTGATTTACCTGGTTTAAGACTACGACGAATAGGTTTGAGTTTGAGTTGGATCATGTTATATCACAAATAAACTAGACCTCCAGCACCCCCCCCCCACCCCAACCCCCAAGGGGGTACACAGAAATAAATCTATGGGAGGCCAAATGTTGCCACCCCCCCTGGAGAATTTACCTCAAAAAAATTTTTTCAGTTTAACTAAAACCTCAAACAAACCCCGGGTGATGATGTAACGTTCTAAAATTTGACCAATCGGTTCAGCCGTTTTTACGTTTACTGGGCGGATACTTACAATTGTTACAAGCGTTACAGGAGCCGAAGACAATTTTGACCTGAAAATGATGGATATATAATACTAAAAACCCTCAACGAAATTCAGCTCTGACTCCATAGCTAAACCTTCTAATATATTTTAGTATTCCATAGACGTTTAACCCTAAACAAGCTGGGGGGGGGGGGGGTTATCGGGATATCGAAGACAATATTTTATTAAGACAAAAATGTTGGCTTTAGTATTCCAATGGGCAGAGTATTTTTCATCAAATAACTTTTTTTTCAAACCTTTGATAAAGTCTATGAAATTAATAAAAAACCTCTCTAAAACTCAAATAAACAAATAATGATAAGAGATTTGTTTGTCAAAATATTTAGGATTAAAAATGATTTACTTTATCTTTGCTTATATAATTATTTGTATAAAACCCAGGTTAAAGACCAAACTAAACTAGTTCTCCAGCATGTCTGGCTTTAAGCTCCTTCTTCTGTTTGCATTCCTTTTTCATGAAGGTAAATTATGAAATATTGCTTATATTTGCTTAAATTGTAAAATAAAATTAAGGATATGGGTACACAGAAACCCATTGCCAAGATAAGAAGCAGGTGATTGTTCATCTGTTCGAATGGTCCTGGGACTCTATAGCCAGGTCAGTGTTACGCAATTAACTTGATAAATAAAGAAATGTTACTGCATGAAACCACCCAACAAAACTTTTAAAGAGATTTGGTCCTTGAAAAATATTAAGATGTTGTCATTTTTTTCTTTATAATGTGGGTGAAAGTGATAAAATCCCTTCAAAATGTTCTCGTATTAATTTGCCAGGACATCAGTTAGTTTACTCTAGTTCAAATACTTTGTGTATCAGTATATAAGAATTATATATATTATGAATACAATGGATAAATAAATTGAGAATACATCAATATTTTACAAAGATAACTCATAAAAAAGCCTTTTTGTAGTGCAGATAAAAATTATTTGTAATAATGAGTTCCCCCAAAGTCATAAGAAATTATATCATAAATTGAAAGAAGTGATATCTCATGGGTTTACCACAATTTTTCTGCCAAAAATACCGCACCCAAACTGTTTTTTTCCCCCTTTCTGTTCTGACAGATCTTCACTGTAACTTACGAAATTTAAAAAAAAGCGTATATTCAAAAAACAAATACTTTTTGCTGCAAAATAAGTGTTTTTTTCGTTGCATAATTGGCAGCAATCTAACTTTTTCTGACAAATAAGTGACCTTTTGTCAAATATTTGGCCGCAATCCAACATTTGCTGACAAATAAGCAATTTTTTTGTAGCTTATTTGGCAGCAATCCAAATTTTTCTGACAAATACGTGGTTTTTGTTTTCAAAAATTAGAGTCTACTTGCAGAGAATGCGAGGAAGTGCTTGGACCCAAAGGATTCTGTGGCGTCCAAGTCTCCCCACCTATGGAGCATATTCAAGGCGGTCAATGGTGGACTAGGTAATTTTTTTTTAATCATAAAAAATAAATTGTTTTTCTGAAAACCGAGTTCTTATGCAATAATTCTTGTGATTAATTTAATACCTTCAGGCTTTAGACATTGGGAAATATAAAAAAAAAGACTTTTTCCTTATGCCTAGATTTGGCTAACACCCTGATACTCTATTGATTACTAGATATCAGCCAGTTTCCTACAAACTTGAGTCAAGATCTGGAAATAGAGATCAGTTTATCAGCATGGTTAACAGATGTAATGCTGTAGGAGTAAAGTAAGTAGACTCGGAACATCTCCCCATACAGCTATAATTTTTACAAAAGTAGAAATATCCCAAAGTGACATGGTTAGACAAAAGCTTGAAATCTTTTCCAAAAGCAAAGTTAGGTTTCATCCCACCCCTATCAAAAGTTTATCCCAATATTGTATTAACTTATTTCTATACACTATCTATTATTTTCAATTTTGTCAATATAGTCAAACGAATATTTAAAATTGCATCACATTTAAACCACTGTTGGCTTTAGCATTTATGTTGATGCTGTGATCAACCACATGACTGGACATGGAGGAAGTGGACAAGGAACTGGAGGATCCTCTTATGATGGTCCCAGTGAAAGCTATCCTGGAGTTCCTTTCTCAAATTTGGACTTCCATCAACCTTACTGTGAAATCTCCAACTACAATGATGCAAATGATGTAAGAGCATTAAAATGCTGGCATGTTTATTTTTGTATACTTGATTAATTACATTTGGTGTTTTTATTTATTTAAATATTTAAACAGGACTTAGTATTATCACTTTCAGGTCAGAAACTGTTATCTTGTATCCTTGAATGACCTTGATGGTGGTAAAGACTATGTCCGAGGTAAGATTGCAGACTACTACAAAGACTGCATTAACATCGGAGTAAAGGGGTTCCGTGTGGACGCCAGTAAACATATGTGGCCTGGAGATATTGCTGCCATCCAGGAGAGAGCAGGAAATCTTCCCAATGGTGGTGCACCGCTTTATTTCCATGAGGTTATTGACATGGGAGGCGAGGCAATCAGCGCTAGCGAATATTTTGGAGTCGGAAAAACAATTGAGTTTAGATATGGTGTGAAGCTTGCTCAATGCATTAGAAATGGAGACTTCAATTGTCTTGGAGGAATTTATGACCAGGTACAAAATTTTGTGTAAATTATGAAAAATGGGAAATTTTCATGAACTTACTAAGCTTGAGATATTTGATGGATTTTTTCTCAGGGATGGGGAATGGCTGATGGACTTCATGCGGTTGTTTTTGTGGACAATCATGACAACCAACGTGGACATGGTGGGGCAGGTGGAGTGCTCACTGCATCCGGTCCCGGACACAATGACTGGCAATACAAAGTAGCATCTGCCTTCATGTTAGCTCATGACTATGGGTTCAAGAGAGTAATGTCTAGCTACTACTTTGATAACTCAGACCAGGGACCACCAGGAGCCCAGCCTGGACCACCAGGGCAGGCCTGCGGAAACGGTTGGACTTGTGAACATAGGTTCTTACAATTTTATTTTTTCATTATTGCAAGCTTACTGTTAAGAACTCTTTCATTCATAATTTTTCTATTGGTATTCAGGTGGAGCAGTATTATGAACATGGTTAAATTTGCCAATGCTGTAGTTGGAACTGGAGTTGAAAACTGGCAGGCAGCTGGAGCATCCCTGGGATTCTCTAGGTACTCTATGGAACTAAACTTTTTACTAAAGATGCTACTGGAGAAGGTCTTTTACATAACTTTTCTTTCACAGCTGACTATAATAACTTTCTGACGCCTTTTAACACAATTCATAACAAAACTGTCTTTTTTCTTCCTTTTCAATTTTTCTTTTTAACCTATGTCTTTCTATCTTTCTACTTATTTATTAGATTTGTAAAGAAATAAAATTATGCCTAGCTGACTAAATGTTAAGTAAACAATACTTTTACCGCTCAAAGATGCAATGTAAACTTTTTGCGTCAAGAATGTCAATATAATCAGTTCTCAAGCTTTGTTTAGTACACTTCTTATCTTTCAAAAATACTAATATTGATAAAACAACTTTTATTTACAAAGATATTTTTATAACTTAAATCAGTTTTTTATGCGTCTAGTGAATTTGTTTCAAAGGATGTACTGATGACATTTCTGATCATTGTTTTATTGTAAAGAAAGAAACAAAAATAGGCCCATGACAAGAATGGTTGGAAAAAAGTTATGATTGGATTAAGAAAGACGCAGATTTATTCTTTCTGAATAGTTTCATGATACAATCATACAAACTTCTTGATAATGAAGAAAACAACGGTGATCATAATTGTTTAATAATTAATATATTTAGAGGCAACAAAGGTTTTGTTGCTATGGGTGATCTGAACAAGGAGTACTATACTGGCCTACCTGATGGAGAGTACTGTGATATTATTCAAGATTGCCAGCAGAAAATCCAGGTATAGTTATCATGTTTTATTTATGTTGGACCTCAGAGCGTAAATAACATAGAGGGTTTTTTTTGGCATTGTTTGATTTGGAAAGCGTTAGACTTCAGAGGTTATGTCCATATGTTCTATGACCTATGGGAAAGTTCCTTCCCTTTTAACAATTTGAAAACCGTCCTCTCAAGACTTTCCATAATGAATATGGGAGCGGTAACTTCAAAGCATAATTTGATGTGACTTTCTGAGCGCAGATGACAATGACCGATTCACAATGGAACCCTTAGAATCTTTGTTTGATCAAGTATAAAATAAATGATACCATGATTTTGAAAACTGTTTATTTCAATAGGGGTTTCTTTACAAAAGTCCACAATATCTTCCACATTATTGGTCAGATAAAGGTTTCAAGGGTACGTTTGCCAGGGTCGCTTGAAATTATGTTTACACTCCCTTCAATCAGTTCCACAAAGAGATGGGCATCGTTTTCTGAACAAACGAAATTTTTGAGAATGATTTTTTGTGAATGATGGTGTAAAAAACCTACAAGTTGGATTGTTCAGAGAAATGAAAAACTAAAGTTTTTTAAACGTTTTTTACTGAACTTTTTAAACAAACTTTGACAAAACTTTTTTACTGAAAAAAAAATTTCCTTAACGAACAATTTTACTGAAAAAACGATTTTACTAAACGATTATTCTGTGAGAATACGAACAAAATAAATGGAAAATAAATGATAATTTTGAGAATGAATAAAATAAATCGTTGTTTATCGATTGAAAAAAATTGTTAGTGCACAAATAATGAACGAACGAAATGGAAAAAATGTACCCATCTCAAGTTCCAAAATTCCAGCAGTCATATGGGGAATATTTACTTGAAACAAAACAAAAATATTTTAATTTTATCCGAACTGTGTTCCTATTTTAGATAAGTGGGGGCAAGGGATACTTCAGCCCTGCTAACCCCGATGATCCCGTAGTTGCTATTTGTGTTGGATGCTAAATAAGGATAAATTTTATATGAGATGTGTTTATTGGAATAAATAATAAATCTTGTTCTATACACTCATTATACAATTCATGTATTTAATTCAGGGTTTCCAACGCAAGTGGATTTTACTTGTGCGCAATTGTGAGCCCTTGCACACAATAAACGCAACGGAATTGCGCGCAGTTCCGTCGAACTTTCTTGCGTTATTCAATTTAAAAACTTGTGGCTCGCCATAAATGCAATTTAAATTATTGCGCAATTCCGTTCAACAACAAAAAATTAAAATTAAACTTTGGTAGTAAATAAACTGAACTTCACTAACATTTCAGTCTCAAATTTTCAGAAAATTGAATTTAAACTTAATCTTTTATCTTATAATATTCATGCAGCATGATAACCAGAAAACTCTGACAAAGGAAGACGACATTGTAAGCTCAAGCAGACCCATTAACTTAATAAGTGATTTAATAGGTTAATATTTAAACATTTTTGCTCTGTAACCACATCAAATACACTGTGATGTTGTCTTTCTGTACAATACTTTTCTAAATTTTTAAATCTATAGAGATATTTCAAAACTTTTATCTGCTGCATAAATTTGTAAGTCAAAGTTAATTTATTGATTTTATATGGAAAAGCAATTCCGTTGCATATAATTCCGCGAATATTTAAATGCTTCCTGTTCGCAATTTCAGCGTAGTTCCGCGCAATGAAATGGCACAATCATTGCGCGCAATTCCGCGCAGCAGAATTCTGATTGGAAACTCTAAATTCATTTAAAAAAAAACAGAATTTTCATTTATTTACATTTATATAAGATATAAATAATGAACATGAACATTAGATACGTAGATTCAAAGGGAGGGACCGACTAGGTATCAAATATGAACCAAGAGTGCTGCAGTATTATATAGAGAAAAGTTTGGACAGTTTTGCCATTTATTTTTTAATAACTTTGACGAAAATTGTATCTTACAAAAAAACTACTGTTAAAAAAAGAATTAGTCTTTGCCACAAACTCAAATTTGTGAATCCTTATATGTTTGAAATCTGATGGTAGAAATCTTTGACATTTCAAACTTAGACTATTTGATATAACATCTTTCATAGTTTGAAATATCAAAGATCTACGCCAATTGGTTGCTAAGATAAAGGGGTTAGAAAATTTGAGTTTGTTGCAAAGACTTAACTTCCTTGTTGATGTTAAGAAACAGGTTGATTCTACTATCGATTTCTTCTCAAATTTCTCTTAAGAAAATTTGTCCTAGCACAACAAATTTGTTCACTGTATATTGTTGAACGATTGTTAGTTTTTCATTAATCATATAATTAATTTAACTAAATTAATTATATAATCGTAATTAAAGTATTTTTAAAACCATTCTTCTGCGCACCATCCCTTCTGGTGAAATGTAACCAACAAATCTAAGCTCTTTCTGAGAAAGTATCTACTGTAAAAACGTCGCAAATTGTTATCAATTTAATCTTTTATTTTTTCTTTGAAATTTTGCACTCTTGGTTCAAATATTTTACCAAACCGGTATCTCCCTTTAACATTTCGGCCCTTACCTATAAGCTATGACTTTCGATCTCAATTTTGATGGGCGGATTTTTGGAATCTAATAATTTTGTGACATTTTAATCTTTAAAAAATATATCTGCGATATTGCATGGGAGAACGCCTAAACGTTTGTTCTTAATATCCAACTTATCGAAAACATTTAGAAATAACTTTCATGCTGTTCAAATTTGGTTAGTAAAAAAATGTCACAATGTTAAAAAATGTGATTAGTTTGGGATACATATATTTCAACCAACAAGATATCAACAGATGTCCTATTTATGAAATGCCCTGTCTATGAAATAACAAATCTTTGAAATGTCCTATTTTTGAAATGTCCTATCTTTGAAATGTCCAATCTTTGAAATGTCCAATATCTATGAAATGGCATTCTATGAAATGTCCCGATATCGTTTTCCCATGAGCATTGTTTTGATCATACCTAATATCAATGTTATAATTATTTACAAATACTTAACAGGGAAGTTGATGGAATTTTACTTTTCCAAGGGTTCCCTAATCCCTACACCAAATTTGTCTATAAAACATCTAGAGTGCAGCAAGGAATTAATTAAAATTCCCTTAGCATGATAATCAATAACATGTGGAACGATTTGCGTACATCGATGTGGGTCGGTAAAGTTGGTTAAAGCGATGAAAGAAAATTAAATAAAAGTTATGACGAAGGGCGGTAAAACTGGCCTTATTTTGGAAATAAGAAATTTAGGAAAGATTTATTTCAATTTCTGAAATTATTTTCAGTGTTTTATAGATTAAAGTTTGATTAAGAAGAATCTTTTGGAAAATTCGTTCGTTCAATTAAAAATCGATTTTTTGTTTCAAGTTCGGTAGAAAAATTCAATCGGTTTTTTTTCGTTCGTTTTTAAAAAGCGATATTTTTAATATCTCTAAACGATCAAAGTCGTTCGTCCATCGTTCATTTTATTTCTGAACGACACCATAATTCACGAAAAATTTCATCCTTTCTCAAAAATTTGATTCGTTTACAAAAACCACATTTCCATCTTGAGTTCATTCTTGTATTCAATAGTTTTCATAGTTTCCATGCACGGTCCAATTGGGCATCAATGTACCGATTGTTTCTTAACTAACATTTTACTAAGATTAGATAGATTTACAAACCGATGTTGTGAAATAGATTATACATGTCTGCCGAGAACAATGTTTATCAATTATCAATCCGTAAGTGTATTTAATGTTGTTAAAAACAAAAACTTTTACTTGACACTAATTAAATCACTAATTTAGCTGAATTAGTCTGTTTATACTGCAAAATTGATGTGTATTTTGATCATTGGACTTTTTGAAATTCTAACTTGATTTTAAAAGTCGTCTTCCTTTTTAAGATTTTTTAGTACCAATAATACAGGGTGTCCCAAAAAACATGGGAATTCAGTGACGAATTCGATATCGTCTTTGTTATGAGTTAGCATTGTAATACCTAATTTCAAAAGCCATAACATTATTATGTCTGCTAGAGTTTATTTTCTAAAAAGGGTAAAAGACTTTGAAGATGTGTCTATAATGTCTCTGCAAGATGAACAGTGAAGACGAACAAGTTTACTCTGTTTGTATACTTTAATTTTCTTGTTTTCATAAGTACAACCGTATGCAGTCTAAACATAAACAAACAAAATGTGAAAATAGCAGACGAAACTCTTACAGATTACAGCTTATTCAGTAGGAATCACTATACTAAATCAAAGAATTGTTTAAAAAGACGATATCGAATTCGTCACTGAATTACCATGTTTATTGGGACACCCTGTATAAGCTGAACTAGGTTCGGATTGTTAAATTACTTCTATGAATAATCTTTTACCCTTTGATGAGAACTGAGTGTACAGCTAATTAAGTATTTAAATTATTGCGCAATTCCGTTCAACAACAAACTTGAAATTTAATTTTATTGGTCAAACAGGTCCAGATAGCAACACTTGAATTATACAGGATGCAATACGCGTACTGTATGTTTATATAACACAAATGCGTATTTCCTACATATGGCAGTAAGGGGAGAAAGGAATATAGAAAGTAATCAATTTGCTATAGATGTCTCTCCTTGCACCTTCTCTCAGAGGTTCAAAAATTAGTTGTCTGCTACAAGCAATTTAGGAAGGAGGTTTCTACCTGCCTGCATATCTATATATATATTATCTTTGGGAAAGATCTATTTTAATTTCTGAAATTATTTTCAGTGTTATATAGATTAATTAAACTTTGATTAAGCAGAATCTTTCGGAAATTTCGTTCGTTCAATTAAAAAACGATCCTTCGTTTCAAGTTCTGTAGAACGATTTAATCGCTTCGGTTTTTTCGTTCGTTTTTAAAAAACAATATTTTTAATTTTTCTAAAAGTCGTTCATTTTATTTCTGAACAACACCAATTCACGAAAAATGTCATCCTTTCTCAAAAATTTGGTTCGTTTATTAAAACAACATTTCCATCACGAATTCATTCTTGTATTTAATAGTTTTCATAGTTTCCATGCAGCGCACGGTCCAATTGGACATCAAAATATTTCGATTGTTTCTTAACTCACATTTTACTAAGATTAGATACAATGTGTCCCACGAAACATGACAGTTGGTGAATAGATTTGGATGTCTTAGCTTCCATATACTGTATTACATATTAAATACTTTTCGCAGTTTATTTCGTTAAAAAATTCTTTTACTCAAATATGTTTTACTTTAAAATCAAATTTACTATTTTATGTATGCATATAGAATATTTTTTATTATTCGCTTTGGTATCAAACAACTTAACAAATTATGGAAGAAGACATTTGAAACTATTTACCAACTGTCATGTTTCGTCAGACACCCTGTAGATTTACAAACCAATGTTGTGAAATACATGTCTGCCGAGAACAGTGTATATCAATCCGTAAGTGTATTTTATGTTGTTAAAAAACAAAAACTTTTACTGGACACTAATTAAATCACTAATTTAGCTGAATTAGTCTGTTTATACTGCAAAATTGAAGTGTATTTTGATCATTTGACTTTTTAAAATTCTAACTTGATTTTAAAAGTCGTCTTCCTTTTTCAGATTATTTAGTACCGATAAATACATGGTGTCCCAAAAACATGGGAATTTAGTGACGAATTATCATTGTAATACCTAATTTCAAAAGCCATAACATTATTATGTCTGCTAGAGTTTATTTTCTGAAAAGGGTAAAAGACTTTAAAGATGTGTCTATAATGTGTCCGCAAGATGAACAGTGAAGACAGACAAGTTTACTCTGTTTGTATACTTTAATTTTCTTGTTTTAATAAGTACAACCGTATGCAGTCAAAACATAAACAAACAAAATGTGAAAATAGCAGACGAAACTCTTACAGATTACAGCTAAATCAGTAGGTATCACTATACTAAATCAAATAATTGTTTAAAAAGACGATATCGAATTCGTCACTGAATTACCATGTTTATTGGGACACCCTGTATAAGCTGAACTGGGTGCGGATAGTTAAATTACTTCTATGAATAATCTTTTTACCCTTTGGTGAGAACTGAGTGTGCAGTAAAGAAGTCTCAAACCCCTCTCTAAAACTTCTAAAATGCTCGTTTTTTAGAAAAGTGCATTTTTTAGCGTTTTGTTTTGATATGTATAACTTAGTCAATTTTTAATTTTTTTTAAAAATTTCATCGGATTTCATTTTTCTGGACATTTACAAAGAAAATAATATGTGCTATAATAAATTCAAGATAAAAAATTTAAAAGTGGGCGGTGGGCCTTTTTCAAACTTTGGCAGCGTTTATATCCTAGAGTTTTAGAGATATTGAGCTAAACATTTTGATTAATTCTCAGGGTACACATTGGAATGGGAAAAGCATATTTTTTCTAAAAGATGGTCATCCGTGGAAATCTTACTGTACACAGTGGTGCATGCAGCCAACTTCTTTTGAAGAAAACGCATCGGGTAAAGGTTTAAATTTGCAGCTAACAAAAGTTTCGCGAAGACCATAGGAATGTTGGCGCTGCAAAGTTAGTTTTTTTTGATGAATTTTTGCAAAAAAATTACATTTTTTAATTCCGATTTTTTTTCGTGAAATTTTTGCATTTTTGCGAAATCTTCGCATGTTTTAATTCGCGAATATTTCGCATTTTTTGCAAAACAAATTAAAGCGAAATTTTGCGAAAAAAGCGAAACTATTTTTTTCTTTTTGCTTCAAACCCTAGTCAAGTTGCATAATAAACACAGACTAAATAGGCTTGTACGATTAAACAGCTATATCCTTGTACTGGTTTGGATCATGTTCCTAGCTACAGTTTGAAAGGAGTTGTGGCATAATCCTGATCAGTTTTAACGTCAGACCGTGCACGCATGATATACTTTGGTTCACCGTGACTCGAGAGTAAAGATTATTTAAATACAAACACAGCTGAACAATTTAAAATTGTTGTTCACAAGATAAATGCTTAATTGATCTCATCTATTTGTTAAAATTAAAATAATTTTAGTTTTTAGTTTGTATCAAGGAAATTTTTTAAATTCAACTTATCAGAGTGGTGTAAGCAGAATCTTGATCAGCCGGGAAATTCGAAATTTTGGGAGCAATATCCTGAGAGAACTCTCATTGGTCGGAATCCAAATAAAGGGAAAACAATGCGGATTAAGCAGAAATCAAAAGGTTTCACAGTGGATATTCAGATCTGTATGAAGGATATCAAATTCTGAAGTTTTCAGCTCTGAAAAAAATAAGACACATTTGAATATATATATAATTTTATTTCACTCGTGAGCAAACTAGATGATATAAAGGTTGGTACATTTGGTTAAATATTATATTAAAGGGATATATTTAAAGAAAAGAATAGTTGTTGAAACAACCAGCCAATGCATTTTTGGATAAAAGGAGTTATTTTCAAAAAATATTCCACTGCTATTTTTTCATCATTATTTGAGAAGGTTCGTTTTACAAATAACTTTAGAAAAATTTCAGGATTTAAAAGCTGTATTTATTAAATTAATGTTTGTGTTATTACAGTTTGCAATATTTTTTATCATAAAAGAGAAGAGGTAAAGCAACCCAAAGACGATAATTTTCACGCGTTCAAATTGGCTTTTTGATTTGCTAGGCTACACCCCTGGAACCTATCTCAAGCTAGAATATACCCCCGGAACCTATCTCAAGCTTTACAACACCCCTGGAACCTATCTCAGGCTAAAAAATACACCCCTGGAACCAATCTCAAGCTAGGCTACACCCCTTGAACCTATCTCAAGCTAGAATACACCCCTGCAACCTATCTCAAGATAGAATACACCCCTGGAACCTATCTCAAGCTATACTACACCCCTGGAACCTATCTCAAGCTAGAATACTTCCCTGGAACCTATCTCAAGCTAGACTACACCCCTGGAACCTATCTCAAGCTAGAATACACCCCTGGAACATTCATCTTTATTTTTCCGAGGATTGCAGGAAACCAGGGGTCACTGCTGCACAGACTTTTATACTTCCTAAAAATATTTATCATATACTTCTTTAATAGTCTGTTTGTCTGTATCCAATAAAACTAAAAAAGGCTGAACCATTCGGGACTTTTGACTTTAATGATTGTTGTTCCTGGTCATTGCGATAAAATGTCTATTTATGGTGTTGAAGAGAGCAAATGATGCTTTTTATATTCTATAAGACCACTGTATTATACCTGTAGTGAATTATACCTGTTATCCACCAGTATATTCTGGAGACTACTGTACTATACCTGATACAGTTATCTACCAGTATATTCTGGAGACTACTGTACTATACCTGATACAGTTATCTACCAGTATATTCTGGAGACTACTGTACTATACCTGATACAGTTATCTACCAGTATATTCTGGAGACTACTGTACTATACCTGATACAGTTATCTACCAGTATATTCTGGAGACTACTGTACTATACCTGATACAGTTATCTACCAGTATATTCTGGAGACTACTGTACTATACCTGATACAGTNTGTACGGAAGAGTTAGTGAACCGAAGAGTTATTGAACGGAAAAGTTAGTGACCGGAAGAGTTAGTGAACAGAAAAGTTAGAGTGAACGGAAGAGTTAGTGAACGGAAGAGTTAGTGAACAGAAGAGCTAGTGAATGGAAGAGTTAGTGAACGGAAGAGTTAGTGAAACGAAGAGTTAGTGAACGGAAGAGTTAGAGTGAACGGCAGAGTTTATTTATGAACAGCAAAAGTCTCCCTTAGGAAACTGCTTGTTTATGTCTATTGTTTAGACATCCTGCTGTAAGATTGTTAACATTTTTCTATTTTTTAGACATCCTGCTGTAAGATTTTAATATTTTTCTATTTTTTAGACATCCTGCTGTAAGATTTTAATATTTTTCTATTTTTTAGACATCCTGCTGTAAGATTGTTAATATTTGTCTATTTTTCAGACATCCTGTTGTAAGATTGTTAATATTTGTCTCTGTGTTGATATATTATTGTCGAAAAAATTGTCCATATTTTGACCTAGGTTGTTTATTAAGATTAGATACTCTGGATGCGCTCCAATGTACGGAAAATGGGAGCAGTTAAAGCGGAGATATAATCCTCCCCCGGCCAGATTATCTAACCTCAATAATCAACCTTGCTTTTACCTGAATGAATTTGAATTCTCTTGAAAGTTGAAAAGCAGGATAATAATCAATATATCTCTTGGTCGCAATTGAACAGTTCAAACTGAAAAATAAAATTATGAACAATTACTCTTTTGTTAAACCAAAGATTTTATTATTCTTACTAAGTTTTTATTAATCCTGAGCCCGCGATTTAAAAGCTTCGGCTCGAGTCGTACTTCCTTAAACCCGACTTTAAGACCCAATCTTCGACCCAACTTTAACTACAGCTTGTGTCACGTGATTGACAGCTGCAAGATCTTCGGCTCGACTTAAGGAGGTTTATGAAAATAAAACCGACCTTTCCAATTCCTACCATGAAAATCCGCCAAATAGAATATTAAACCGGTTTTTTGAATTCAACTCGGTGGAAAATAAGATGCAGCTTGAATCTAAAAGCTCAAGCCGATAATTAGGTCCAACGACAGCTTAGACCCGAGGCGCATTTGCCCAACTTTTTTAAATCGCGGGCTCTGAAAACTACTGCCTTGGTGGCCTTGAGAAGGCAAAAACGCAATTACTAGAAAAAAGACCATTTAATGTGTTTCGGCTATTTTCTTCTACATTTTTTTCAAGCCTCGTTCTTTTAAATGTTTGGATTTGTATTGTCCATAAACATTTCTCCAATTTTTAAAATTGCAATACAATTTTTCTCCTAAAATTTCAGGATAAAAAAAATGTCAGAAAAAAAAATTATGAGAAAATAAGCCATTTGTGTAGTTTTCGGTATACAGCTCAAAAATTAGTACACAAAAACATAGTTTATGTACACGCAGTGGTCAGCGCTTCTATCAATATAATGAAGAAGATTTTACTATTTAAATTTTGATTTCTGACAAGCTTTTTCAAATAACAAGTTTACAAGTAAACAAAGAGAAAATGTTAATTATCTTTTTTTTCAATGTTTATGTGTATCCACTATCCATGCTGATCGAAAGTTTAGTAGAAATCAAAAAGTAAAATCGAAAGTCATTTTCATTATCTTATATGTACAATGATATTTTGAGACCGCACATCAATCTATTTACAACAAACATGACTTTTTGAATCCTATTTTAAGCCTAGTTCGGGTGAAGACTTGGTGTTCAAATCTTTACTATGAAACTTGATTTTTACTGGAAGTACAGGTAAAGTCTACTTTTGAAGACCCATTTTTAATTGGGCCAGGCTGTATCTGAAAGTTTACAACTCCACTTTTTCCTTCAACGATTTGCTAAGTTTGGAAAAAAAATTGGTGAGAGAACTGTCCATGTCTGCACCTAGGTCTGGGCTTAATTCCTTGAAATGATCATTCTTTCAAGGGACCAAACGGAACAGAACGGATCGAATAATTTTTTAAAAAGTAGAAACACACCCAGCTCTATTTGTAACTAACCTGTCAACTGCTAGATGGCAAAGTGCTGCCCTGAAAAGATATTCGTCTGCACTATATTTTAACAATCTAGACTCCAGGGATTGAAAACCCAGATCTTCATAAATTGTCACAGCTTCCTCAAATCTAAATTCAATTTTAAATAAGAGGTCAGGACTTTTAAAATAAAACTGCATGAATAGAAAGCTAAGCAGAGCCCGGAATGTTATCTTACTTAATTGTGCTAAGGAACACTGCAGGATTGAAAGGTTGCGAGGTTGGTCAAAAAGGTTTAAAACAGTTCTTAAACATATTTCAGAGATATAAACGATGATGAGTAGATAATATTAAATTTTATTNCATTATTATAAGGGCCACAAGAAGACAGTGAAGGCCCATTTTATAGTTATTGAGAATAATAAAAACGTTTTAAATTTCGATTCACCGACATAGGGTCAAATGCCATAGGATCAAACGACATAGGGTAAAACGACAGGTCAAAGGACACAACATCAAACGACACAGGGTCAAATGACACAGGATCAAACGACACAGGGTCAAACGACACAGGATCAAACGACAAACGATAAAACGACGAACGGTCAAAAACTTTTAAGAACTTTGCCGGCTACTTTCTTAAAACTAAAGCAAAAAAACAAATGATTTACAGTTTTATATTGCACATTAAAAGGGCTGCAAAAGTATAATCGAGTTTTTAAGGTAAAATCAAAGGATTAGGCGTTGCGACCCAGTCTGGATCTGTGTGAGACATAAGATTAAATCTTATTTCCACTATTGTAAGTTTAACATTTTTAAGACAACTATGATTAAAACCGTTTTGTAAATAATCAGCAAATTCCATCCACTAGTAGAAATAAAGATTAAACCGCCTTGTTACCAACATTACCAACCTATGATTCCCACAACAGAGGTAGGTTTTAATGACTCAAACTCAAAAGACAATAAAATTGTGTACCAATCTATGCACCTTTTTGGGAAATTAAAATTTTACTTAACCACGGGTTTCCCTCGACCAATTTTGCCTGAAAACATCCCTTACTGCTGTCTGGATGTTTTGTAGGAAAAATTGGCCTTGGGAACCCTTGTTAATTAGTAGATTTACCCTAACTTCCTTGTAAAGTTGTTGTAAAATGTAAATGAATAAAAATTATTAAACCATAATATTTTATAATGAAATATTATAATACCTGTCAGTGAGAGCAAACAGTCGAGCCATCTCAATTCTACATTTATTCCTAGAATATTTAACACTAGATTTATTCCTAAAATATTTAACACTAGATTTATTCCTAAAATATTTCCTAGATTTATTCCTAAAATATTTAACCTAGATTTATTCCTAAAATATTTAACACTAGATTTATTCCTAAAACATTTAACACTAGATTTATTCCTAAAATATTTAACACTAGATATATTCCTAAAATATTTAAAACTAGATTTATTCCTAAAATATTTAACACTAGATTTATTCATAAAATATTTAACACTAGATTTATTCCTAAATATTTAACACTAGATTTATTCCTAAAATATTTAACACTAGATATATTCCTAAAATATTTAACCTAGATATATTCCTAAAATATTTAACACTAACGATTTTATTGAATGATATTTTCGAGAAGGAACGAAATCAATTTTTTGTGCAATTCAAAAAAGAAGGAAATGGATCGTTCACGAACGATGAATAAACGCAATGAAAAAAAGCCAAACGCGATCAACTATATTGACTATAACAGTTTCCTACCTGGCGGCAGTTCTATTATCGCTGGCGTAGAAATTTGCCGCCATGCTAAGATGATGGATAACAGCTTTATAATCAGGAGGATAAATATCCTGGAATAGAAGATATAAAGATACAATTTCTGGCGCTTTGCACCACCTAGTATTACACAGAAACTACAGTGAGCACCATAAAACTGTGGAATAGGAAAACAAAAATAAATCATAAAAGTGAATTTGATGGTTACAAGGCAAATCAATTAACTAAGAACTTTTAAAGTCATTTATGAAATAAAATAGATCTGTTTACACAATAGATCATTAGACTATTTAAAGTCATAAATAAAGACTAAAGGTCGTCTTCCTATTCCATAGTTTTCCGGTTATGTTAAGTGAGATTATTTTAAGAGCTAAATATTTTGCGAGAAAAGAGGGGCGCAAAGCGCCTTTAGGACAAATATTTATTTGATTTGAAAGGTTTGGAATCTGGGATTAAAGGGACCGTTCACTTTTTTGGGTAATTTCAGGGTAAACTAAACAGCCTAAGCGCTATTCAATTCCTAAAATATTTAACACTAGATTTATTCCTAAATATTTAACACTAGATTTATTTCTAAAATATTTAACACTAGACTTATTCCTAAAATATTTAACACTAGATTTATTCCTAAAATATTTAACACTAGATTTATTCCTAAAATATTTAACACTAGATTTATTCCTAAAATATTTAACACTAGATATATTCCTAAAATATTTAACACTAGATTTATTTCTAAAATATTTAAAACTAGATTTATTCCTAAAATATTTAACACTAGATTTATACCTAAAATATCTAACGATTTTATTGAATGATATTTTCTAGAAGGAACGAAATCAATTTTTTGTGCAATTCAAAAAAGAAGGAAATGGATCGTTCACGAACGATGAATAAACGCAATGAAAAAAAAGCCAAACGCGACCAACTACATTGACTATAACAGTTTCCTACCTGGCGGCAGTTCTATTATCGCTGGCGTAGAAATTTGCCGCCATGCTAAGATGATGGATAACAGCTTTATAATCAGGAGGATAAATATCCTGGAATAGAAGATATAAAGATACAATTTCTGGCACTTTGCACCACCTAGTATTACACAGAAACTACAGTGAGTACTATAAAACTGTGGAATAGGAAAACAAAAATAAATCAAAACATAAGTGTATTTGATGTTGTTATACAAGGCAAATCAATTTACAAGAACTTTGAAAGCCATTTATGAAGTAGATAGATCTCTTTACACAATAGATGTTTCTCATGATCGTTGGATCCTATTTAAAGTCATAAATAAAGACTAAAGGTCGTCTTCCTATTCCATAGTTTTCCGGTTATCACTGGAAGTGAGATTATTGTGTTGTCAATAGTTGTCAATAGTTGTCAAAAAGTGGTCGCTGGTTAAAAACGAAAGATTTAGCACAGAAAATATTGTCGACATTCATTACTTTTGAAATTTTAACTAAACAATCCACGAAATATGAGATTTACAAAGAAAACGGTAGCTTGAAGAGCAACTGTTTACAAAGAAAACGGTAGCTTGAAGAGCATCTGTTTACAAAGAAAACGGTAGCTTGAAGAGCAACTGTTTACAAAGAAAACGGTAGCTTGAAGAGCATCTGTTTACAAAGAAAACGGTAGCTTGAAGAGCAACTGTTAACAGCTAAAGTTGCCACTAGAAGAGTTGATGAACGAAGCACCCAGAAAGCCTATAACTGCAACTGTAGATTAGTTTCTGTGTATACAAAAAACGTCAACCAGCCGAACTGGTCAAATTGAGTATAACTCATAATCATATTTTATAAAACTATCGTGTACTTCATCATTATTACTCACTTCATCGTGAATTTCATTATAAACGTGCTATAGAGTAATCATCATATTATAATGTTAAATTAGCTGTACATTCTATACATTACGTGTGCTATAAAGTTTTTATTGGTTCCCGGATTTTCTCCAAAAAATTTAGGATATTTCCAAAATATTTTTTTTTCAATTAAAATGAAAATAAAATTGAAATCAACTTGATTTTTTAACTTCTTCTTTGTTTCAAAGGTCATTTGATCTAGAAATAGCCATTGAAATAAGAAAAGTATACAAACATTTCATAAAATTACCTATAACACTTTTATTTTGGCACGACGTGCTAAAAAGTTTTTGAACTTAAATTTTCTCTATATCTAGAAGGTTCTTCCCTTTTTAGATTATATTTTGTCCTTCGCTAAAGTTCGGAACAAACTTAAATCTAAAAAGGCTTGCACCTTCTCGATAAAGAGAAAATGTCTGCCCAAAAACACTGCGAACCAAAATAACAGTGTTATAAATAGTTACTATGGGACCTCAGGCCAGTCACCAAATGACCCCTTTTTTCTTTACCTTAGAATAAATGAGTGCAATTGATTCATGATGTTTGGCAGGGATTCCATATTTACCAAGTTCCACATACAATTCAGCACTTCTATACAGACAATAAATAATAAATATTTGATCATAAAACTACTGTGGGTACCCAGCTATGCCTGGACATCTTAACTGGTTCTCCCAACCATAATATTATCCCCCCCCCACACCTCATCTCATCCCTTTACAGAAGACGTTTGCTACATGCCTTTTATAAATCTTGCTAATTTAAATGAAGAATACTCATTTTACTTTTTAAAATTATTCTTAACAGTCATATTGCATATGAAAGATGTGTTCATTTTGTTACACTTTCTTATATTATGTCAAGTCTGCCAAAATTTACAATGTGCTTACTAACTAGAGTTATCCAAATCTGATGATGGCTAAAAATATCTTTAGTTATATTTCTTCAAAATTGAAAAATATGTCGCCCTTATATAGCAGAGGAAATTATTTTTTTCCAGTATGCCGGATGTGTATAAAAAACACTGGAAATACTGATTCAAAATGTATTTAAAATTACGACAGGAAGGTAAGTTCATACAGTGTGTTCAAAAAACATGAATATTTGGCAATCGTCGAGAACATTTTCAAGAACACGGCGCAGACAAGTTCAAAGCACAGACTACACAGACTGCTTATCTCTTTCACAGGGTGGGCAACGTAGGCCAATAGTTGACCCAACACGACATGCTACATTTTTACAATGGGTTTGTAGAGTGCCATCTCATGTCCACTTGTTGCATATAATACCCATTCAGGGGTTAATTTTTACAACTTTTAATGAAATACTCCAATTTTAAACATAACATTTATGAATGTAGTCTATCTTTGAAGAGTTTGTGTTTCGTATCCAAAGGATCCTTAAATATTCCTGAATGTTTGCTGATTGGTCGTGTACAGTATTTGTACACAATAGAACATGCTGTGGAAAATATCGCAAATAACAGGTTTCAATCAATCTCTGTATACTAGCTCTTATCTATGGTTCAAAGCCAAGACAAGGTGAAGAGAAACGTCCAGAAATGATTACCGTAGGTATGCTTCTACAGCCATTGGAGCAGATATTTTTCGGAAACAAGTTCCTGCTTCTCCATGTAGTTTAGCAGCACCAAATATATCTCCTTTTAAAAAAAAGATTTTTATAAAGATTTTGTCGTGATTTCAAACACCATTTCTTTATCAAGTATAAAGTTCACGTCACAATGGTACACTTTGTTCATGTTAAGAATGTCAGAGATTTCATTTTTTTTAGGTCAAAATTTAGCGCTTTCGGGGCCTTGCAATGAGTGTCTCATTAGTCACTTCTCAATCTTGGCCAAACAGGTTGTACAGTATACATTACATACAGAGCCTAAAACTTAAGACAGAGTATTGTTAGTAAAACCAGTTTTAAAACCCGGGTTTCACGAATGGGGTTAGGCACTTTTGTGATTATCAATATTTTTGTAATGACATATTATTTCTTCAGTTTTTTTATATTCTCCATTTTTTTAGAATCTCTTAAATCAAAATCTACAAAAATGTAAAGACCCCAAAAAGGAAACTCGGGAGTTTTGTTCAACGATACTCTTTTAAATTTCGGCCTCTGAGTAAAGAAGGCAAAACGGAACAGTACAACAAATGAATGATCCCCTAATACAGAGTTACCCACAAAAGATGAGACTGTAAAGACGACTTTAAAAGATATGACGATCCTAAGATTAAATATAGTTTTCTGCCTTTAACTAGTCTTTTATTTGCTTACTTAAAGATTTTGTAATGAAAGAAACAATTTTACAGTTACGTGAAACAGACAGAATAATTCCCTACAGTCGTCTCTATAGTCGGATCCTGTGTATGTATAATTTATTAAGATCTGTGTCATCGATGCTAACATCTTGCTTGAAACTTCACTCTAAGAAATGTCGAATTTTCATTAAACAAAAACGAAATTCTAATTCGTCGGCTCCAGTGCTCCAACAATTATAATTCGGCTCCGGTGCTCCAACAAATTATAATTCGGCTCTGGTTCTCCAACAAATTATAATTCGGCTCCAGTGCTCCAACAATTATAATTCGGCTCCGGTGCTCCAACAAATTATAATTCGGCTCCCGTGCTCCAACAAATTATAATTCGGCTCTGGTGCTCCAACAAATTCTAATACGGCTCCGGTGCTCCAACAAATTCTAATTCGGCTCCGGTGCTCCAACAAATTCTAATTTGACTCTCACTCCGCTCCGGTGCTCCCACAAATTTTGTGAAATGAAAATTTGACATTTCTTATAATGTAATATCTTACGCGTCGCATACAATTTATATTAATTTTATGGATTGAACATTTTCAAAAAAAGTATAAATATAAAAAAATATTCTAAATATAACCTTGGTTTTTGATAATTTTTGCCATTATTTCCATAATACTAGCAGCCTTGCCCCAGTCCCCCGCCATTTTGTACTGCGCTGTAGCGCGCTGATAGCACTCCAATGCCGCGCGTTCATTTCCAGATCGAAACAGTGACTTGCTGAAACAATTGTTTTGTTTTGTTTGCGGCATTTTTACACAACTTCTGTTCTTGGCATCTTTGTATAAATAACTCTGTTTCTCAAACTTGTTCTTGCTTTAGTAACTAATATAGGCAAAGAGGAATGTTCCTTAAAAGCTTGATTACAAAGGGTATTTAAATAGTTCTTTAAAATTTAGAGGGGAACTGCACCGACAACTTTTGGGCCCTAGACATTTTTTTATGCTAGCTTTTCAATAAACAAACTTATCTCAGTTAAAAAATTATTTGTAAATCTATAGCGGGCATAAACATTGTACTGAAATCCGAAGAAGTAAATTTTCGTCAATTTTGAAGAAAAAAAAATCAAACATAAGACGTTTGAAAATATAATATTAGAGATCAATAGTCATGCATACATTGTTCGATGAAAAGCCTGCCACAATGATGTGGTGTCTAAACATGTTGAAACGAAAAGCTATGCCACACTGTTTTAGATTATATTGTGGTATAGCTTTTGTATCGATAGAACCGAATGTAGTGTTTAAAACGAAAGAATAGTCATAATTGTTTTAATAATGGCCTATACGAATACAATTCAAAGACTAGGATGAAAAGTCTAAACTTAATTTTCCATGTTAACGGGTGAACCCTATACTAGGCAACTTACTAAATGTATATATCTGTTTCTTATCAAGATAATGGTTTGCACCAACACACAATATAAGACATAAATTGGTGCATTCTAAATAATTATCTAATTATGAGAGCTCTCATCTGTTCATTTATTTTATATATACAAAATTTTAAAACATGGAGAAAAGATGTCAGTCATGTTCTTGATAAAAAATTTGAAAAGATACAATTGTGAATCGGACATGCCACTCAATAACTGAAAAAACTAGTTCTTCAGCAGTCCAAAAACGTCACAGCAAAGTGTACGGAAACCCTATCGCCCCCTCCTTCTATTCAATTCTCTGCTATTGAGAAGCTATTCTGAAAAAAGGAACAAAAAATTCAGGGGGGGCTACGCCACTCCCTGAATCTGTCAGGGGGGGGCGAATGTCCCCCAGCCTCCCCCCCTGTATCCGCCCCTGGAATCTACTCTTTGTACAGTATCAAACAATACAAAAACAAAAAACTATTTGGTCAAAAATGTGTTTGCAACCTTGTGTGACCCCAGGAAAGGTATATGGATTTGTTTGCAACCTTGTGTGACCTCAGAAAGGTATATGGATGTGTTTGCAACCTTGTGTGACCTCAGGAAAGGTATATGGATGCGTTTGCAACCTTGTGTGACCTCAGGAAAGGAATATGGATGTGTTTTCAACCTTGTGTGACCTCAGGAAAGGTATATGGATGTGTTTGCAACCTTGTGTGACCTCAGGAAAGGTATATGGATGTGTTTGCAACCTTGTGTGACCTCAGGAAAGGTATATGGATGTGTTTGCAACCTTGTGTGACCTCAGGAAAGGTATATGGATGTGTTTGCAACCTTGTGTGACCCCAGGAAAGGTATATGGATGTGTTCGCAACCTTGTGTGACCTCAGGAAAGGTAAATATATATATGGATGATCGAATTTTCAATAATGTGCCTCTAACAAAGTTTGATTTTTGAAAATTTTTAAAATTCACAAAATGCCTTTTTTTTAAATCCGCGAAACTTTTTTAGTTTTTGTTTTACAATGTACATGTACATGTTCACAAATGAAATAGAAGATGGGCGCGAAGCGCCCTAAAAGCCTTGTATGGTATAAATAACAAGGATATTCGGTTTTTAAATTGTGTGTATTCATTCAAGACAGCAGTGTCAAGCATGAGTAATCAATGTTTACAAATTATTGTTGTTTACAATAAAACTAACTTCTGTAGTTTTATTACAGTCAGATGTAAGTTCGCAGGTTTAAGAAAATGCAGAAATGTCAACAGAGCTAAAAACTTTTGTGCTTTATCTCGAAATCCACAGTGGACACTTGATCTGATGAATTTTTATCCCAATTCTAAACTGTACAATTCAACGGAATGATACAGTTTAGAATTCGAATCTTTGTTATCTGCCACAGTTTATTGAATAAAGATTAACAAGCATCCCACACACCTCATGATTTAATACTAGAAGAAAAACGATGTGCTGAATAATTTTACTGTAGAATTTTGTTGCTCATTAGTCATTTTCTGCTTACTAAATGGTTTAGCTAATGTTAAACTTGCAAGAATTTATTTTTTATTCTTTTTTTAAATTTTTTTCTTTTTCTTTTCTATTTTCTCTTTACCTGAGATTCTGTTCCGCCTCCTGAACTAAAGCATCCCCTCTCTCCATATATTGGCTGTTTACCGGTCCTAGAATAATTTAGATTTTAACCCTAGAAAGGCTGGGGGTTGTAGATCCTTGCTCAGAGCTGGGGGGGGGGGGCGTAACTAGAAAACAGCCTTTTAGTAAATGTATAGAGTTGCAATACATATAAATAGCCCAGTATATCAAGATGCAGCTCATTTTAAAATATTAGACCGCAATCTTTTGAGGTTTGGGTGCTAGGGAAGTTTTTTTTAAAAATGGCAATGAAGACTGGATAAATGTGAAAAGTCCAAAATTGTGTAGCTTATATTAATAATAATATGTGACACATACAATTGATATTCAGTTGTCAAAGACTTTTCAAAATTGTAAATATTAGATCAAAGTGGGGGCCTCCCAAGGTTATAATGCAAGGAAAGTTATGTCAAAGGTGTAGGCATCTTTTGTACTGCAGTGTACTGTCTCTGGGCGGTAATGTAAACACAAGACGGATGTCGAAGCCTGACATGGGATCCATCTTTCACATAAAAAAATCAATTTATATTCTTGTTTACAAATTCCGCCCAGAGAGAACTGGTTTCAATATGTACGTAGAGTTACGCAACTGCAGTTAACTTTCCTTGCATTATACCCTTGAGGCATCCTAGCCTGTTAAGGGTTAAAGAATACTTCTGAAGACATTATGAACTGTTTAGCAAGGAGAATTGAATAGAAGGTGGGGGCGATAGGGTTTCCGTACACTTTGCTGTGACGTTTTTCGACTGCTGAAGAACTAGTTTTTTCGAAACAACAATAAAAAAGATTGTAAACAATAACACAAATGATAAACAGACATCTGGCGCACCTCTGGCGTTAGATGAAGATTCACCGTAAACTAACTCATGTTTGTTTACATTAGATCGGCTGCCTTTGTTATTGTTGTTACGCAAAAACTAGTTCTTCAGCAGTCCAAAAACGTCACAGCAAAGTGTACGGAAACCCTATCGCCCCCTCCTTCTATTCAATTCTCCTTGGTTTAGTGTTTACGGAATACAAGCCTTAAAATAGTTTATATTTTTATATAATACTACAATATGTATTATGGACAGTAGCAATTACCAGGGATATTTACAATAAACAATTTAAACTAAAATGGGGAAACGAATTCGCAATAAATTGCGATTATGTAAAAAAAAGTTCTAAGACTAGAAACATCTCTTGATTAGAAGTCGTTTTCTTATGCTAAATGGCGCAAAGATCTTAGTTAAAGAGTACATTTATCTCAAAAATTGAAGTGCCAGTTAGCTTGATAGGACGACCTCCAATGAAAAAGTGTTATAAAAGAAATAGTTTTTTGATTGTTTTCTACATATTAATAGACTATAGCTGTAACAATTGGAAGCATATTGCCTAACTAAGGCGCTTTTTTCAATTAAACTTATAAACCACTCCAAATTATTATTATTATTATATTATTATTTCTTCCAACATTACAGTGATCGACCACATGACGTCTCTTAATTATGGTCGTACTGTGGTCGTATGAATTATCTATCTATCCGATAAGAATTTAACACAATCCATCTGGCGGCGATACTATCGTCCTCCACAGAACGACCACTGTTCATACATTTTCAGAGAGAGAACGGGCTCTGGCCTTAAACTCATTCACAACTATCTAATCTATCTAAGCAGGATCATTTATTTGGGTTTAATGGATAAGCACTTGCTCATTCTTAAATTTTTAAAGTTTTTTCAATTTTAATTTTTGACTTTTTCCAATAATATTTTATTTTAATTGTTTTTTTATTATTTTTCACTCCATGAGACTCATTGAGATTGATCATTTTAGGAAAGTTACAGTAAATAGTCAGCGTTAATAAGGATGTAAATTAAGTTCAAACCGGTTCTGTCCACCTGAAGGACGGAGTCCTAATCACTATTTACTTTAGTTATAGTTTTTAATCTAATGAAATAACAAAATTCTGAAAAAGAGTACAAATAGGTCAAAACTTGCAGTGCCAGTAAGCTAACGAAGACGACCTCCAATAAAAACATGTTCTTAGAATTAAATTTTAGAATTGAGTTTCACTGTAACAGATTGTTTACAGATAATTTATTGATAATTTACAGATAGATTACAGATATTTTACAGATAGTTTATAGATAGTTTACAGATAGTATACAAATAGTTTACAGATAGTATACAGATAGTATACAGATAGCTTACAGATAGCTTACAGATAATTTACAGATACAGGATGAGTCAAAAAAAAAGTGTGATTTGCGGCGCCCTGGTGCAAAAGTGTAACTTTTTTGTGCAACTTTTCTGTATGGTGTTTTTTTAATATTTTTTTTAATATTTGTATTTTTTGGTACATCAATGGCCCAAAAAAAAAATCCGCGAACCTTTTTTTCTTTCAAATAATAATAATAATAATAATAATAATAATAATAATAATAATAATAATAATAATAATAATAATAATAATAATAATTCGTGATAAATAAACCTACCTATGAGAGGATAAGGTAGAGGATTGGGGATAACATGAGCCGGATTCGTGAGTTGAACCAACAGTGGCAGACTTATCTTCCGTTAACCCAATCTTTAAAAAAATTGAAACAATTTAATTTATTTTTAAAAAACATTACATTGAGAACCAGAAAACTGTGGAATAGGCAGTCGACATTATATCAAGCAATATTTATTGTTGCTAACACGTTTTGATAGTAACTTCTTTAATCTCTAAGTTAAGTGGATCTGTATTCATAAAAAATCAAGGCTGTGTCTCATGTTAATTGTACTTTTTTAAGCCATAACTTAAAGTATAAAAGATGTCTTCCTAGTATATTATTTTTAAAAAAAAATTTTTTTTGGTTTGAAGGAAGGACAGTTGTTAAAAAGTGTTTCCTTTGGACAGTTTTTTCCATTTTATTTCTACAGCATGGATGCACAAGTCGCTTTTAAAGAAAAAAACCCTGATTAGAATAATTTTCAAATTTTAAAACATGGAGAAAAGATGTCAGTCATGTTCTTGATAAAAAATTTGAAAAGATACAATTGTGAATCGGACATGCCACTCAATAACTGATTGGGTAAATCCACTTTCTACTATTCTACCACTCTTTAGGTTTTTAACTCTACTATTCTACCACTCTTTAGGTTTCTACTATTCTACCACTCTTTAGGTTTTTAACTCTACTATTCCTACCACTTTTTAGGTTTTTAACTCTACTATTCTACCACTCTTTAGGTTTATAACTCTACTATTCTACAACTCTTTAGGTTTTTAAATCTACTATTCTACCACTCTTTAGGTTTTTAACTCAATTTTTAATACGGTTCAAAGCAACTATTTGTGTATTTCAATATTTACATTTGATGCTACTCTTAATTGGATTCTTTTAGTAACAAAAACTTTAAATTGAAGGACAAAAATTAATACAATAGAAATTAGAAAAATTTAAATTTAAAATTAATGCATAGTTTGTATAAATATCTGAATCTTAATGTGGTTTTAACTCTTCAGGTTTTTAACTGAAAAACATAGAAGTCATAACTTGTGTGTTGTAAAAGCATTGATCTGCATCCTATACAGACACACGGATTAATTTGACTCTTCTTGGATATACCATTTATGGTAATTCCAGCCTGCAGGGATAATTAAAATATATAACCTTACATCTTAAAAAATTCCACAATGAATATCGAGATCAAGTGTTGTAAATTAGCGCCATTTTACACAATAGTTTACACTATTGTAAGAATGGGATAAAATGGTATTAGGATTTCAGAATTCTATTTACATTAATTCTGTACTTGAGTTTTCTCCCATAAATTATAAATGTTCTTTAAATACAAAAATATCTGCAGAGCAGAGCAAACAAAACAAAACCAAGCTCACGGATTTCCATGAAATTCGGGTAAACTAAGATTATTTTTTAAATCTGTTTGTTTAAAAGTATTTAAATAAACGTGTTCGGCAAATATGACAAAATCCTATTTTCTTTTTGTTTGCAGCAGAGTTTGCGAGTTGAATTGGAAAAGTTATATAATTACCTTATATAGTATATATAATATTATATTATAATATAATTTTATATAATTACCTTATATAATATATATAGTATTATATTATAATATAACTTTATATAATTACCTTATTTACATGAAGAGCTGGTTCACGTAGAGGGGATCTGAATCAGAAACAAATCCACCAAAGTAAATATGGAATTCTAGACAAGTAACCCTACATGCAAAGATGACAATGCCCAATTTACAACGGTATAAATGAAACCTTAAAGTGTTTATTTCTGTAAGTTTCTCCTTTGCTTCTTATAAACAAGAAAGGCGCAAGCAACTTTCGGAGAGAAACCGCACATGAAAATAAACAGTTTAAAGAAACAAAAGCATTTATATATGTAACAAATCTAGACGCTACTTCTATAACGATTACTTAACTCAAAGTCTAATGAGATCCCATTTAACTAAATCTCTAGCCAAAACTCAAGGCTCTGTATACGTCCGTTCTAATCAACAAATGATATTCAACTACTTTATTTATAAACAGGTAAAATGAACTGACCGGGCTAGCCCGGCTGGGTCAACATACAAAATAGTTAAGATAATAATATTATGAATACAGATAATAAATTAGAATTGCACATCATGGTAGAATATACTTCACATCNTGATATTCAACTACTTTATTTATAAACAGGTAAAAATGAACTGACCGGGCTAGCCCGGCTGGGTCAACATACAAATAGTTAAGATAATAATATTATTAATACAGATAATGAATTAGAATTGCAAAGATAAAAATGTAAAGTGTTTTTTTCTTGACAAAAACTCTGTAGAACGGGATGTAATTTTTACTTAGATGTCCAAAGGATCCTTTAAGTAACTTAACATACAGCTGTTGGGGCAATTATAATTGTAACGGTATTAGTCAAACAGCGGGAAAAAAATTTACCATCTTTTGACCAGCATTACCGACCTATGATTCCCCCAACAGAGTGAGGTTAAGATACTGAACGAATCCCTTGGGATAACTAAGTAAAATAATCACCCGCTCTGCGAAGTTTTTGTGAAAAAATTCACGCATTTTAATCTCAAAAGATGTAAAAAATGTGTACAACTACTTTTTTGGGAAATTAAAAATTTTACTTCACCACGGGTTTCCTAAACCCGGTTTTGCCAAAAAACATCCCTTGCTGAGATCCCTTAGTAAAGTAAAATATCCTTAACTTCCCTGTAAAGTAGTGTGAATAATTATTTCAACCTAACAATTGAATTTGTATTCCTTGAATTGGTTTCAGCTCTTGCTTTACTTGAACTTCTCGGACTCTTCTTTTTCATCATAATTTCAGATTTAGAATCTTTCGTCGGGGTACAGTCTTTCAGCCTAGCATATTCATGTCTCATTAAACCATATAGTTTTGTAATAATGATAGAATTGTTCATTAACATTTTCAAAAATCAACAGTTACTCGGAAACATCCATAAAAATGAGCCTGTATGAGGATATTAATCGGGTTGAATTTAAATAGGAAAAAAAGAGGAACGGAATTTGCATGTGAAGTACAAATGTGAACAAGTGTAGTCCAAAACATGCAAATATTATTTAAAAGGGTTGAAAACGTACTTCTAAGTAAGCTTCCATATTAAAGTTACACCGCACCCTTAAACCTGTGGCTGAATCAGGATTCAGGATGGAATTCTCTGTAAAAGTGACTTGAGAATGTTTGCCATCCAGATTAGAATATGCATAATTTTTCGCTTCGTTTTGGATTTTCAATTGAAACTTTATTTTCAGAACAAATGAATAGTCAAAACGAAAGTTTTTATTTTAATTTTTCGAAAACTGAAAACGGAAAAAAGACCATAGGTTTCAAGCAAAAACGATTGTGTTGGTCAAAATTGGTTAGAGTAAAATTGTTGGAATTTTTTTATTAAGAAAGTTTTTATCGTCAAATAATGAATTCGTTCATTTTCAAAATTATCATTCAATTTCTTTTTATTTCGTTCTTTTTCTCACTGAATGATCGTTCAGTAAAATTTCATAAATCTCTTTTTTCAATAAAATGTTTCAATCAATAAAAAACTTCATTTTTTTCCAAAAATGTGTTTTTTTTTGAAAAAAATCGTTCTTTAAGTATAAAAGTTAGTTTTTTCAAAATCTTTGAACAATTTATTTATATAAAAACCCGGAAAAACACCATTTTTTTAGTATTTGAACGATTTCAAATTATTCATTTTTAAAACATTAGTTTTTTTCATTTCTCTGAACTATCTAAAACGTTCGTTTTTTTCTGAACGACGAATTTTTTGTACGTTCTCAAAAATTTCGTTTGTTCACAAAAACTATGCCAATATCTAGTTGGGAGACAATTGCCTTGTTTTTGAATCAGACTCCCTAGGGATAGGGCTGGAACTAGATGAGAGGGATCTCTCGAGTTGTCTCTTTTCTTTAAAATATCTGTCTTTTCACAACTTTTCCATTCTTATTTATCTTCAAACAAGAAAAGTTATACTCCCCATGGACTTTAGGCAGTTTGAACGGAGAAAGGGGAAGGGAAGGGCCGGGGGATAAACATTTAATTTTGATCTGGTAAAAAACTGCATTCCTTAATAACCCTTAAATGCTTGGCCTAAAGTTTTTATCATAGTGAGCTCATTTTAAGAATCTATTTTAATACATGGCACCAAGTTAGCAAAGCCATGGATGCAAGGTTGTTTATTACGGTTGCTTCTCTCAATGCGCTCCAATGTACTTCTCCTAAGTAATGGACAGTGAAATCTGAAAATGACGTCACTGAATGTAGAGGCGAGTGCAAGGATTTAATGCAAGGAAAGTTATTTCAGAGGTTTACGCATCTTTTGTACTGCAGTGTACTGTCTCTGGGCGGTAATGTAAACACAAGACGGATGTCTAAGCCTGACATGGGATCCATCTTTCACATAAATAATCAATGAAATATTCTGGTCATAGGAAACTATTATGTGAATTATCAAAATTCCATGCTTTTAATCTCTTCGGATATTAAACGAACACTGAGGAATCTATTCTTGTTCACAAATTCCGCCAAGAGAGAACTGGTTTCAATATGTACGCAGAGTATACGCAACTGCAATTAACTTTCCTTGCATTACATTCTTGGGCGAGTGTAGGGATTAGTGACATTGGAGCGCATCGAGAGTAAGCAATTTTTTTATACTGTACAACCTTAGTTGGAGGGTTAGAAACCAAATTAGAAATATCTGAAAAGATTCCTGCTGGGGGGGGGGGGCAATTTGCCCCCCCCGGAGTTTTTTTTACATAACTCAAAAAGTTTTGGTCTGAGGCTGTTGAAATTGTCTGACTTTTCCTACATACCCAAAGCCTTCTCTTTAGGCCTTAAACCGGGCTTTAATACTAACTGCCTGAGTTCTCAGGCACACTGCCTGAATGACTGCTTTTTCCTGTAACAAACTAAATCTTTGTTTTGACCCACTTCCACTTGTCAGATTTTGAAAAAATTTAGCTTTTTGGAAAGCCTCTGAAATAAGGAAACGAATAGCACAAGTTTTGCGAAAAAAATTGCATTTTTTTTTTGCAAACAACCTGTCAAAGGAAATTTGCACATTTTTAGTTTTTCTTGATTTAAAATCAGGTTATTTAAAATTTTGCATATTTGAAATGGCAGGTCAAGGGCTTTTCAAACATGTATAATTTTTCATTATTTGGCCATTTTTTTTTTTGCAAACATTTTTACTATATAACTGGATTTTGCGATAAATAATTCAATTTTTGCAAATTTGCTGATTTTTTTTTGCAGATTCTAAAACTACAGCACAAGAGCTTTCCAATGATGTATCATTTGTCATATTTTGACATCAAACATGGGATTTAGAGGGGGGGTCAAATTGACACCCCCCCCCCAGCATATCCTGGTTTTCAAGTACCCCAGCAGAGATAGGGTTAAGCCTACTTTATCATTCAAAATTTTTAAACAGCCTCAAAGATAGATTTAAGGGAGAGACTGGCTTGGTAACGTTTGAACTGAGACTGCAGTAATATAGAGAACAATGTTTGAATTAATTTGATACCAATAAGATATTTTTTTCTGTTTGAAAACTCGTTTCATATTTATTTACAAGAGAAAAATTACTCTACAAACTACATCTGTTTAAGAACATATATATCAAATAAATTATTGATGAAAGCTATGATAGAATCAATTATTTTTTATTATCATTCTTTATCTATATAATAAAACAAGACATTGGTTTATATATATGTTGTCTACAGCGGGCTAAACGGCTGGACCGATTGGGCTCAATTTTTTTGTGGACACTCATGGATGAACAAGGGGGTGTTATAGGCTAAAAAAATGAATTTTTTTTATTTATTTTGTTTTTCCACGGGCAACGCTGGGCGCTTCAGCTAGTTCTTTATAAATTTGCTCGCAGACTTCTTTAAATTATATACACCGTAAAATACAAATCATTAAAATCTCTCTAGTACTGCACTCTCACTTCAGCTACAAAATCTAGCCAGTTTTTCCCGTTAAGCAAAAGCATCCACATATTAAATGTAAAGGTATAAAATTAATTAAAAATAAGAAAAATATGACTTAATATTTTCCTTTATGATATGAACAATGATGACGATGATGATGATTTTTCTTTTCTTTTTGATCAGAGGATTGATACGTTTGATCAGAAGATTGGTCTGATTGATTTGAAGGTTGATGAGAAGTTTTTGAGCTGCTGATCAGATCTGATGAACTGGAAGATTTAACTGACGGACTACCTATTGAAAACCAGTTAGATATTTACTATTTTTAATTATATATATTCATAAAATAACCCATTGCATTTCCATCGATAATTTCTGACTCGGAGCACATAACTTACATTTTATTTACCGTTTTAATAAAGATTTAAAACTCAAAATAAATTCTCATTCTTAAGAGCGCAAAAAAAAGTTATTTAGCGAACTGAAAATTTTGAAACCCGATCTTAAATGCTAGACTTTGGTCTCTGAATTACATTAAACAATCATAAAAAAATCATTATTTTGAATTGATGTGCTTGTAAGACTGTACCTGGTTTACTATGTCGACTTGCTGAGGAACATTTATGTTCTTGTTTTGAACTTTTTACAACAGATATCTCTGATGTAATAACATTAATACCCTCCTTTTGGTCGGTTTCAAAACTAATCTTCTTTGAATGTCTAAACAATGAAGAAGAAAATAATAATGACCTCTGTGTGCACGAAAAAAATTATTTCGTCAGAGATTCTTGACTTCTACAGAACTGATATAGAAGCAGAATGGAAGGATATAGATAGAGGTGAAGGATATTGACGTATAATGGCAGTATATTGATGCAGAATAGAAGAATATTGAAGCAAAATGGCAGTATATTGATGCAGAATAGAAGTATAATGACGCATAATAGCAGTACATTGATGCAGAATAGAAGGATATTGAAGCTAAATGGCAGTATATTGATGCAGAATAGACGAATATTGAAGCAAAATGGCAGTATATTGATGCAGAATAGAAGTATAATGACGCATAATAGCAGTATATTGATGCAGAATAGAAGGATATTGAAGCTAAATGGCAGTATATTGATGCAGAATAGAAGAATATTGAAGCAAAATGGCAGTATATTGATGCAGAATAGAAGTATAATGACGCATAATAGCAGTATATTGGTGCAAAATAGAAGGATATTGACGCATAATGGCAGTATATTGATGCAGAATAGAAGTATAATGAAGCAAAATGGCAGTATATTGATGCAGAATAAAAGGATTTTGAAGCAATGTGGCAGTGTATTGATTAAGAGTAAAAGGATATAGAAGCTAAATGGCCGTATATTGATGCAGAATAGAAGGATTTTGACGTATAATGGCAGTATATTGATGCAGAATAGAAGGATTTTGATGTATAATGGCAGTATATTGATGCAGAATAGAAGGATATTGCCGCATAATGGCATTATATTGATGCAGAATAGAAAGATATTGACGTATAATGGCAGTATATTGATTCAGAATAGAATAATATTGACGCATAATTGCAGTATATTGATGCAGAAAAGAAGGATATTGAAGCCAAATGGCAGTATATTGATGCAGAATAGAAGGATATTGAAGCTAAATGGCAGTATATTGATGCAGAATAGAAGGATATTGACGCAAAATGGTAGTATATTGATGCAGAAAAGAAGGATATTGACGCTAAATGGTAGTATATTGATGCAGAATAGAAGGATATTGAAGCTAAATGGCAGTATATTGATGCAGAATAGAAGGATATTGAAGCAAAATGGCAGTATATTGATGCAGAATAGAAGGATATTGAAGCTAAATGGCAGTATATTGATGCAGAATAGGAGGATATTGACGCAAAATGGTAGTATATGGACGTAGAATAGTATAATATAGACGCAAAATGGCAGTATATAATATATTGACGCAGAGTAGAATTGTATTGACGCAAAATGGCAGTATATAATATATTGACGCAGAATAGAAGGACAATGACGCAAATTAACATTTACCTTTTATCTTTGCATTTGTGAGGTTTCCGCTCTTTGCTCATTTCTACACAATCTGATCAGGAATATTAATTTTTGGATCATCAGTCCTCTGAAATATATTATTCGTTTACAATCTACATAAAATAGTGCAAATTTATAATACTTTTTATCTTTTCTCTATTGCATAATTCCGCAAGTTCTTTCTTTAGAAAATCCAATTTTCAGATAGGAAAACATTTTCAGATGATCATCTAAAATAAGACAAAGTCTAAACCAACACTATGGGCAACGCCCCATGGTGGGGTATTTTAGGTGGTCAGGGGGTGACTGGGTTTTGTCACAATACTCCTCTTAAAATGCATTTATCTTGTGTTTAATGGTGAGAATGGACAAAATATCTATATATTCTCATAATCTTTTCATTTACAAACATTGTATTAATTGTAGCTTGCATTGATTTATAATAATTTCAATTTATAAATACATTTCCCGTTATATTTATCCTTGAGTGGATCCTGCAGACCCGCAATAATTTTAGATGTCGTCTTTGTTACAGTGAACTATTTTGGAGGAAAACATATATTTTATAGCAAAAGTACAAGAAAGCACTTATGTTTCGGGATAATCTAAATATATAAATAGATTTTACAGCCACAAAGAAAATATTTAAGGGCGTCGGCAGCACGCAAAAACCTTGATTTAGTCAGATTGAAAAATTCTATTTTGAGAGTTTTCATTGAAAAAGCGGGGTTTCTGACGAAATTCTTACTAAACCAATTCTCTAACGGCCAAGCCTTATTTGACATAAATAAGAGGTTTATGGAATAAACTCATTTAGGCTGAACCCCCCCCCCCCCCTAATACCTCACTGTGCAGTATAGTTTCGTTTCCGTTACCGAACGATGGTGTTTTTTAAAGAATTGACGAAAAATTCGGTAACATATTGAAATAATTATGTAATGAATGAAATTAAACCTTTATTAAAAAAATGAACGGAAATTCGTAAGAACGAAAGAATGTTTTTTTATAACTTTGTCAATTTGTATGGTTTAATTGCATGAAAAATATGAATGATATTTTGTTGATATGAAGTGTGCAATGAAGTTTTCGAAAACATTTTTGATTTGGAATCTTTTTCTTTTCTTAAGAACAATTATACTATATTATATTTTATACGTAGAAAGGGTAGAGTATATTATATATTAATAGATTGTATTATATTATAATACAATTATAGCGCGCCAAATTTCCCCAATAACAAGGCCGGAAAAGGGAAAAAACAGCAAATTTTCCTTTAAGATATTGGCAGCTTGTAATTTTTTAAAAATTTAATTATTAGATTTTTTTTTAAAATGACGTATAACAAAAAAGTTATCAAATTCTAGTGTAGAGAATGCAAAACTGAAAATCACAAATGGGCGAGAATATTTTGAACTCGAGGTTCCGCCGCTAGCTGCAGATACTGGAACACTGCAGAGGACAACCATCCTCCGTTCCTTTAGATAGATAGATAGATAGATAGATAGATAGATAGATAGATAGATAGATAGATAGATAGATAGATAGAAAGATAGATAAATAGATAGATAGATAGGTAAGGATAGATATGTAGATAGATAGATAAATAAATAGAAAGGTAGAAATATAAATAGATAGATAGATTGACAGATAGATATATATATAGATAGATACAAAGAAAGATAGATTGATAGAAAGGTAGATAGATAGATAGATAGATAGATAGCAAGAATAATATAAAGATGTATATATAAAAACTGTTTATATTATATATATTGGTATATGTATAACATAAACGGTTGTTTATATGTAATATAATGTGCTACCAGGAGCAATACAATCCTAATTATCTATGTTTCGTTATCTATTTTATCTATGTTCATGTTAACTCTGACCGGCCATTACGGTCAGTTCTATTTACCTGTATAAATAAATTAGTAATATATGAAACGTTGAGTTATACGGACATGTATAGAGCCTTCAGTTTTGGCTAGAGATTTAGAGCCTAGAGTTTTGGCTAGAGATAGAGTCAGTGTGACTAGAATTAGACTAAGAGCAGAGTAATCTCTGGGCCTAGATTTATTACAAAAGTGGTGGCAGCAATGGGATAAATTATGACCCAGATCTAGATGCCCGAGACTACGAAAGTATTCCGGAAAAAGAGTAACGTGAAAACCTGGTTTAACGGATTAGCCAGAGAAGTTTTAACAGGAGAGGATTTGCCTGTACGGGAGCAAAGAGTGGCTACAGGAAATACAGTGGCTAACTTTCAAGGATATCCGAGTTTACTCAGTGACAATTCTGGATCGGAAGTAGAGATGGAGGGACCATCTCACCCAGCGATGGATGGCCTAGCGGAGATGAGGCAGCAGTTTCAGCTGCTCCAAGCCCAACTGGCGGAGACTAAGAAGGAACTGGCGGATATCAAGCAGAAAGATAAGGATAAATCATTTGCGCAGACGTGGCAAGAGTTAGGGACACCGGAGACACAGGATCCTATTGGTAGAGTAGTTGCAGTATTAGAACACCCTACGGTGGAAGATTCACAAGAGTTCTATGTGTCCTGGCTGAAGGCGGAGAAGGCAGTGGGTAGAACGGATAGGCAGACGTTTAGAGATCTGAGCAGGGCGGAAGCTGAATATGAGAAGAGGCTGAGGGATTTTAGCTGTAGTGCCCCAACATATGACGGTAACCCTAGTAAAGTGTTCAACTGGTGTGGCGAATTGGAGAAACATCTGTCGAGATTTAAGTGTGAAACGATTCCCAAAGATGCCATAAAGAAGATGCTGCTAGACTGTATAATGGGGAAGGCACAGTTCGAGATAGTATTGTTGAAACCTGATGGACTAGCTTTTGACAATTGCGAGATTGGTGAATTCTTTCAAGAACTATTGAAGAAGTTCACACACAAGAAGGACAAGGAGGGCAGGAAGATGGAATACCTGGCCAGGAGACAGGCCAGGAATGAGGATGCTCGACAGTACTACACAGACAAGCTGAGATTATTTGTGCAAGTTAGTGAACCTGAGGACGTATAACTTGGATCCCAGGGCTCCAGCCCAGGATATGGCAGGACTGCAGAGTACGTACGGGTATGATAAGAGCAAGATGACCAAGGCCAACAAGATGTTGAAGACGGGGAAGGTGCCCATGGACATCAATGCCATGCCAGGGTTGGTGGAGGATGTGTCTGATGCTGAGGAATTGGATGCTGAGGGCAGGATAAATGCCCTGCAGAGTGGAGATATGTGTTATTTTTGCAAGAAACCTGGCCGCCAGAAGAGGGATTGCAAGAAGTTTGATGAATGGAAGAGGAAGAATCCTAACCGGAAGTACGGAAGTAATGCCAGTTCCCGCCCCTCAATTTCATGTTACAACTGCAGGAAAGAGGGTTATATTTTAAGGGAACATAGAGGAGAACGGAGAAATCAGGGAAGGAGAGGGAATGGAGGTTCTGGAGGCGGACAGATGGTGGATATGGGGAAATCTTTGGCAGCAGTGCAGGAAGTTTTGAAGAAACTGGTACCAGAGGCATTTTTTCCCTAGGGAGTTGCGATGACGGACGGTCGTCAACTCCTAAGATTGCAAAAAATAATGATGCAAATGTATGTAATAATCATTTAATAAACAATTCTGTCAATCCTAAGGTCCATGATTTGTGTAAGTTAGTACCAGAAGTGAATGGAGAAGTTAGGGCGGAAAGTAGTGGATAATATAAACAATGTGATGAAGTTGAAAAATGATTTTAATTCGGAAGTGAGAGATAGTTTGAGACCTATTAACGGAAGTAAGGCTATAGAACTTAGAGAAGAACTTAGAGAATGGGAAAAGAATATCCTCCTGCACCTGAACAATGTTAATTTGGTTGAGAGGGACAACTGTAAAACCTCATATGTGAAGTTTAAGTTATTTAAACGAAACATATTTGGGTTAGCCTTAGTGGATACAGGCAATTTAGTTAAAGGTGCTTTAGTGTCCAGTGAATTCTGGCAAATGATAGGGGGGAAAATGCTAGAGGAGGGTAACGCTAGAGTGCACACTGCAGAGAAAGGTGGGAAAGGACTGAGAGTACTGGGGAAAGGAGAAAGGATTAAGTTTTACTTGGATGGTTTGGATCGGAGATTTGAAGTAAAACCTATCGTGATTTGAGGGCCTAAATCATGCAGTAAACTTCGGGATAGAGTTTTTTCATCAGCAGGAAATATCAATATCTTGCACAGAAAAGGAAGTGAAGCTAGTCACCGGAAGTGAGGGTCAGGAAAGGTTAACGAGGTTGTGCAGTGCATACGGGAAACCTTTCCCTTTCATGATTAAAGGCAGGAGAGTGGATAAGGAAACGAAGAATTATGTGCAAGTAATCCCTGCTGTGTGGAAAGCTGAGAGGAAAGAACCGGAAATAACCAGCGTCAATCAAGTAGAGGAAGTACGAGAGATGAAGTTATGGTCTGCTGAGAAGATAACTATTCCTGCAGGAAGTGCAAAATTAGTCAAGGTGAGGACTGAAGGTAATTGGAAGGGGGATGGAGTGGTAGAATCATTGCCTTTGGAATATCAAGAAAAGGGGAGAAGAGTTCTACTTCCAGAAAATGCGTATGATCTGTCAGGAAGTGTACAAGCAGTGTATGCCGAGAACCATGCAGAGGAGTGTGTAGAGTTGTGCGTAGGGCAGAAGCTGGGCACAATACATAGTATGTGCATAGATAAACAGGCCTGGATTAAGGAGGAGTTAAGGGGAAGTACGGCACAGGATTTAGATGAAGAGGAAGTGTGTAACTCTCAGGAATCACTTAACTCATTACAAGAATCCGATTTTCCAACAGAAGAGAGTAGAAGGAATTTTATCAAGGATAGTTTCAAGATAGATGAGAACAAGATTTTGAACAGGGATGCAGAGCTGAAAGAGGAAGTGATCAAACTTTTCTTGGAAAACTTTTCTACGTTAGCTCTTCACCCTAATCATTATGGCAAAACAGATTTACTGGAGCTGCGGATAGAATTGCAACCAGGGGCAGTACCTAAGAGATCCAAGGTGAGGCCATTGAACCCTGACCACCGTGCACACTTGAAGGAACAATTGGATGAGTGGATCCAACAGGTGATTATAGAACCTGCAAAAAGTCCCTGGGCATCGCCACTAGTTCCTGTGAAGAAAAAGGATGGGAGGACAAGATGGGTGACTGACCTGAGGCAGCTGAATGACATCACCATCAAGGATGCTTACCCTCTGACGAACATCCAGGAGAACCTGCAGAAGCTGAAGGGGGCCAAGATCTTCACTTCAATTGACGCCTGTGGTGCATACAAGTTTACAAGTAATTAAAGGGAAGCTTTTTAATTAACAACCTCTCTTGATTTCTGTGTTTATGATGCTGTTTACCATCTTTCTTTGAGATCTAAATATTTATTAACTCCGTATCGAGATTACATAAATTGTACAACATTGTTTACATGGATTAAATAAAACTATTTTACATCAATATCGTGTACATATATTTAAAGAAAATTATGAAAGAATTTACAGATACATTTTTAAGGAGAAATTGGTATTGAGGCTACATAAACTATGTAAAAGTATAAAAATTAAGAATTATACCAACTATCTTGATAACAGTCAAAAATTTAAATCAAAAGTTGTCTTTGTTGTGGTGATATAGCTGCCTACCACTGTATATATCTATTTTCATACCAATCCTTTGGAAAAAACGTCAAAAAAGTAACAATTAAGACGTAATGAAACAACAATCCCTTTAACTCTATCAATTGTTGAGAGCAATCCCTTTAATCCGTTTATATATCTTGTCTAGAACAATCCCTTTAATCCATTTAATTCTATCTTGTTTAGAACAATGAATTTAATCCCTTAAATTCTATTTTGTTTAGAACACCTGAGAAGGTTTTGATTATTACGAGGTAGGCTAATAAAAATAGTTTGTGTTAGTTTTTAGAGTTTTAACCCCATACCTTAATGGGTTGTTTTAACCCTGAATATGGGAGAATGGGGGGGGAGGGGTAACAACCAAGAGGTGTATGGAATAGAAGTGAGATACAACTGACACGGCCCACCCTACCATATGGTTATACATGCTTTGCAGTTTGCAGACGGTACTCCATTAACTTGAAAATGCATGTAAAGTGTCATCCAGAAAAGATGAAACTGTAATGACGACATGAAAATTATTTAATTAAACGAATTTATGATTGAATTTGTCCAAAATTGTCTTAAAAGGGACTGTAAGTGCAATTTCAAGGGGGGTCAATTGTCCTTGCACAGCTCAAATCAAATTAAATCAAATATAATTTATTCCGCAAATCTTAAAATGAATAACATTTGTTAAACAGATTATCTTTATATGATAAAACTTTCAAAAAATGGAATCGCTTAAAATAAAGATTATAATTTTTGATTAACTTTGTCTGATCAAGTATGAATCAGATATTGATGTTTATAACTTTAAAAACAGTTTATTTTTACTTTGGATTATTCTCTGCTAAACTGGCTTGTGCAATGTGCATTTATATTACATACAAGAGAACAAATTGGAATAGACAGGTTTCCAGTGTACCTTTAAACGGCATAGTGAATAGTTTGGCATAAAGATAAGTAGACTTAAAGCTGCATGGACTCACAAATTAAAAAAAAAACTGAATGAAAAAGTACAGAAAGTGATGTATGCAAGTAAGGAAATAAGTAAGTAAGTCAGAAGACGACATTTTGAACTGGTATTTTTGTGTTTTTAAAATTCCAAAAATTTCAAGAACTCCACAATACAATCTAAACAGCAACATGATCAATCAATAGAAATTATATTTAATATTGAAAAGAGTATTTGATTATGATTATGCTACAGTGTGTCCCACGAAACATGACAGCAGAAAGACGACTTGCAGGTCGTCTTTGATCTTGGAAATAATTGGTGACATTTATACGTAAACTTGAAATCTGAACAAAATTCTTCATATCTCTGGTAATATTGCCAGTGCTGAAAATTTTTGAATACCCTTAATCCTGATTCCTTAATCTGAATATCCCTTGTAGAAACCTTAAATTTTTTTATTCCGCTCTCGTTGGATTTCACATTTCCTGCAGTGAAACCATTAATTCCTTCATTTTATACTGTTTCCCAGTTAGGGGAATTAAAGAATATACCCATAACTGCACCCCATATGCAAAATGGGATCCCTGAAAGCTCTCTTGAGAGGTATCTTCCATAGCAGTCCAGTCCTCGCATCTGGTTGTGTAAAAAACAGGTATCGTTGTGAATGGCTTGTATTCCCACAAGGGGTTAAACTCCTCTTTCAGTGCACCAAGCTGAAGATGAAGTTTTGTTTTAATCTATGCTTCCAGCTTCCCCTGTAGGATACAAGATGCATAACTAGACTCAGCACTTCCCCAGCTGTAATTCTGGGACTACATACAGTAAAACCCTTAATAACAAATACATCAGAAGAATTAATCAAATGTCGCCTTGACAATTTTTCAATGAGTTTTATACTATATTTCGTAAATTTCAGTATTTGCGAAAATAAATAAATAGCCATGAATATGCGGGAACAGTTTTAAAGAGTTCCATATAATCATTTAATTAAAAAACTAAATATCTGCAAGGCCAACATTCCATTATCAGAAAGTGAAGAATACGACATTTGATGAATTATTTCGATGTATTCGTTATTAAGGGTTTCAATGTACTACATTTAATAAAGATATGTTTGATTACAAATTCAGATACGATGAGCTATATTTGATTGAACTATAAAGTCAGCTGTTCACAAGCCGGCTTTTAGAGCATTTACGTAAATTTAATCATGTTAATATGAACTTCCTAAAACACATATTTTATCACGTTAGTTGAATGTTAGTCTTAAAGACCATTAATCTGTTAAACTTATGTTCCTTCAAGTGATCATTAGTCCAATTGATATGACACCACAAATGCGGGAAAATAAGAAATGTTTTTAAAAGTTAAGGAGCGCATCTCTCAGCTCTAGAAACTAATCTAAAGACTAGATAAGTCTGGAGATTAGCAAAAAAAAGAGGAACAAGTATTGATCTTGATATCCAACATGTCCCTTTTGTTTTTAAAGAGATTGTCACTTGTTAATATTTTTCTAAGAAAAATTATTTTGCAAATTGCAAATTTCAAATGTATGCATAATTAAGGCAATTTATAAGATATAATTTCATGATTTTTTTTGCAAAACTTTGCTTCAATCTGTTTTGCGAAAAAATGCAAAATTTTAGCGAAATAGAAAATTGCGAAAAAATGCAAAAATTTAGAAAAAAATGCGAAAATTACAGTTGAATGTATGGATTGTGGACGGACAGACAGAAAATTAAAAAGATAGCTAGTGAAATCAAATTTTCTTCAACAAACATTTATTAAAGTAAAGGAATAAAATAATTACAAGGAAACTTATTGAGTAACAGTCAAAATGATTTTGGTAAATGGTTCAAATGTTTGAAATTATTCGTATTTTGTTATTGTTCCTAAGAAGATAATTAGTATTGGACTTAAAGTAAGCAATAACAAATTCTGAATAGGTTAGTTCACGGCCGTGAGGAACTTTTATTTAAAAATTGTATTTTTTTTACTTCTTAACCAACTCTTTTCTATAAAACTTTTGTCTTTGATGTAATTTTCCGTTACTAAGAACGGAACGGGGGATGGAAACGTTCTTAATTAAAAACAGAACAAGAGGGATGCAACCGTTCTTCAACTAAGAACGCCAAGAACGGAACGGAACGGGAAGACCGTTCTTCTACTCAGAACAGAACGAAACGGGACGGAACAAAACGAGAACAGAACGATAAAAAAAGAGGAACGAGAACGGAACGATTTAGCTGAATGCCCTCGTTCTAGAACGGAACGGAACGATTTCAAAAAAGTTGGAATGTGCCCATCCCTATTTATGAGAAGACATTGGAAAAATTTATGTCGCCTTGAATTTGAATTTGACTTTGTCTTGTATTTTCCCCAGCTGTCAATGAATAATTTACTATAGCATAATGAAAATTTCTGTATTGAAAGTCAAAGATTTGATCGGGAATGGAGATTTTAAAAATTTATTTTTGAAAGGTAAATAAATAGTTAATCACTTTTATAGAATTAATTAAAGGGCCACTGTTGTAAATTTTTCTTAGAACTTCCTAAATAAAGGTTTTTTAAATTAAGCTGATGCACTACCACTAAATATGTGCAATGTGTATTGACTCCATCTGGAAATGTAAAATTGAAATTTTTCCATAATATTCTGTTGTTGAATTTCAATCATCAAGACTTATTGGTGTCTTTAATGTTAGCATGTCTTCTGTTTTCTTCTTGAATTTTTCAAAGTAGATTTCGTATATTAGCTGAGCTGAGGGTAGAACAGCACCTAGACATGTTGCAAATATTGTCCAGGCAACACAGAAGTTGGTCCAGTTGTGGAATTGAGTCAGACTAAATGCTTCAGTTTCAAGACTAAGTGGTATTACAATCAAAAGTATAAAAGTCAATACGATTGATGATCCAAGAGCTATATACCCCCAAATTCGGAATGCTTTCTTCATGATGTCAGCAGAGGGAAGATCAATATAACGCCTTTGTCCAATAAAGCCAAGATCTTTTGCATAAGTTGCAACCCAAGGTGTCAAAGGATTGACTATATTTAAAGTCTTCTCCCAGTTTTCAGATCGCTTAGGTCCATTTCTAGCTACTAAGGAAACAATTACAGTTATTAGGAGGGAAGATGTCATTGCAACTATACTGCCAACCAGTACAGAATCTTGTGATGCTGCAGATTCAAGTGTCAACCCCTTCTGGTCAGTAGTCGCAGTAATCAACCATCCAAGTAAACCAAAAAAGCTTCCACAGACATTACCAGCAATAAGTCCTGATGGCTTGGTCCCGCTCCATAGTATTGCTAGGGTCAAAGGTATCCATTGTCCATTGATAAAAACATTGCATACTACAAAAATGTTTGCAAGGTTGATATTGTAGCTATTCCCTATACTGGTTAAAGGCCATATTATAGGTACTGAAGATAATGTTGTTACTACTACAACCCAACTTGAAAACTTCAGCATAGTCTCCTCATAAACTCTAAAATCTTTATGGTCTTCACATTTATAATGAGGAAGAACAAGATCATTGGATTTACGGGCTTTGCTAATGCTTTTCTGATCTTCTCCACAATCAAGACAGTTTTTTATGCAAACACAGTCACAAACTTCTTCCTTAAATGCCTCTTGGGAGTTATTTTCAAATTTTTTTTGACAAATAAGACAATAGTTTGTTGGGAGATGTTTTCTATAAGGTTGTATATAAGGAATGTAGATATCATATACTATGATAGAGGAAATTGCTATGACTTGTCCACTACCAGTGGTCATTACAGCAAGGAGCATTATGATAAATAGTAGATATGAACCTGTGCTGCCCATCAACACTGAAGTAACCAATGGCAATATGAGATTTGAATTTACTTCTTCATCTGCTAGTATGGAAAACCCTTGGGAAGAGCATAAGCCAGCATATGCCACACCAGATGTTGTCCCGAGACCTAAAGCAATTGCCATCCATACAAGTGCTCCTCCAATAAACCCGAAAACAGCACCATCAGCAGGTTTGGCAGCAATAACCCCTTGCCAAACACCTTGATCCAGAAAAGTTGATCCAAAGCTATAAAAGAAATTTGTGAATCCAAATTTCCAGTTGCTGTCTGATCCAAATTGTAGTAGACTTGAGTTAGTATGGCCTGGATCCCAACATTCAACCAGCTCATACAGAGTAGAAATGTTTCCAAATGTTTCCTGTTCAATAGCTGCTGGATTTAAATAAACTATGATTTGGAGCAGGAGGATAAGAAAAAATAAAAGAACTGTATTGGCATAACACACATAAAATGTTCCCCCAAGTCCACCAACAATAGTGTATCCTCCAATAAGAAGAGCAAGGAGCATAGAAGAGAATTCAGGTCTTAGGTCATCAACCATGGCATTTAATGCAACTGTGGCTTCTACTAAAAGAGCTGCAAAAGTCACAAAATTTTGGAACAGGCAGATGGTAATAAACAGAATATGTGTTTTTTTCCCATATTCAACTCCAATAAACTGGCATATGGTTTTAGCTCCAGGGGCTCTAATTTTCATGGCATATCCTAGATAGGAGAACAGCATAACCTGCACCCCACCTCCTATAGAGTACCAGTATGTTCCTGATAGACCATATTGGAAAAGAAGAACAGAGCTTCCCAGAATGGTTCCCATGTTTGTCCTAAAATGGCATTGGTCATTGATATGAAAAAGCAATTCAAATTCCTTTATCTTTAATGGAAAAACTTGATTTTCTGGGTTTTTTTATAATATAAGATGCAAATGGATATTTATAATTGATTCAGAACTTTTTAGTCTCAAATATAGATTTAGATTTTACATGGAAAGAAAAAGGAAGGGATTTAGCTAAATAAAGATTAAATTAGATATCAATCAGTATAACCACATTGGCGGGGTATAGAAACACTAACATTTTGTGAACAATTTGAACTTATTCAAAATATTTCAAAATTACTTAAACACTAATTTAAAAAAAAATAGTAGTATTTTAGAAATGATGAAAAAAAATATTAATGTATTTTTTTTATTATCAGCTTACTATATTTTATCTCATTATAGAGGGTAAATTAAACAAAAGTTAGAAAGCCACCTATTGCATGAGTACTGATATCCAATTTAAGATTGATTTAGCATAAACCACTGGAACATACATTGGTACATTTGAAGTTTCAAGCTGATATTAAGGAAAAATGAGCAATTTGTTTTCTACAGTATAGGTAAAAGAGAATTATTCAAGTCAATTTTGCAGCTTTTGATTTTGATTTTTTCCAAACAAAATTAATTAAGACGTTCTTTTGAGTTCTCCAGACACCAGAGTTTAGGCTGGGGTTAATGAATTCTGTACGATATGGGTATAGACGATAGATTTAAAGGAACAGTACACCAAATAATCATCCTCTTCAAGTGCGATTCATGTGATACTGTTAATTTGATGGAATTGTAAAGAAAAGAATGCTGGAGAATTATGTAAGAAAATATGGAAAGAAGACAACTGGAATCCAGGAAACAATCAGTCAAGGTTTTAGAACACAAAAACATATTTTTACTGAGTTGGGAACTTTAGAATTGGATACTTTTATTCCAGAGCTGAAAGCATTAGAAAGGTGGATATCAAGATCAATGCTTGATCTTCTCTTTTTCTTAATCTCCAGATTAAATAATGCTTGCTCTCTTCTTGTTATTAATCTCAAGATTAATTAACCAATCAGGATTAACTATCTGATCGGGAGCTCAGATCACTTAATCTGAATATCAATTGTGCACACTTTTAATTTCCTGCTTAATCCACGTTCTTTCCCCTCTTTTTCTCTCCTTGTTAGTTTCCGACCAATTAGAGTTTACTCTATAAAATGGCATGCAAAATTTCAAATTTTCCCGGCTTCTCTGATTGGCTGTTCTGGTGTTTCATAACGCCAGTTGATTGGTTGAGTTATATTCACTTTTTTGGATACAAACTTAATATGAAAACAATCTTGAAATTGACAAAAAGAGAAGATTAATCATTGACCTTGATATCCACCATTCTAAAGTTTTTAGTACAGTGCACTTGTTCTAATTCTCTAAAATGTTCCCTTTAATTTTTTTGATATTAAAGATGAGTGTACTTCTCTTTCTTTTTCAAAATTAGCCGAACATGATGGAAGATGCAAGAATAAGAAGAAAATGGATATCAAGAAAAACAGAAATTTCAAAATACTTGCAGCTGCTATCATCTGATCATTAATCGAATTTTGTTAAAATTAAATCTGAAAATAAATATGTCAAAAAAAAAATGATTGTACTTCTGACACATGTTGTTAATGATGATAAGTCCTGAACTGGTCTCGCCTCCGGCATCAAAGGTACTGTCAAGTGTTACGGGAAGCTGATACAGCCATCCCTAAGAAGAAATGCACATTAAAAATTGTTGGTTCCCTTTTTAAGCAGGGTCGCCAGCCACAAAGAATAAAAAGTCACCAACTTTATATTAAAAAATAAGACGAAAAAACACCAGTAATACTTTTAGTTTTTTTTACATCTGGAGCTACACAGGGTTGTTCTGTGAAAATAATGTGATTCATAACTTTCTACGCTAAAATCTAAAAATAAGAAGATTTAAAAACAGATAAACAATTTTTTTTTTGAGTTTATGGATCAGTGCAGACCGTAAATAAACAATTTCTAAATTATTCATTGGAAAAACTTGAAAAAAACCAATTTTTTATACTATACAATCTCACTGAGTCAACCAATTCATCGCTCATTTAGAAATCTAACAAAATTGATAGAAAAGTAATTGCTACAAACTTAAATTTTCTAACCTGATGGTGTAAATTTTGCAACCTGATGGTGTAAATTTTGCAACCTGATGGTGTTAACCTTTGATATTTCAAACTTAGACTATTTGATATACCAGGTCCAGAATTTAAAGTTTGAAATATCAAAGGTCTAGGAAAACGGGTCGCTAAGTTATAAGAATTAGAAAATCTAAGTTTGTGGCAAAAACTCATTTCCTTCCTTTACAATAATTCTTGAAACAAACAAATTCAATTTTTTTTCTGAACTGAAAAAAACGGGTTGTTGACGATTGACGAATGATGAACGATTAAATTAAAAAAGCTGAACGTGCTTAAAAATACCAAAAAGGAAAGAGTACACCAGGGTTGCCAACCTTGCTTTTAAGAATTCTGTTTTTTTTACTTTAAATAGCTGTACTTTCTACAAGACTCTGAACTGCAGTTTACCATGATTTAAACCTGTATTTTAATATTCAAGTTTTCTTAGAGTAATAATTGTAAAAATTTACTCGGCATTTTCAAGCACACTCTCGGAGAAGACAATTATGATTTTATGAAGTAATAAAATATAATAATTCAAATGTTTCAACGAACAAAGAAACTTACTATTTTAGAAATAAAATGTTTTATAACCTGTATCTTGTCGAAGGCAAGCGAGATCAATATAGCTGCAGCGGCAAGTACAACAATCAGAAATAAAGTTGAGCCCACGGTTATTTTTTCTCCAACACCCTTTAAAAAAGTAAAAAATATTGGAACTCAGATCAATGGTTTAAAATATCAAAGTTTATGCCATAAGGTTGCAAAAATAAAGGTATCAGAAAATAAGAAAGTATCCAGTTCCTTTTAATGTAAAACGTTTGAATTCGATTGTGAAAAAAAGAAAAAAATATATTCAAAACATGTTTCATGTTTGCATGTTTGCATGTTATAAGGTTTTTTTTTATGATATTGACATGCTTTAAACTTTTTATATCAGTCTCTTCAAAAATTAGCTTTAAAATCCTTATTTTAAGGAGAAAGAAATTGAGTCTTTGCCACAAATTCAAATTTTCTAATCCCTATATATTTGCAACCTGATGCATGGTCTACGACATTGCAGGCTGCAAAGATATATAGGAGTTAGAAAAGACTGACAAAGACTCAGAATTCCCTTTTTAACTTTCTTTTATGTTTTTTTTTCATAAAAGTAATCATAATTATAAAAATGTATAGGGAGTGTCACAGGTATTTCCATTATGTAAGTAACCGTGAGGAATGTTTTTTTTTAATCTGAACCCTTTCACAACTACAGAGTAATGCATCTTGGTGTCCAGATATACGGAAAAGCCATTTTATTGGAACACAAATATTAGACATACTGAGAGTATATTTTTTTTATTTCATATATTCTTAAATTATGTCATAAATAAACTTTTACGCGGAATACCACATATTTCCGGAAACAATTACATCTCAAATAAAATTTCGTAAAAAAAACTTTGTACTACTTATAGCAATTTTTTTGGCGGAATTCTTGAGCTTTTGTTTTTTCACACAAATTCCACAATTATGTGGAACACAGATGACACGTAAATTTAAGCGTTTTTTTCACGGTAAGGAATAAGAAAAAATGCAGAATTTGCGACGGAAAAAATCAACGATATGCGTAACGATTTTTCCATTCCCCTGGAAACTCTAATTAAAAAAAGATATATATCTTTACAGGTTTTAAATGGGGTTTAACCGTTGTGAATCCGGCATGTTCCTCTCTGAACGAAGAATATAATAAAATTTTGTGAACAGTCCCTTGAAAAATTTGATTTATTTTGACCTGAATAGTTCGGTTGAACCTAGTTTTCTCTTCTCGTATTTGAAGAACTGCCTCAGAACACTTTTCTTCAAACAATCCTGCAGAGCCCTCTGATCCTATACAAGTGCTTGTTAGATATTTCCAGTTAGGTTCTTGGTATTCATCAACTCTAAATTAATCTCTTTATAACTAAAAACATTTGTTGTCTTTTTGAAACCTGATGTAGCTTTTCTTTGATATTTCCAACTAAAATTTCTAAAATATCAAAAAGTCTAGGTCTAAATATATCTTGGGTTTACAGCAAAATAAGGTTGCAAAGATATTAAGATTATAGTAAAAGAGTTTGAGGCAAAAAATCAGTTAATTAATTATAGTAAAATTCAGAAAAAAACTGATCTTTTACTACGACGTAAATTGTCTAACCCCAAGTCTATGCAACCTCATGATATGAATTCCTTGATATTTCAAATTATTTTAAAAATTAATATCTACGACATTTGGAACTAGAAAACCTTTACCAAAAACAGGATTGAGGAGGAAAAAAGTTAGTAAAAGTTGTTCCATCATCCCAGGGCTCTTCATGACTACTGCCTACTTAAAACTAATATTTCCATGACTAGCTGCCAAGTGTTCTGGTTCCCATGAGACCATGAATAATTTCAAGTATCAAGAAATCTTTAAATTTTACAGTAGTTCGATTTTCAAAGAAAACATGCTTATGATTTTTAGAGGAAATGTACTTTCGCCCAAGATCAACAAAATCAACAAGATCAACAAGATCAACAAGATCAACAAAGATCAACAAGATCAACAAGATCAACAAGATCAACAAGATCAACAAAGATCAACAAGATCTACAAGATCAACAAAGATTAACAAGATCAACAAAGATCAACAAGATCAACAAGATCAACAAGATCAATAAGATCAATGAGATCAACTAGATCAACAATATAACTTCAATCAAATAAACCATGTTCTATGAATTAGTTTATACTTTATATTTTACGGGTTTATTATAATGATTAAGAAAACCTTCAAAATATTAATATTAAAAATTGGAAATGGTTGTTCTCATGAAACCACCAGATGGACAAAAAATAAATATTTAAAGATTTTTAAATGATTTATGAAAATTTAAATTCTACACAGAACAGAGCCAAAAATCAATGCAACTCTCGTCGTCTACTTCTTACCATGAAACTCTTCAACAGATTTTGTAATTCGCAACTAAGTTCTTGCTTTAAATAAGTTCTCTAAACGTAAATATGAGTTTGGTATACACTTTCCTCATGGTGGCTTGATTTTCTCTTCTGGATTTCCCTCCTGGGTTCCAACCTATATGCATGTTCTCTCATTAATTTCAAGCAAATTGATTGAGTCTTTGTAACAAACTCTGATTTTCTAATACCTATATTTTTTCCACCTGATGGTGTAAACCTTTGATATTTCAAACTTAGATTTTTTTATCTAACATAACTCATAGTTTGAAATATCTAATAGTTTGAAATCATAGTTTGTGACAAAGACTCAATGCCTTTCTCGGCTCGATAAGCTGTTCTAGGTTTTGCAACCGTGGTACTCTGCATGGTTGCATTTTATACGCTTTCATGGATATTTTTGTAAAATTAAATTAATCTGCAGATTAATAAATAGATAAGATCAAGCATTAATCTCGATATGCACAATTGGCACAATTCTAAAGTTTTCATCTCAGTGTGATTGCTGAAGTATGAATCGTTTAAAAAATATCTATATTTTCATAGGATCGATTGTTCTATAAATATTGATAATAAGATTTTAAGTTTAAGGTATTCTTTTATACGATGTAAGTATAACTTAAATGGAATAAATGCATAATTTCAAGTGACCCTCCATTTATAGAGTGGCATGTCCGATGTACCTTTGAAACCTTCATTTCTCCATCTTTTCTGAAGAAAGAAATGCGTTTTCAAAATGGGAAACATGGATATTTAATGCAATGCAATACTAGATCAGACAAAGCTTTGAAGTGTTTTGTTTTGAATCATGGAATAATATATAATCTTTTAGTTTGGGACGAAAGGTAACATGTGGAGACAAGCTGGAAATAGGAGGGGCGATCTGGGACACAAGGGATAAAGGTGGACAAGGAAGAAAGGGATCGACATGGGATACAGAGGGGGAGCTGGAAGGGAGACAAGGGAACAAGGGACAGAGGACAGAGGGGGGACAAGGGATTAAAGGGGGTCAGGGGACCATGGCACAAGGGGAAAATGGATAGAAGTGGGTAAAGGTATGGGAATACATGTGGGAGGGGTGGGGATCAGGGGACATACAGAGCGTCCCATATATCATATTAGATTATCACCAAAAGCTTTTATGTATGTATGTCACATATACTCGATTAAGACCATTGGCTGGTATTATTCACAAAAAGAAATTTGTTATATGCCTTGTACATTTAAAAAAATGATTCATTCTTTTAATTTTCTGATTAGTCCTTATAATAAATCTTAATATAGAGGTATTTAAACGATCTATAAATATGATGTGCAGCGGGACACCCTGGCCAGTGGACACCCTGTACAAGGCCTATTCTGTAATGTTATATCGTCTATAACGCAAACATCCCCCTACTGAACTTCCAACCTACTAACTTTCCGACCTACTGCAATATCGGACCTACGCCAGCTATTTTTGCTTTTTATGATGGTTAGGTTGGGTTATGGACAATTTCTGAGCCGATCGCGCTGCGGGTGGGATCCAGGCTAGAGGGGACCGAGCGCCGCGGCTAGAACATGTTAGGGGCCGGGCGCTGAGGCCCAAAAGTCCATATAGAAGCTGTAAAACCACGTGTAGTATAGCGGATTTGGCGTATGGTCAGAAGTGGAGTATAGCGGATTTACGTGGGTCGAAAAATACACCACCCAAAATTCTGAAATGAAAATGCCGCAAACATTTGTGAAGCAAAATTTGTGATTCATTCATAACGTTATTTCAATAAAACGCCTTTAAAACTCCATCTCTGTATAAAATCTACAAAATTGAGACCTCGACCGTTCGAAAGAGGTCCCCTTATCGCCCTTGCACCATCCCTGCGCACCAACATACATCTTGGAATCACCGACAGTTTTAATTTCTAATCTTCTTTCAGTAAGTTCATTCATTGATTGAGGATTACATAAGCTGAAACTTGGTTAGCTCTTGCTTGCCGTTATTCAATTCAGACAGTGCGCTTTTTCATTTTTCGAAGAAAATACTACGTCTTAATAATGACATATTGCGTTTATACATTAACAAAATATACAGAACGTTTGAAGTTGAACATTACACGTTTTTTTCTGCTGTCGTCTGATATATCCTCTTATAAACAACTCACCAAAATTGCAAACTGACATTTTTTTTATCATTTCAGAAATATCATTGGTATGTTAAATGGCCCAGGGAAAGATAAAAACTAAAACCAATACCAAGCCGCCAGCAAAGAAGACCAAACCTACGAAGGTATGGAAAGAATTCGATGTCATAAATTATTTGTATCTCACGGAATGACGAAATTCGGCATTTGATTATTAATGGGAAATAAATCCTTTCTTTTCCTGAAGCAATTTGTTTTGAGTTTGTGCGTTAGTTGGGTTTTTAAACTTACAAATTTCCAGTGTATGGAACGGAATTATCGGGTCTATCCAGGGGAACTATTTTTGGACAAAGAACGGGGTCGGGTCTGTCCTAGTGAACGATTTTATTTTTTATTATTTAGGGTAATAGGTTAGGTCAAGACACGTTCTGGACCGAGCGCTGCGGCTAGGATAGGTTAGGGAGCCGAGCGCTTTGGCCACGGGTTAGGTTAGTTAAGACACTTTCTGGGCCGAGCGCTGCGGCTAGGACAGGCTAGGGGGCCGAGCGCTGCGGCCATGGGTTAGGTTAAATTCTTCTTCTTAACAACTTTATTCAATACAAAAAAAAAATTGACAATAGTATTTTTCATTTATAGAATCATAGAGAAAAACGTCTCGTTCTACCTATTGCCGTTAGGTTAAATTAAGACACTTTCTGGGCCGAGCGCTGCGGCTAGGACAGGCTAGGGGGCAAAGCGCTGCGGCCACATGTCATACATTTAAGATCCTCATTCATTTAGTATCCATGTANTTTGTCAAACGGGCAAGATACTTAACTAGGAAATTACTAAAGAACGACCTAAACTTTAAAGTTCAAAAGGTTCAAAATACTAATTAAGTTATTTTGCCGATCACTGCTGATTCGCTTAAGATTTTGCAAGGTTGATTTTTTTTTAGAACAAGGGCGGAGTGAAGAAAGGAAAGTTCACTTTTGCGGCTAAAAACAACATTCAGCTGCAGGTTAGTAAAGTTGAGACAAGTAGAACAGGTCTCCATGTGTTTTTTTGACAAACAAGCATGGAGACTAAACTCTCGCTATTACAATTTACAGATCTAGTTTCCCAATCCAAACTTGAGGCAAGTCGGTCAGATCTAATTTCCCAAACCAAATTTGAGGCAAGTCGGTCAAGGGCTCAAACTCGCTGACATATTGACAAAGAAACAGAGATTACTACATGGATTATATACATAGAGAGCCTTATTTAATTAAAGAAAAATATTTGAAAAATTTGTGCGCTTACTTCACAGTTCAGGTTTTGAATATCAGCATTTTAATAAGGCCTGTTTTTAAAGTGAAATTGTTAGCGTGAGATCTTTAAAACTTTGGATTTGTAAGACAATATTTAATGATGATATGTTAAGTAATAGTTTTACCAGTAGTTTAAAAATAAACTCACAAATTTTGAAATGGGTCTTGTGCACTTTTCCAAAAAAATTTCTCTCTGAATTGGGTAAAATAAATGATTTTAGGAGTAAAAAGTAATCGATGTGTCATTTTCACCCCCCCCCCCCCCCCCTTTAAAAAAAACTGATACCTTTTTTTATCTATTCGATCATATACACACTTTCATATTAGCAAGTGTTAATAAATTATTTATGTAATTTTCTTAACCCTATAAAGGCCTAAATCTTTGTATAGCCTGGGGGGGGTGTTTTGCGCCCCCCACCCCCTAGAAAAAGGCCTTAGAGAATAATTATATTGTTAAAATGCATGTGCATAGCCCACTGCCCAAATTGCCAAGACCAGCTATTTGAATCAAAAATTAGACCGATAACTTTAGTAGTTTGGGTGCTACGGTGTGGGTTGAAAAAACGCCAATAAAAAGGGTCAGAAAATGAAAAAAAAATATTTTTTTGTTTTAACAAAGATGAAAGCGTGACACATGTTTCTATATTCATTTTCTAGGGCTTTTCAGAAATAAAGTTTTTAGATATGTTGCTTTAGTCACAATTTTAGATTTTTCCCCCCAAAGACTGGACTTTTTTCCGTGCTGTACTGTACCCAACCATAGCATTAAAAAAATTTTTTTTTTACAAAATATCCTTTAAAATTACTATTTATTAAAAGTCACAACATTTCACGATGACAGTGTCAAAAATGAGAAAGCTAGGACAAAAAAAACATCCCCCCTTTCCAGGTGGTGTTACGGGGGGTGGGGGGTTAATGGGAGTGATTCTGAAAAATATACTTCTGTTCAGGTTCAGAAGTTTAAGAAATCTGTTCAGAAAGGAATCAACGCGAACATCGAGTCCGAGTTAAAAGCAGTTGCCCTTAAACATCAAGAGGGAAAAGCGTTCAAGGCAATCAATACAAATAACCAGGTAGGAATAAAACACACCATCTATCAACATTTACTTTTGACCATGAAAAAGAGGTTGAACTTCTTTGTAATAATGGACTTTTTTAATATGTTGTAGTATTTTGAGTATTTCGAAATATGACGATCGACGTTTTTAAGTTTTCGAAATATATTTCAGACCGGAAGCTCTTCTAAATAAAGATGGCTGACAACGGAGATTCGAACGGAACTAACGGAACCCTGAACGGAACGAACGGAACTGAAAACACCCAACACGTGGAGAAACATGTCCACGTGGTGGAGCCAATTACTATGGAAACTGACCCACCGAACAACGACGCTGTCGATACAGACGCCTCCGACGCCGAGCCCGACGGGCCTGAGATATCCGAGGAGCTGGGGAAGGTAGTGATCAAACCCAACGAGGTGAACGCCCTGGAGCTCGACTTTCAACACTGTAAGATTCCTAAGATTGAGAATCTTGAGGTTCTTACTAAAATAGAAAATCTCGGATTCAGGTGAAAAAAAGCAGGGTCGGATAAATTATTCAAACCCTTCCCCTTCCTTTTTCGAAAATAATTTTTTCCCCCAGAAGTTAGGGTTGTCTGGCCAGATCAGAGCCGCAACCATTTTTAAGGAAACATCAAGAAGTTCTTAAAAATACTCACGTCTTAATAAAAACTACGGAACATTGTTTTTGAACAATTGGTTTGGTCCTTCGCATTAGAAGTTTATTCATTCTTAAGATCATCATTGTTGACTAAAATTAACAGACGATACTAACTTTTCTAAAATAATTTTTGTATGAATTTTTATTTATTGAACTCCCAACAGGTTTGAATTCTCCTTTTGGTTTGTAAAAGAACTGTCCGCTGAACATTCTTCTTGAAAACAAAACAAAACGACATCCCCCCCACTCCCTTGCTAAAAAGAGTAATTATTTTCGTCAAGAAAAAAAAATTCAAGAATTAATAACATAATACCTAATTTTAGGTGGAATTTTATCAAAAAGATTGAAAATCTACATCATCTTACAACCCTGAAGGTAAACATCTTTTTTTAAACTTATTGTACTGCAAGTACAAGTACTGTACCTTATGTACTGGTATTGTACTGCATGAACAGGTATTGTAATACATGTAAAGGTATTAGGGACCTGGTTTCCGAATTGTGAGTCGATCTGTTTGATGGTCCCAAGTCCCGGTTGAAGAAGAGGCTTACCGAAGTGTCGGTGGCAAGGGTTACAAACATTTTTTTTATTTTTTTTTTATGATGGGGCCTGGACCCTTATGATAGATTTACCTCGCTGATTCATTAAGTTGAGTAATTGATTGATTGATTGATTGGTTGATTTACTTATTCATTTATTAATTAATTTAACATTTTGTAGGAGCTTGAGCTGTATGATAACCAGATAACTAAAATAGAAAACCTTGACGGTTTAGTTAATCTCAGTATGCTGGATATATCTCACAACAGACTCAGGTTAGAACTTGTTAATATACTATCTGAAATCTAGGCTTTGATGGTTTCCAAACTATTTATTTCCATGTTCGGATCTGGATCCGAAACTTGTCAGCTCCGTGGATTCGAATCCAGAAATCAAAAAGTACTATATAATTGATTAAAAATGATTTTTTGCTTTTGGACCTGAATAATTAAAAACAACTGTGGGTAACAAAATGCCAAATCACATTCTTAAATGAAGTATATATGAACGGTTGGTTAGACTTGTTATTTGTAAGAGAGTTCAGCGAAAAGGTTTTTGCTGACAAAAATTGTAATTGATTTATAGACTTCCTATTGGCTCTTGAGGCTTAAAAGTGTAAATTGATAGGGGTTTGAAATCTGTTATGAAATACCTTATTTTTAAAACTTTTTTTCTAATGCAACGAAAGTTTTTAAGAAGGAAAATTTCCTCAATCCTCCTCACTTGAACTTGAACCAATGGTTGAGCTAGATTCAAGATAAACTGTGACTGAATTAAAAAATTCGAATTGCTTTTAAAATTTGAGACGCGGCTCAAACTTTGTCGGGTCCCCTTGAAATTGTATTCAGTGTTTCGATATTTTAGCCGGCGCTCAATTGGAACCGGTTTTTGTCGGATATGCTTGCAGTTTAGATTCTTTAAATTCGACCTCTGAATTCATAAATATTTAATTCTAGTCTATAAACTGTTTCTAATATTCTCCTTTTGATCAGGAAGATTGAAGGACTAGAGAACCTTCCAAATCTTCGAAGGCTCTACCTCGTCTCAAACAAAATTTCAAGGTAAAAAATGGCGTTGATTGTCTATTCTCTACGTCATAGATGAATGTATTATATTTTCGAAATTCATATTACAGGGTTAATATTTTACCTGTTTGTAAATTTTGGGGAAATAATGAAAAGTTTCTCACCCTGTTTTATTCATATTTTCCCCGCAAATCGGCGAAATAAGGGTGAAATGACAAAATATACCTCCACAATGTAAAGTGAATATTCTTGTTAAATATCATAATCGGAAACAAGTACGAAGTTTAGTAAATGTACAATTTTTAAATGCTAAAACGTAGTAACAACGATTTATTATTCGATAAATACATAAATACGAATATCTATTGAATGATATTTTATAGCAAATCAAACAACCCAATTCGAGATTGGTTGATTTATTTATTGTTAAATGATGGATATATTGATTTATTGTTGAGTTATTGATAGATCGGGTTATTGTTGATTGATTGATAGAATGATTTATTGTTTAGTGGTTGATAGATTGATTTATTGTTGAGTGATTTATAGATTGAATTATTGTTGAGTGATTGATAGATTAATTTATTGTTGAGTGATTGATAGATTGATTGATGTTCCGAATCTTAAAAATCCATTTAAAATAAATGTTTTCAGAATTGAAAACCTGGATAAGTTGACCGGGTTGGAGATGCTTGAACTGGGGGACAATAAGATCAGGAAGGTGGAGAACCTGGACACCCTTGTCAACCTGACCGAACTCTACCTCGGGAAAAACAAGATCAGCAAAATCGAGAATTTGGAGAAATTAGAAAATCTCAAAATTCTCAGCATTCAAGCCAACAGGTAGAAAGTTTTGAAAAGAGGCATTTTCAGTTTTCGATCGCAGTTTTCGTTCAAAGCGGGCTCGCGGATTTGTGCAGTCGAGTCAAGGAAGCAATTTCACCGAATTTTTTTTTTACAGAAAACGACAATTGACATTGTTTTCAAATAAAGTCTTGAAGCTACTGTTGCGAATCTTGCATGTAATTAGACAAGTTAAACATGATCCTGTATCGCTGGTTGTACCTAGCAGGATTACATTAACCCGGTATATCTCTATGCTTCACCTAAACGGTTGTCAGATACCAACCAACCAATGTATTTAATTGGTTTGCCAACCACAGGAAGTATCTCCTTGACTCCCCCGGCTGGGGAAAATTTTGTGAAGACTGTCCTTTTAATGATCTTCATATTTGTTTTGTGAAGACTGTCTTTTTAATGATCTTAATATTTGTTTTGTGAGGCAGTCCCTTTAATGATCTTCATATTTGTTTTGTGAGGCAGTCCCTTTAATGATCTTCATATTTGTTTTGTGAGGGCAGTCCCTTTCTTGATCTAAATATTTTTTTCGTGAAGACTGTCCCTTTAATAATCTAAATATTTGTTTTGTGAGGGCAGTCCCTTTATTGATCTAAATATTTGTTTTGTGAAGACTGTCCCTTTATTGATTTATTGATCTAAATATTTGTTTTGTGAAGACTGTCCTTTTATTGATCTAAATATTTGTTTTGTGAAGACTGTCCCTTTAATGATCTTCATACAGAGCGTCCCATATCATATTAGATTATCTCCAATCTTTAACACCTGAATACGCACATTATACTCAAAAAATCTAGCATTTTCTGCAAAAAAAAATTCTATTAGCCTTATTAAATTTTTCAAAATGATTCATTCTTCTTAAATTTTCTGGTTTGTCCCCCAAATCGCAATTTAGACCCGTTCTCGGTCTAATATGATGTGGGACACCCTGTATTTGTTTCGTGAGGGCAATCCCTTTATTGATCTTAATATTTGTTTTATGAGGGCAGTCTCTTTAATGATCTTCATATTTGTTTCGTGAAGACTGTCCATTTAATGATCGTAATATTTGTTTTAACAGGATTCGATCAATTTGCGGTGTTGACGAGCTCCCTCACCTGGAGGAGCTGTATATTGCTGACAATGGGCTGGAAAACCTTCAGGAAACAAATCTAATCAATAAATAATCATGATTTTGTACTAGTGTAGAAGGATCCATTTCATTTTGAAGCCGATCCGCACTGGAAAAAAATGGACCCGGATCCGGATTCAGACCATTAAGATTCACTGATCCGAATCCGGATCCTCAGCACTGTTTTTTAGAAAATAATTCTTTTATCTTTATTATTTTTTTCTTCAAATATTTGTCATTGCATGTTTGTTTGTGTTCGGATTATTTACTAAATTATTGATTTTTTGCTTGGTTCAGGGTTTGGAAAAGAATGTCAACATTGAAACTCTAGAAGTGGCCAACAATAAGATAACCAGTCTTAAAGGTATGAATTATTTGAGACCAGAAGGTATCCTCTTATACCCCCACCCTCAGGAGAAAAGGGATGCCATCCAATTATTGTCAAACGGGCAAGATACTTAACTCCAGGTTGGGATAGATTTTATTTTATTTGATTTGACTAAATTGGCTTAAGTGTGGAAAATGTCCAAAAAGAAATAAAAAGAGGGCAATAAATGATGAAATGGGGGGAAAAAATGAAAAATGGGACATTTAAAGGCAAGATTTTTATCATTTTTGATACTTTTTACCCAAAAATCATTTTTTTCCCTGAAATATCTTTTATTTCTCACATTTCAGCGATAAAACCCCTAAATAATATTTGTCGCCTCGCGCAACCATATATAAGCTCTGTGGAAAAAACGTGATTTTCTTTAAGGGTAGGGGGGGAATATTTTTTAGGAAAATATACAACCCTCACTTCTTCATCTAAATTCTTGTAGGAGTGGATAAGATGAGTAAACTCGAGGAGTTCTGGGCCAACGGTAACGAAGTCTCAGACTGGAAGGAGGTAAAATATTTTCATTAATATCACGACAAGGAAATATATTTTCATTTAAAAATGATTACGCCATCCCCCTTTTGAAAATATTTTCCCCCCAAATGTTAAGAGTATTATTTCTTTTTATTCGCCACGCATAATTGGGGAAAAATAAAATTTTGGATTTAAATTATAGAAAATTGTATAAACTGACCTTCATTCGTTTGGTTTTATATAACTTCAAGAATAAAACATTCGCTAATAAAAAACCACCGTTAATCCCCGCGCGTATTATATTAGGATTGAACCTCACAAATAATTTTTTTTCTGTCCTGTCATATGGTGCTAACTGCTCAGGTTAGGGATTTATTTGTATTTTCTCCAAATGTAGGGGCCATTTTTTATAGAATTGAGACCTACTTCATGAAATACTAAATTTTTCCCGCATTTACTATTTTTCTGGAAGACGATATTTCATTATATATTTTTTATCCTGCGCGTGATGGATACGACATCACTGAACATCTTAATCCTTTAGGTTGAGCAGCTGTCTGCCAACAAGTGTTTACTTACTGTATATTTGGAGCATAATCCTATTCAGAAGGTAAGAGCTAACCAAAATAAACCAAAGTTATAACGGAGGTTTTTATACCAAATTATTACGTATTGGCAAATTTATATTTCAAAATTTGAAAAGTTAAAAAAGATAACGTTCATTGATTGATTTTTAAAATCAAAATGCACAGAGCTGGCAGCTTTTGTATTGTGGATATCTCTTAATCTGGAACTTACTTTGATCTGCAGATTTGTAAAATCTTTATTTGATATTCGCAGTGTGATAGTTTCCGGAAGGGATAACTCTAATGAAGAAATTAAGCATTGATCCTCAAATTATTATTTCCCATGGCCATAGTGGATATTGAGATCGAGCGATCTGGTTTGTGAATATCCAACATAAAAGTTCCCAGATCTGCCTTAAGTAACAAAAGTTTAAAATTTCTTTTTCCAGGATCCTCAATATCGTCGTAAACTGAAGATGTGCATCCCAACCCTCACTCAGATTGACGCAACACTCTGTCAATAAAAAGATTAAATACCAAATATGTTAATTCTGTGTTCACTGTCACCATAACCCAATATTAGATATATTTGATCGATGTATATTTTCTTGTGATGAATTTAAATGAATTTGAGCCAACACCTGGCTCTAATTCAATTTATCCCTCTGTTAACAATATACTAATTTTTAATTTTCATCTATTTTTTTCAGATTATAATGGAGAAAATTCTCTTGTTAAGTATGCCTAGTGCACAGCGACTAGCGAGGGCCTATACGCAGACTACAAGCAGATTATTTGTATTAAATACAAACAGTATTAAACTTGTTCAGATTAGGATGAATTCACAAAATAAAGGTGATAAATTATAAGCATTAAAAAGTAAAAACATTTTCCCCCTCAAATGATCAAATATTTAATTCTCTACGCCCCTGTTCTCTTACTTTTCTAAGTGGTGAAAGTTTTTTATAAAAGTCTTTCTAGTAATCAAAAGGGGGCCCCTTCCATAATCTATACATTTTTTTTTTCTTCGACAGATTTTAAAGGAAAAGTAAGTTGTTGGGAAGTTGAATGAACATTTCTAGATTTTCCTAAAGCTGTCGAGTGTTGCCACTCAAAGAAACTGTTATATTTATGATTTTTTTAAAGGATTTTTGGATTTGTTCGATGAGAATGGAAAGCTGAAAGAGCCCCCTAAGGCAAGAGGTTGTGATATTTATTCCGAAAAATTAAATTATTTCCTCATATTTTATAATTAATAGAATTTTTCACTTAATATTCAATGAATTCAACCTTTTCAAAGAATTTGGATTATTTTTCCATATTTGGTTTGGAGAAATCGTTTGCCTTGGATACAGCCGAGCTCTCTAGAGGTACATTAACCAACCCTTTCTAGTTAAATTGTATAAATTTGGGTGAAAGAATCAACTCCACTTGTTTTCAAAAGTATTATTCCCAACTGTTAAGGAAGAAAATTAATGATTTTAACGATAAGATGAATTTTGGCTGAAAAGATGTAGGAATAAAGGAAAAACTTAACATTGAAAACTTATTGCCTCCAACATTTAGTGTCAGCAGTTAGAAATCTTTCATTTAAACATTTTATATCAAACATGTTATCTTTTTTTGTATATGGAAACTTACGACTTTTTGTCTGAACTGTTCAAAAGTAGCATTTTTCGGGCACACTCCCTAGAAAATAATTTTAACAATTAATATTTTTAGTTTATAAGAATATGAATAATTTTATAAAGTAATATGTTTAGTTTATAAGAATAAGAATAATATTAACCTGTAATATGTTGAGTTAATAAGAGTAAGAATAATTTAAACATGTAATATGTTCACTGTTCAGTTTATAAGAATAAGAATAATTTTAACAATTACAATGTTTAGTTTACAAGAATAAGAATAATTTTAACATATAATATGTTAAGTTTATAAGAATAAGAATAATATTAAAGTAATATGTTTAGTTTATAAGAATAAGAATAATATTATCAATTAATATGTTTAGCTTAAAAGAATATGAATAATTTTATAAAGTAATATGTTTAGTTTATAAGAATAAGAATAATAACTTGTAATATGTTGAGTTAATAAGAGTAAGAATAATTTAAACATGTAATATGTTCACTGTTCAGTTTATAAGAATAAGAATAATTTTAACATATAATATGTTAAGTTTATAGTATAAGAATAATATTAACTTGTAATTTGTTGAGTTAATAAGAGTAAGAATAATATTAACATGTATTAATTAGTAATATGTTTAGTTTACAAGGGTCTTCAGAGGCAGCTTCATCCGGATAGATTCTCTTTAAAACCTGAAGAGGAGAAGGATATTTCCGAACATTGGTCTTCAATAGGTTGGTTCGTTAACAATCGTACAATTGTTGTTTGGCTGAGGCAGAAATTTTGGTGTTGTTAATTTTCCGTTTTTTGTTATCCGACGGATTACGGACTACCATAAGACCTTCTGGACCTCTGGAAAAGTTTTACCAAGCAATCATAGGTCGAATATAAGCGAAAAGAAGTTAAACTAGATATGACTAGTTGAACTACTGTTCTAGTGTATTATTGACAACACTTAATCAGCAACTCAACATTCCTTATCTAGTTACACAAGTAACTGCTCATTATATTCATAAATTTCGACATCAGAAATGAAACAAATCTAATCCTAGCCGTAAAAAAATAAAATTACGCGGACTAAACACTAAATTTAAAGTTTCCATTATAAATTGAGACAATTTGCGCTAATCTTAAATTCAAGTTCTGACCGCTAAGAAAGTTACATTTACATATTTTGGTTTCTTATGGGAAAACTTTTTTTTTTCAAGCAAAATCGGCATTTTGTTTTCAGCTTTAGACCCAAAGATTAAATCCCAAATTGTTTTTAACCCGGTTTTTTGTTTAGTAAACAACGGATATAACTGGCTATTGAAGCCTCTGCCTCGGGCACTGTATCTTCTAGAACTTCTTGGAACTCCTCTAGAAGAGGGACATATTCAGATACAATCGGACTTCCTTATGGAGGTTAGATAATTTAATATTTGGTTTAATTAAAGGAACTGTCGTAGTTGTAAGAAGAAGTCGTAGCTTCAGTAAGGCCTAAACCAACTATAGACGCTGATGTAGACATACTTTGATTTCGTTGCTTAATAGATGCACTCGTCTAAACTCTCCTCCCCCTTTAATCTGTTTTTAAAGTGTAAGGAAATCTATCAAGTATCACCATCTAAATAAAGAATCAAAGCAGAAACAGTTTATGTAAAGAAAGAACAGTTTGAAACCAGTCATCCAAAGGATATCAATTTAAACGTAATGTTTTTTCTTCATAAAAGGAAGCTTAAAAAGTTTTATCAATAATATTCCGTTAATTTTTTTTTAAATTGCTGTCTGGTTAGATTCAAATATTTTATGATTGTTGAATTATTTTTAATCATTTTCAAACAGACGTGTGTACTGTTTTTAAATGCTATTCAAAGCATTTTTCGGCCTCCTGTATATATATAAATATAGATATGTAAGAAGTCCTTAAATATCTGGCATACACACTGAGTCCTAAAAAAATTCAAACCCTATTTGATCCATTATAATCCAAGCGGACAAGGGTAAGTGGCTGGAGCTTGACCTTGGAGATTAACATAACATTGCCTATATGACATGATCAGGGAGTAAAGAATAGAAGGGAGATTTAACTGACGCAGTTCGCCCTACCATATGATTGAACATGTTTTGCAGACGGGTACTCCATTTGTATATGAAATATTCAGAAAAGGTTAATGTATACGCGGTAATTGTACATCAGACAAATATTTCTTATTTAAATGAAGTACCCGTCTGCATAGCATGTATAAATATATGGTAGGGCGAACCGCGACAGTTTTATGTACTTCTATTCCATACTTCCTGGACAAGATACGCAAGCAACACACCTGTATATCTGCTCCGGTCTGAGTGGTCCTCCTAGTTCCGTCCAGGCGAGGGTCACCTGGCTACGTCTAGGAAAGGAACAGAGAAGGAGGAAAGAAGTAGATGAACCGCCTGGTCTGTCTTGGAGCCTCCTGTATATATATAAATATAGATATGTAAGAAGTCCTTAAATATCTGGCATACACACTGAATCCTAAAAAAATTCAAACCCGATTTGATCCATTATAATCCAAGCGGACAAGGGAAAGTGGCTGGAGCTTGACCCCGGAGATTAACATTATATGAAATATTCAGAAAAGGTTATTGTACACGCGGTAATTGTACATCAGACAAATATTTCTTATTTAAATGAAGTACCCGTCTGCATAGCATGTATAATCATATGGTAGGGCGAACCGCGTCAGTTTTATCTCCCTTCTATTCCTTACTTCCTGGACACGATACTTTGACTGTAGGTTTATTGGTAATACTAATGAAAATAATAATTCATACTTGATCAGACAACGCTATCAAGGGTACCATTGTAAAAAAGAGCATATTTTTTTTGGTTATTTGGTGAGTTAATCTCTAGACCCCAATTAGGGGTATATTGAGAATATCTGCGAGACTATAGATTCATTGAGTCACTATTTATATCACTATTTTTACTCAAACAATGTCACCAGCATTTCGTTAGTAAATGTGGTTAAACATTTTAGGATTTCTAGCGTTTGCATTGCATTGCTTACAGATGAAAACATGCTTAACAAGTGCTATTCTTATGTTAAGATGATGGAGTTAAATGAAGATATTTTAAGCGCTGACAAAGCTGAAATAATTAGTCTTGGTAAAGAAATTAGGTAAATATCTATTTTTTTTTTATTTTTAGAGAACTTTTATTCGTTATTTATTCTCACAATTTCATGTTCTTGGGTATAAAACTAAAAAGTGTCATATTTGTTTCGAGGCAAATGAATAACATTTTTTACCCGCAAAGCAGGTTTCCATTTATATTTCGCGGATTTTCAAAAATAAAATGGAACGTTTTCACTTACTATGCTTGGGATTAAAAAAATTTCATTGTCCTTCACGATAACGCAAGACAGATGCACACATAGATATCATGATTCTAGTATTTTCGTTCCTGAGATCGAATTTAAAGAATTTGAGCCGCGGCTTAAATTTAAGCCTCGGCTCAAATATGGTTGGTTTTACTGAAAATTGTATTCAATGTTTCAAGATTTAAGCCGGCGCTCAATTGAAACCGGTTTATAAAGGATTTGAGACGCGGCTTAATTTCAATAAATTCGGACACTGATTGGACAAAAGAGTTCGATGAAAACATTAGTTATGATTAATTATAACTTATTGCAAATGTGAAACCAACAAGGGAGGGCTGTATGGCCACATTCTTGAAAGCTGTTCTACTGGAGATAACTATCGTAATGTTCAGGGTTCGGTTAAATGAGTACATTGATAAGATTGAGACTGCATTTAGAGACGGAAATACAGAGGAAGCCAGGTATTTTAGAGTTTATAATTTAGATTTTCTTGATAATATTGCAAGGGAAGTTAGTTCTAAAGCGTTATGATGGCCAAGAAATGACACTGATCCATAACTTTGGGATCAAATAAGAGTTGGAATTATAGCCCCCGGGGGCCTGGAAACCTTTTACTTTAAAATTTAAACTTTAAGAAGTTTATCAATATTGATTAATTATAAATTACTGGAATAGCATTACACAACACAATTAGAGATTTTTCAATATCTTGAGAAATTCTTACAATTATTGATTTAGTTTTCGTTTTTTTTTCTTCCAAAAGTTGCTCAATTTATTTATTTTGGTCGGTACATTAATTGATCGGTAGGTGTCTTTGGTTGTTAGGTTAATTTTTTATTTGATAGTTTAGTTATTAATAATTTTGTTAGAATATAAAGAGTTACCCACAAAGGATGAGTCTTAAATGACGACCTAATTATCTCATTTATGACTTGAAGGTTAAATTTGGACTTCAGCTTTCAATACAGTCTCTGAACAGAAATTTTTGGTTTTGGCTAAAAAAAGAAACAAGTTTACAGGGGCAGGAAACCTCACATGAACAAAAAAAGTTAATTGGATTCCGTAGAGTCGTCTCTGAAGTCTCATCTTTGTGGGTAACTATATTGACTGATTGATTGAAAAATGTCCATGTTTCAGGAACGAGGTAGCCCACATGAAATATATAGCCAACATGCTGGACAAGATCATAGAGATTGAAACGAAACTTGAAATAGATTAAATTTCAGAGAAATGGACATAGCTAATGTTAGACTGTGATTAGATTGAAAACACCCGTGAAAAGTATCTAAATTAGCCCACTAGAGCATATAGAAATTAGGTCGTGAGAAAATTATTGAAAATTTGGACAAGACAAGAATATGAGTCATGTTATCGTCGGTGGTGGGGTCGCTGGCCTAGCTACAGCTTTCTATCTGACTAAGCAGGGAATCATCAACATTATCATCTAAAAGTATGTAGATTAAACAAAAAAATTAGTTAATTAAATACTTATTAAAGATTTATTAAGACATAATAGAGAAAAGAAATAATTTTTTTTTGTTTTAAAAAATTCTGAATGCATTTAACAGTTAACAGGGTAACATATAATGGCAAGCTGATGTTTTAATATCGTCAAGAAATATCAGTCTAGATTCTCCAATCAATTAATCGATTAATATTTGATTGATTGATGAATAGAGCGGAGTGAAGAGGATTACTGTTCTTGAGTCCAGTAAACGACTGGGAGGATGGATAGATACAACTAGGTTTGGAACACTCATATTATATAATGTGATGTATGCATGTATGTATGTATGTATGTATGTATGTATGTATGTATTTATGTATGTATGTATGTGTGAGTGTATTTCTGTATGTCACAATTTTGTGCCTGCTTAAAGGGACTGTTTTCGTTATTTCAAGTGTCTCCCCATGCAACGGTGTCACCTTTATCAAATATGAATATTTTGTATAAATCCATGTTTTTGTTAATCTAATACCGTTTTTTTAATTCTGGTTTCTCTTCAATAGTGACTTACGCATTTCTTGCTTAAAAGAAACAATGATGAAATTCGCAGAAATAAACGTTATTTCCCACATTGCTGATCAGATAAAGGTTTCAAAGGTACCGTTGTAAATCAGACATTGCTGTCTTTGCTTGGAGGGTCACTTAAGATTACGCTTTCAGTCCATTCAAAGTGGGTCTTTGTTATTACGTCCGATCATTTTAAATGTTATTTTAAGTATTATCAATTTTAGAAATAAAGACGGTATTCTGTACGAGCATGGTCCACGAACTATTCGTCCTGTTGGTCCACAGGGTGCTAACACATTAGCTATGGTACAAGAACTAGGTCTCTCGGACAAGTAAGATCCCAGTATTTAAACTCTTAGATCACAAGCGTGGGGGGGGCGTCAATATTTAAACCCTTAGATCACAAGCGTGGGGGGGGGG